CTAATTGCAAATATTTAAAATAATTGTGTATATATAGTTTTAGTCAGTTTTTCCTTTTAAATTCTAGATTTAAAGTATCCTTTATGAAATATGGCTTCTTGTGCTGCAGCAACGTGCCGTAACCACTTATAGAAATACGAAAGGAAGAGATATTGTATTTCATGCTTTCCCCAAGGACAATTTGCTTTTGACGAAAGAATGGATACATAAATGTCGAAGACAAGATTCTATTAATGTGAAAAAAGCAAGAATTTGCAGCGAACATTTTCTGTGCAGTGATTATGAAGATGACATGAGAAATCGCTTTCTTGGATTGCCGCAAAAGAAGCTGTTGAAATGCAATGCTGTGCAGAAAGTAAATTTATCGTGTGCAGTAAACAAAATAACACCAAGAAATCGGAGACATTTGAAAAAACTAATGCAGAGTGCTTTCGAAAGACTACATGAATTAAGCCCAAAGAAAATTTATTTTGAGGCCGAGAACGAAATTGAAGCTGACAATAATAAATCAAATGTGAATGATTTGAAATAAAACTCACAAGTGACAATGCCCTATGTGACAATATCCCTGAGTGCCCTAAGTGTAAAGATAAACAAGAATGTATTGATAATTTGAAGAACAAAATAATATCCTTAGAAAATTGTAATAAAATATTGAAAAATAGAGAAAAGAAAGATTTTAGAATGTTTGCTCAGCGACAAAGAAGGTGGACGGCATTTAGAAAGAAATTTGTATCGGAAATTCAGAAATTAAAATCCCAAACAGCGAAATTTAGGAAATACAGAACAGATCGGAGAATTTGGAAAAACGTCTAAAGCATATTTTTACAAAGACGCAGATTAACGCATTGCTAGAAAAGAAGATAAAAATCAGGTGGACTAGTGAAGATATTTCACGTTGCATTGTCATAAGAGCTCTGTCATCTAAAAGCTACGATTTTTGGAAAGAAAAAAGGGAAATTCCTTTACCTAGCACTTGCACATTAAAGAGATGGTGCGCTAAATTTTCATGTAGTTCAGGAATTCAGAGTGATGTTCTTGCTGTAATGAAGGAAAGATGCCAATATTTGAATTCTGTAGAAAAAATATGCGTTCTCAGTTTCGACGAAATGCACATAGATTCTAAACTCTGCTATGATTCTAAACTGGACCAAAATCGGTCCTTTTCAAAAAGTGCAGTTTATCAGAGGTCTCATTTCGCAGTGGAAATAACCAATATTTTTTGATTTTAACACTCCAATGAAGAAAGAACTTCTTTTTTCACTCATAAGACATATTCAATCATCTAGAGTAGAAGTGAAAGCAATAGTGTCTGATTAAGAGGATATACTACTTTGTGGAAAGAGTTACAGATTTCGATTAATAGTTCTCATTTTCCAAATCCAGTATTCCAAACGAAAAAAATATGGGTTTTTGCAGATTTAGCGCACTGCCTCAAATTACTGAGTGTTGGTGTATTTAATCATGACAAAGCACACTAGGGCTATCTGCCTAAGGGGAGGGATGCCTTCGTGGAGGACTTTCTAAGGGAAACTGGCTCGTATACACGTTACACATGGGGAAAACCACGAAAACGCCCATGCAGCCAGCCCGTTCGCGGGATTCGAACCTCGGACCAAACTACCAGTGTTCAGCGACTTTACCGCTCGGCCTCTGGTGGGCTCAAATTACTGAGAAAACCACTTTTTAGATAAGGATTTGTTTTAGAAGATGGGACTGTTTTTAAATGTTTATATTATTAAGAGAATTAAATTGTGTCACAAACTAAAAAAACCAAATTATTTAATGGTCAAGGGAAACGAGAGACAAAAAGTAAGTATATATAATATGTTTTGATTTGAAATATTTCTAGATTGACATTTTCAGAAGTTAATAGCGTAAAGTATATTTTCAAATGAGAACTAATTCTGTTAAATTATTGTTACAGATATTTTTATTGTATCCTCTGTTATTATTGATTCGATTATTGTACTAGTTTAGTATTCTAGATAAAATATATATAAAGTATAACATTATTGTATTATTGTATACATTATAAACTATAACATAAGTAATTGGCATAAGAAGACCTACCCCCTTAACTCCTCACGTTTGAAAAATTAAATAATTATTTTAGGTACTGTGAAATAAAATTGTTTTGTCTAAATTAAGGTAACAATCTTACATGTATTTATTTAAATGAAATATTGATGTAAGTCTAAGTTACAAAATTATTTAAAAAAAAATATATGTTATTATAATGAATCGGGAGAAAAATATGCTAATGTAAAATTTAGAATTAGGCTGAAACTCAAACTTAGATTAGCAAAAATTTTGCCATATATAACCATACATGTTTAAAACTATGCCAATTTAAGGTTTTTTTTTTTTTTTTTTTGTTTTTTTTGGATCAATTTTAAATAGCTGTTATTATAGTTATCTTAGCAGTAGTACAGTTCTCTTAGTTAACATGCAGATAAAAATGATTAGAAACAAACAGGCATTTAAAGAAAAAAAAAAAAAAAAAATCCCTGCAAAAAAAAAAGGAACTTTATGCTAAGAGTAGCGCATTTTATCTATTATTTTAAAATTGAGTAAGTACTATTAAATTTTTAATGTTCAGGGTAAAATGCATACTGCAGTAACATTGTCTCTTCCAAATTATAGCTATCTTTCACACACAGCTCATTTTAAACGCTGATTCTTCAAATTTAAAACGCTAATTTCTATGTTGTCAATTGCATCTCTGCGCTCAGTGCCATCATTGCTACGTCATCACTCCTCACTGCCTGTTTCAGGGGGAAACGCTCTATGAGCTAGCCCTTCTCTTTAGTCCTGGGATTAAGTACCTCCAAAATCTCAATATAGAACACAATTTAAAGCTTAAAATTTTCATAACTAACTGAATCATAATCCTAAAACAAAGTATCCTTGATATTGTATTTCTTGCCTTATATTTCTGATTTTAAATAAAATATTTTCATCTTTGACATAAATTATAAAAGTACTGCATGTAGTATTAGGGATAAACCAAATCACTATTTTCAGCTTCATCCCCCAAATTAAAAATATAATATATAATTAACATAATCTGATTAAAATTATAGCTATTAATGTATTAAGCTGTTTTCCACAAAACTCTCACCAAGCAGAGGGATTAAGGGTTGATTATGGATGAATGTAATGCACAACATACTCAAAATTTGCATTTTCATTTCATGTAGCTCCAAATGATTCTCAGTAGGCCACCTTCTGCTTTTATGAACAAAAACATAAATTAACTGTGATTGTTTTACCTTTTTCCTTGCATTCTGAAGAAAGGTTATTAAAATTTGGAACCTGCCTTCTACAAAACAGCATGCAATGGATTAAAGTTATGACACTCTACCATATATCATATAACAATATACACTATATATATATGTATATTAATGGACATGATATGATCAGCAGAATATGGCTGATAAAACTGGAATACTTACCTGCAGGAAGCTTACATTCATAGCATTCCCGTTAAATTGGAGGATCTAACAAAATAGTATAAATTGTCAAATGCCTTTTTAGAAAATGCAAAAATAAAAGGGATAAACACTGATTTTTCATTAAAGAAAGAAGATTCAATCCCTTCAGGATTCCATAAGAGAAATTTGTGCAGGTTTGGAGAAATTTTCACTAACTTTGATGGCAGTCCATGCTTGGTGGTCGGTGAGAAAATACATATTGTATTTTCCGGCGTATGACATGCATTTATAATTTCAAGCTACTTTAATTTTTACACATATTCATGATATAATGCCCACCCAATTCTTCAAAAGAAATCTTAAAAATACAAGTGCAATGGTCTTATCTCTCGAGGTCACTTATTAGAAGATTTGTCTTAGCCTATTCAACAATGTAAACTGTATTGACAAGCGAGAAGGGGAACAATATGTGCGGGTTAAATGCTCGAGGGAGTAAATATTCTGGGAAAGAGAGTGTATTGTATTCAATGCAGCTGGCCAAAAGAATGCTATTGTAGAACAATTCCAACTGGAATGAATTTGTGGAATTAGAAGTTGGGTGTTTTCTCTTTCTGTAGTCATTTGAAGCTGCGATTTTCAAGTAAAAATCAAAGCCCTTAGTAAATCACATTTGCTTTAGTTGAAATATACAGGTGTTCCAGTGCTCCTTTTAGCAGTAAATATGGCTCCTGCAAAAAGAAACAAACACGGTGCTGGTTTCAAATGGAAAATTTTGCAAAAGAAAATTGAAATTGTGCTGAAGAAAGGATGTTTGGTGTTGGTGAAAGATGGAACGGATAATGATTATTTATTTATGGATAAAAATTACAATGATGGTAAAGATGAAAGAAAATTTGGCAATACACCTGAAGATATAATGGAAGACAAACTCTTCATGTTACTTGATAATGAAAATGTTTAATTTTATAAAGTATCTCATTTCTTTTAAATAAGCAGTATTTTGGAGCAAGTAAAAATCTACTTTTCCTCTGATTTTTCAGCTATCATTATTTTCGTAAATTTTATATGACACTTGTAAATTTTGGTCCTATTTCTTGAATTAAAAGTGCATGTTGTAAGCTGGAATATATGGCAAGTACCAAATTATATTAAAAATAATTTTAAATAAATAAAGCTTTTTATTCTTGAGATCCTAATACGAAGTCTATTTCAAGTAAATTAAATTAACTTTTAAAGGTTTTATGAGCAACACATAACAGCTGTCATTTTATACCCATATGAGTTTTATACATTCAGAAAAATCATGCATGCAAGTAGAAAAATTATACAGCTTTGAGAAATTACTTTCAAATCCTGTAAATGCATATTATTTTCTTAGCATTAAAAACAAAATATAAAATTATATAAGCCTATAAGTATGCATAATTATGTATTTAAACAGTACTGCATGTTTGATAAGCAATTTTAAATGAGATGAGAAACAAGGAGTTTATTATTTAAGACTTCCTAACATTTTCACTCTTCAATAAAATACTAATGCATTAACATCAGAAAATATACCTCAGAACTAATTGGTCTTTTATCTGATCCTGCTTCTTCTTCCTAGAATAACAAACTAACTGTTAGTAATATTATTCTTTGCATTATCATAAACAGAACCTCAGTTAAAATACTTTAACTAAATTTCACTAATCAGATGACTGAACATTCGCATATTCATAATTATATCTGGAGACCTGTTCTGGACTTAAAAGTTCCATAATTTTTAGAAGTATGCTTGTAAAAGTTAAGAAAAAGTATTAATGATAGATGAAGGAAGCATGCGAGACTCAAAGTAATGTTTTTTTTTTAGTACGTATTATAAGATAAAATCAAAAATACTTTAGTCATATAGGAGTAATTTTATTAATACACCATTACATTATTTACACCTTCACAGCAGAATTAGTAAAGAATGAAGTTTACTTTTTAATATTCTGAGTACTTCCGTTTGGATTTTTTGCTTTTATTTCTTCAAATCAACTTTCCATTTCTTAAATTCTCCGTGAAATTTTAAGGCTTTCCTTAATGCTCAAAATAACTTCCCGTATGAGTCTACATTAGCTTCCCTAAAATACAGTAACTTCTAATATAGGACTATAATGAATAAGCCTAAGTAAATTTTTACAGTATAACAAAAATTTCAGATTCCTTAATATGTCATTTTCATAATTAAAAATCTGGTGTGCGCACCACATGACTTTCTTGTATGAAATATTAAATTATATGCAATTTTCCTGCATTTTATTTAAACATATTGAATTAACAGTTAATGAATTTTGTTTCAGGCAAAATACTATATGCTGTGTTACTGACTTTTGATTCATCTAGTGAGTGCCAATGTCAAAAGATTGATGAATAACATGATAATCAGTCATCATGTGACTACATATAGGAAAGCAGAGACAGACTGCAAGGCAATGTTAGAGAAAGATAAGCAAACCCCTTAGCATTGATATCATTTAAATTCAAACAATCTTGCACAGTATGTTTGCTGGTTATGACAGGGTGCAGCAGAACTAGTTAATGCAGTAAGCTGGCTTTCAAAAGCTATTTTACAAATTAATTTATAGTGAACTACATTGCCATAAGAACAGACAAACACCCATTGGTGCACACAGATACCTGAAAGATACCATGGAGGTAGGAGGTAAGATGGAGTGGCCCTAACCGGTTTCCCATATACTGCTTTGAAGCACTGGTGATCCCTTCGTGGTGACCAAAACATTGGGTCATTTACCATTAAGTTCAATGGTTTTGACCCGATCGGATGTAATTATGTCATAAATATACCTTTAAATGCATATATTTTCTTTTTCTACAATATTTCAGAGTCCTAAGTGTATGAAAAGAATACATTTTTAAACAATATTTCATTCTGAAAGGAATTAAATGCTATACTTTTCACAGAACAGTTTGTTCAAAATGCTTTAATTTAAATGAAATATTTTCACAGGTTTTCCTGAATTACATTAGAAATATATTTTAAGGTAATTCGATTTTATTTGGTTAAGGATTACAAAAATTAAGATCAAAGTTTGTTGTATTATTAATATTAAAATTATGCATTATTTCTTTTATATTTAAAGAGCTTCTTCCTAAAATACTTTCTCAAATATGACATGATTTTTTAGCTTCTGAGGCATCCATTAAATCGAAAAATTCAAGTCAATTTATAATTAATTAATGCTGTATTCGGTCCATTTCAAATTAGAGTACCTTTTATTTTAATAGTGAAATACGTTAAATATTGGTGCTCATTTCCATGTACTTGATTTTCTCTGAATATTTCTGAAAGGGGAAGAAAAAGAGGATTTTTTAAAAATATATTTAAAACTTGTATATTATAAAATGTAAGGGAACAATTCTTTTAATTATACTTATCAGATTTTTTTTACCCTTAATTTCAACAATAAATTTCCTAAACACCTTCTTTATTACTTCCTTAAGTACGCATCTCATAGAATTTGCTTTACTATCCTTTTAACAGATTACTTTCCAGTACGAACAATTCTTGCTTGAATAGTTTTCTAAAAGTATTTGTCAGCAGGATTTCAATTTATGTTTACAATTCAATGTTAAGGTTTAGATAATATTTATAATCATTATAAATTTAGATGCATTTAATAATTAGATTTCTTCACAGTAACTTCCACAGGCATTTATGAATGAATAAATCCTTCATTTCAAATACATTTATAAATAATTTAATAAATATTTACTTATTTTGTTAAAAGGCAGATACATGCTTTTTGCAAGCATATGCATAAACACCCACACATATTTCATATTTTTCATTTCCGGCATGTGCAAATCTTTAATTTCTGTGCATTCACAACATTTTTTCGAGTAAAGTAATTAACAACAATTTAGCATATACCCAAAATTTTTACATAAGGAATATGCATAAATATAATTTGAATGAAAATTACATGCAGTATTTTTAATACCCACTCAAAGGTCAGTTTTTCTTTGAAATTCCTCCATGATGGCATCTTTCCCTTTAGGCAGATAGCTCTTGCATGCCTTACTCTATTTGATAAAAACTTACCCTGACCTATGTACCCAATCACAAATATTTTAACATGCATAATTTTATATTTACATTCAGCCATCAAAATTCAAACTTTTGACTTAAAACGCATTTTAGGACACATTCATTGTCAAATTCAAACCTTCTAGTATATATATTTTGGCAATATCGAAAATTTTACCACTTTTAATTACAACACTGAGAGCAAATACTGTAATATGCTCCAGCTAGCCATTCTTTGTCTATGAATGAGACCTGCATACATTAAGAAGCGAGCATAAACCTCGAATTTCCGAGAAAAAAAAGACTTGCGTGGGGAACATTTAACAATCTTGAATCAATAAGAGGACTATTCATGATCGGACCTCCTTTGGCAGAATACACATATATTTTCACCTCCGTCGATTACCCTATTTTCATATTCTTAATAAGCTATCTTGATAATGCGGCATGTTCACATCATCTTGACCTCACATAATACTTCCGCCAAATTCGCAAATGTATCTGTCTTCTGTTCCATACATTTGTGTAAAACTGTACATAATTTTACACAAACACATGATTACAAATTAAGGAAAAGTTAACTTATTGGCATATCTGTGTGTATATTTATTAATTTTGACGAGGATTGCAGTATTTAGTGGTAATTTTATTTTTTTAATTAACCCAAACAAATAAGTAAAACATGTAAACCCAAAGTGATTATTTTAAAGTTATATAAAAATAAAATGATAAGTTTAATATGAGCAACTATAAAGCCTCTCCTCTTAAAATTATTTAAAAAGTACATGCCACAATAATATCAGGATGAAAAACAAAAGTTTTATTTAAAACATTTTGGAACATAAAATAAAAGTAGCAAACACTCTATAAAGAGTATCGAAAGACGTATACAATTATCAAGGTACCGTAAGGTATTTTCCATTCTTTAAACCTAACATTTTTGCTAAAATCTATATTTTTGTAGTTCAACTACTTAGAATTATATAAAACAAATTCAATAATCAAAATCGTTGTTGTTAGTTATAAAAAAATTACTAAGGTGTGATTTTTGCATAAATGTCATTAAACTATACAAATTGCTATTATCCATCACACAATGAATGTTTCTTTTATGCGGAAATGTCCCGTTTTTCAATTTGTATGGAACTGTCGTGTATCGAAATACTATCAAAGCGCTGTCAAGGGAGCTTCTTAATGTAAACAAAAAACACTCCATCTGGAGACTGAAGCTTCCGAGCAGTGCTTCACTCTTAATGCCGAGCTGGCCCCTCCTTCCTTTCTTACCTCCATGGGTATACAATGCAGCGTATGTTATTATAACAAGTAATGAAATTTTGTGTACTGGTGAAAGCTTCAGAGCAGCTGTCACTCTCTTAAACCTTGTGATATCTTTTATTCCTTAAAAATCAAGAAACACTTGCATGAAATGTTATTTTCTATTTCTCAGTGCAATAACTGCTTTATAATGACCTAATACATTGCTATTGTACCTTCCGACATGTGCAACAACTACTTCCAAAAATGGTTTGAACAGATGAAAAAGTTCGTTAACTGTTAAGGCGCATATTTGGGGAAAATATAATGTGAATGTTTTGTATCTATTGTATGCCATTCTTGTCCATCTAAACATTCAATTATTCACAATGGCCACCCAAATGAAGCAGATGCTTTAATAAAAATATTGTTGCTTGAATATAGTGCTTCATTCAACTTGGTAGTGGTTCAACATCAAAAAGCAATCTGATATCACTCAATGGTATTAGTGCAGTGTTTGAACCTGAGCACATTTTACAATATTAACCACTTGCGCTAAAAAGATGTGCCATGCACGTCAAGATGCTTTTGTCTCAAACCGTAAGCGCCGTGAACATCACGTCGATAGGCATTTATCGCAAAAATTAAAATAACGTAGTGCGTACGTCAGCTAACAACGAGATTGTTTATTTCTCGAGTTACAGCTCTGGAGTGCACAGCGTCGCATTTTTAATAGATTTATAATATTTTTATCATATCGCCTCATATTGTAAAATGGAGAATAATAGTAAACTCAGTGATATAGTTTTGACAAGTGCAAGGAGAAAGTGATAAGTTAGTACATCCGATACTGTTACAGATAGCGACTGCGAGGAAATTATTTGTCCAGTTGGGAAACAGCATAGAATTATAGTATATTGTAGCGTACGGCACCGCAACCGTGAAGTTTAGTCGTAGCGCAAGTGGTTAAATTAGACTGAAGCAGGTAGCTTGGGTACTGAATAAATAGAACTAAGATTAATTGGCTTAGTGAGATAAATAGATTTTAATTTGAAGGAAAAAAAAAAAAACCCTTGATTTGAATTCCCCCCCCCCAGCACCAAATTATTTTTATTACAATAAAAACTACATTTAGTTTTCTCCGATTTTCTGAATTAAAATATTTTACAATACACATAGAATCTAATACAAAATAAAAATATAGTGAAGGCAGATAAAAAGGTTCCCATATGCATAAAATTAAGAACATTAAAAGAAACTTAGTGAACACAATACTAAGATAACATACCTGGGAAATTTTTAATTTAAGAGCAATATTTTCCTTTTCAATTATCTGTTTAAGCTGCATAAGCTTTTCAATTTCAGTAAAGTGTTGATCTTTCTCTGCATTAAGCTAAAATAAAAGACTAATCAGATTATTTGAAAGCATTACGAATATGACATCTCACAAAAATAAACTTATCATCATATACATAAAATCCCCCTTCATAAATTTGGCACAATGATCAAATTCGTTTCTAAGATAGAAAATGCAGACATTAAACAGGTAAAACATTAAGCCTCCTCATTGTGCAAAATTATAAACCCACAATCAATGAACAACACACACAAGCCATGAATTACATGACTGTATTCTAGTAGCCAAAATTATTTTTACGCATATGAAAATAGCCTCTCCTAAATCACAACATGAAGTATTTTTTCCCTAAAATGAGCAAAAGAAAACCTAATTATTATTATCAAGTCTAATTTGGAATAATAATGATCAGACTTCTCCAAAGGAAGGCATGCACTTTACATGTATCATATTCCATAGTGAACTTCTGCAATTCATAATTGATTTCAGTATTTATCAAATAAAAAAATTATGGGGCTAAGATATCATTTAAAAGAATCTTTGAGGCAGAAATGTGTCAGATATATAGAAGAACAAGTGACTATGTAAAGAAGCTAAAATGTTTCAAAGCAGCCTATGTATTCTTAGTTCAAAACTCAAACTGTATATGGTGACTACATTGCAGAAGAAAAGCAGTAACCTCTCAAAATAACTGCCCATCTATAATACTGCATGCGTGCAGGTCATAATAGACTGAATGCATAAAGAACTGATGATAGCTTGATAAAATTTATTTTACCCCCCCCCCCAAAAAAAAATACCTTTCCAGTTCTGAAACTTTTGAGAAAAATATTCACACAATTCTTCTCAGTATCAGAGAGTATAATCAGTAATTACATTTCAAATTATTAAGAACTTTAACCCTTTGACGCACGTGATATTATTTTTATAATTTTTTTAACTAAAAAGAAATTGAATATTATGATCCTAGAGACAAATAATATATGAATTGAAAAAAATCTACTCCTGCCCATTGTCTTGTGGGTGGTGGTCGCACCGTGAAACCACTGCGCGGCTAGGACTTTGAAACTTACTGATGTAGTAGAGGGAAAAACTTACCATTTTCCGCGCGCGTTTCCAATAAATGACGAAATTTACGGATTTAAAAAAAATGTATGTAAGATTTGCATTATATACAATTTATAACTTTTTTACAGTAAATCGTCAAAAAAAAATTAAAAAAATAAACATTTATGTAATTTTTCTATAGCAGTGAAAATATAAGTACCTACATAATAAGGACATTTGGATAAATGGATTAAAAAACTCAATAAAATAAGGATAAAAAGAACTCAGTGTTGTTTTTTTTTTTAAATTTCAAAAGAACAAAATTTTTTTGGTGACACTGCTCAAAGCATGTTTTGTCTTTTTGGCAGATGCATAGACCCACACTGCACGTTTCGCACATACATCTCGTTCTACGAGGTTTCTTCCTTGTGCTACAAAATGTACACTGCATGGATTTAAATTTCACTGGTATATGTCCAGCGTTATTTAGTTTTTTTTCATCTGGCACATGAAATTTGTGGTTTTTTATGTTAAGGGGGGGGGGCTTGGTCTTTTTGGCTTTGTACGGATCGTTTGTTTCCCATTCATACTTATTTTATTCGTATTTCATCCCAAAATATTCAGAAAATATTTTAAATAAAACTTTATGTGATTTCTATTTTTAATTATAGCAAAGTATATTTATATTAAATTTAAACCACAGAAAATAATTTATAAAATCACAATACTAGCTTGGGGAGCAAGTGTGTTGATGTCAAAGAAAGGTATTTGGAAAAGAAAGACCTTTTTACTGGGCAGGTGCATGTATTGTTTAGTAATAAAATAACTCTGTGGTTTCAAAGCCCTTTATCTATACCTGGGTTAAAATAAAAATTCCTATTTGAAAAGCAAGTAAACACTATTGGGAATGCAAGAGCCACTGGTTTCAAAGGCAGCGACCACTGAGCCTTTAGAGGATTGTGAGCAATTATAACACAATGCTCTAGTGGCACAGCTGATCATGCCCTGAAACCACAATAGCAAATGCCATACATATACATAGGATTTTTTTAATATGTGCAGTTAAATTATCTGCTATTTTTTATTGTTTATGATAGAAATAACGATGTGAGATGAACTAACTTTTGAAATTTAAAGTTGCTTATATTAATAAAAGGAAGTTGTTTTGTCTCATCGAAAACAAATTTTAAAAGGCATCCGATCTGAAGTATTAATACCTAAAACATATACGATTCTACATGCATTTTGTGTTATTTAGATGTAAAAGATCAGTAAAAAATTCATTTTCATTTAAAAATTTCGGAAAAAAGAGGAGAAAAAAAATTAGGAAAATGGTGGTTTCAGGGCGCGACTACCGCGCGTCAAAGGGTTAAACACCATACAATGAAAAGTACATCTAAAGAGCAAAACTAACCCTGAGATATCTTAGTATCAGTACTCCGGATTCATACTGAACTAACATCTGAGAGCAGATGCTTTCTCCAGTCTTATATAACTTTCCCCTGGCCGCCGAGATATTTTATTTCTAGTACTTTCTGCTTCTCAAAATTACTAGAAGGTATATGAAGGGCAAATACAGTTACAGTCACACAGAGCACCAAATACAATATCAATTACAGCTATACAGGGACTCTCATCAAAACTATTGGCAACTTGGCAATATCTTGCTAAGTAAGTGAGACAGCCATTTACTCAGTAGTAAATAGACTTGCCACTGTGATCTTATGTTTCCGGCACAGCATCATTTCTCTCTACTTTTCATGATACATTATACAGAAAAATAAAACAATTTCACGCATAATTTTAGTAAAATTATCCATCCTATGTACAAAATTCATAACAATAATTTCAAGTTCCAATAGGAACTCATAGTTGACACTGGAGATTTAAGAACATTCATAGCCAGAACAGCGGTGTCATTTCTTGATTTCATTTGGGGGTGTGAGTTTTGCAGTTAGAATTTGACTACAATGAGGAATGAATTCAACATTTGCAAGCGTGCCCATAAGTGTGTATGTTGGGAGGGAGGAAGAGATTTCACGAGTGAACACAATAATAGTTAACACAATTTAATTAATTTTGTGATTTTTAAAGCAAAAAATGACCAAACTACACCTGCTGTTAAAGGTCATGTGGGGAGACGGAATTGCGATTTCCTGGCTCTTATGCATATTTCATCATGGCTTTGCATCACAGAAACAAATACTTTTTGTTGAATTAAATACATATGTATATATATACACATAGACTCCAAACTGAAGCAAAACTTGTCAGTAGTCAATGCGAAGAACTGACATTTTTACAACTTTGAAAATGTGCGCGTAATGCATGTTGTAATTAACCATTCATTAATTTTTGATTAATCATTAATTGTAATAAATTTTATTACATTTAAAATCCATATATATAAAACTGAATAATTAAAAATATATCTTGTAAATTATATGCACATTTAATTAGAAATTTTCATTTAAATCCTCAAACATGTATATCACTAAATCTACTAATATATGAGCAAAGTATTTTAAATCACTACTAATTGTAGAAAAAAATCAGAATCCATAAATCATATCTTTATTTGGATTTGATTTTCACAGGGAAATAACATTAAAAAATTTAGATAACCAAGAATAATACATATAAATATTAAAAAAATAATTTACGAATGCAAAGATTTATATGTAGCATGCTTAGCAAGCTTAAGATCTGATTTTGAGAAATTTTTTTATAATACAGTTCTTCATTTGCCTGCATATTTATTTTTTCAATGAAAACTGCTTCGAGAGTTTTAGGACCTAAATTTGGTCGAAATTCCGTCTTTTTTTTAACAATAGAAAAAATTCTTTCACAAGCTGCATTTGAATGAGGTATTATTAAGACAGCAAGCATTACAATAGGCAATACTTTGTTTTAATACACTCCATTCATATTTCTTTATTTGGCAATTTCTTCCCATGCTTTATCAATAGGCAAATCTACATTTTCTCTCAAATCATCTACTTCATAGATAAAAAATTCAATTTCCACTTGATTAAGATATTTTTCATCAATAATGGATGGGAAAGTATTCATCAAGTAAAGAACAAATGAAAATGAAACTTCAGTTCTCAAGTTGATGTCAGCAACTTCAGCAATTTTTAGAAATGATGAAGATGTTTAGAGTAACATCTTCATTTTCTTTAGAAATTACTGATGGTTTTACGAATCTAACAAATAAATTCATTAAAAGTTCAACAAGTTCTCTTCTTAATTGATGTATATAAGGAGCTTGTTGTTGCAAATTAACATTTACTGTTATAAGCAAAGTATTTTTCAAAAATAACAAGTACAATTTGGTGGTAGGTGATTGTAACATTTTTTTAATGTTTTGGAATATCTTTCCTTTATTCTCACTGTTATCTGATTGATCACCATTAAAAAAATTTAAAATTCAGAGCATCCCATTGTTCAAAAATTCTTGTTAATTATTTTAAAAGAGACAACCATCTCGTACTGCAGTATTTCAAAATTTTATGAGATTTTGCATTCTATCCCAAAATTTGTTGAGCAACATTGAAGCTGTGCTTCCATTTCAAACTTTTCTCCAAATAAAAATATATATCTATTAACATTTCGATTTCTGAGCCAATTAATTTTTCAGTAGCTTTTTTTTGCAGCTATATGCAAGAGGTGGCACGGACAACTCGGGATGATTATATTTGGTTGATGCATTTTGATAAACAATGCTACACCTTTAAACTTTCCAATCATATTACTAGCATTATCTGAAGAAAATAATAAGCAATTTTTCCATTCTAAACTTTTGCTTTAAGATTTTTCATTTATTCAATTAAAAATACCTTCTCCAGTATTTTTCGTGCATTCTAAAATAGAAATACCTTCTACGGTATTATTCGTGCATTCTAAAATAGAAATCAATGAAATAATTATCACTCCCTTTCAGAGTTCATGCACATTTCTGCACATGGAAATTAAGTATTTTTAAGGACCATTAATGAAAAAAATTAAAGACTTATCAGAACATAGCAACTAAATAAATTCAATCAGCTTATAACTGATCTTCACTTTTGTAATAACATTTTAAGAATAAAATAGATCCGTAAGTAGGATGCATTCTTATTAAAGATAATTAATTATAAAACAAATTTGAGAATAAAATCACTTTATAAAATTTATCAAGTAGCATTAAATATTTTACACGTATAATAGATGGACATATTTGAAAGAAGATTAGGGACATTTTATTAACAGCTTTATGTTGATTTTTATTTATTTATTTAAATGTCTCATTTTGCCATGTACTTAGTTTAGAGGTTTAGTAAATATCAGATAGGTTTTATGTCAACTGCATTAGAAAAAAAATTGTAAAATGAGTTCAAATTAACTGATTATAGTAAAGAACTCAACAATTATTCGGATGAGAGATGTCTTTGTGGGAAAATATGAATTCAAAAAAATTTTATAGCAGCAAATATAGGATGGAATATCAAACAAAAATACTTTAGGAAATAAATATGAAACTGTTATTAAACTGATTATTAAGCATTACATTAACTTACAGTAGTAATTCATCAGCACGTCAACAAAGAACAACATCTATTTTGAAGAAAGAACAATGTCTGTTTCTGCGTAAGCTTTCAAGTCCTGAGTAAATAAATTCTGCATTTTTGGGTTTATCTGAATAACAAATCAGTAATTCTTAATGGTGGCTTTTCCACCGTTAAGAGCATCACTTTCAGATATTTCTTCAAGTGTTAAAATCACAGTCAAATGAATCAAACAGCAGTGCCTATATGGCTTCCACTCTGCCACTCCATTTAGTATCACTGAGTGATTTTAAAGTTGATGAGCCTCCATAAAACATATTTGTGGACAAGCGTATGTTTTCAAAAATGGCATGCCTTTTTGATTATGCCTCTATGAAGCAATGTGTTAAGCTGCTCAAATGCATTTCAAAATGCAGGAATGGACGATTATATACTAACTAAACAAAAATTTAAGATATGTGCATAACGATTAACAATTGCCATTCTATTATCCTGCAGTATTCGTGTGGCTACACCACTATATGATCCTCTCATATTAGTCGCACTGTCATAACAGTAGACTCGTAAATCTGAAAGATTTAGTCTAGCCTTCGCTCAGCAAATTATACAAGGATTCTCCAACAGGTTTCTTAGTCCTGTAAAATCCAGCAAAAGATTCATTGATTTCCAAGTTGTTATCTATGTAACTGAAAACTATAGCCACAGGCTCATGATTGGAAATGTCTCGAGTTTTATCAACCATTACAGAAAAAGAGTACGACTCTTTTATTTTATTTTGTAAATAGTTAAAGATTTTCATAAATTAAGAATATAATTTTGATGATTTTTGTGTACATAAGAATAGGATTTCTCTTTATTTAAAAGAATTTTTTCAATTAATGGACAGTCTTTATCTCTCAAATGCCTTAATACCAAAAAATTGCCTCTATTATTAGAACTTATTTTTTCATTGTGTCCTCTCAAAGCAGTTCCTTGATGTGCACAAAAAACTAGTTTCACAGACATTTTTCAAATATTTGTGGTTTTCATCAGTGTCTTTTGAATACTGCTTATCAAGCTTAGCATAAATGGAACTCTATGATAAACTTTCAGTAAACAACTTTCTGAGTTTTTGAGAATTTTAGGACTCATGAGATTTGAATTTTTAAACTGCATTCAACCAGTTACTGAACCCGTTAATTGTAAGTACAGATTCAGTATATCCTTTGTTAAGATCTGAAAATGCTCTGCATCAAAAACAAGAACACTGTATTTGTTGAAAGACTGTATTCTAACGATCTGTACACATTGTACCACTCTTTTCTAAACTTACAATTTCTTTTATCAAGAGGGAAAACGGAAAGTTCAGGTTGATAAGGAGTTACATCTCCTTTGGCACTTTGAGGACCATTAGTAGGGTCTCTCATGAACTATAGTCAAAATTACAGAACTTGGGATGGCACAGTTTTAAATCCATTATCAATCGTCCTCTCTTGACTAAATTTCTTGCGGCTTTCCTCCAAAGAGTCCAAAGGCCCGTTAACATTTTCAATTATTGATTTATGAAGTTGAATGGGGGGACACTTTTTAATATGAATGGAACATTGCAGCAAAATTATATTTGACAGCAGCTTTTCTTAGCAATTGGGAAAGGAAATCATTCCCAGCCAATAAGGGTCGACAGCCGATTCACGCCCTTCCATACTAGTAGCATGGTGATGTTGCACAGAGTGATGCAACTTCCAATAATGAAAGAAAATTTCTCCTTACGATGCAATCGTCAGATAGGTGTGCATTTCTGAACTGGTAGAGAAGAGAAGAGTAATAAGCCAGGAAAATCAGCTATTGTGACTGAAGAAAGGGTTTCAGTGGAATCCTTGACAGGTGGTTTTGGTATTCTAGTGACTACATCGTATTTAGTTGTTATGATATTGAAAAGGATAGCAGGTGGCTGAAAATTTTTGACATTTCTTATTCAAATATACAACCGTCTTTCAAATGGAAATGTAAAATAAGGAGAAGCTGAAATGCCAAAATCATTTTTTCATCTCCCATTTCAAATCAATCATGTCTTCATTTTAATCACCCCAAAATTCGGAACGTTTCCCTATGTAGAAGAGACAACGAAAAGAACCTTTTAGCCACAAAGCAAATAATTTTTATATTTCCCTACATGATGATTAACTTTTTTTTAAAGTGGAAAAGGAAACTTCAGAAGGAATTTGTTCCTGAGCAATAAATGGTGAACTCCTTTCTTTATAAGGAAGTAATGGACAGATTCAAGACAGTTAAGTACGATATGAAAAATAAAAAATTAACTACAGCTTGACATTTAAATGGACTACAGTTCTATTTATTCCATACATATGGAATAATACCATAAAATAGTAGTCTGCCTTTTTTATTCATCATAAATTTCTCAAGCACAATTTATTAATGCTAGCAATCAAAATTTTAAATACTGTTGGGTGCATACAGGTCCATAATCGATTGATATCTAGTACTTTCTGATTCTTGAAATTAGACAGACAAAGTAGACAGATGTCTTGTTTCGCACCAGCTAAGTCTTTCTGCACCGATGGGTGAAAAATCAAGCATAGGTGCGAAGGAAAGGTATAGAGAAAGGGGGGTAATTTCGTATTTGAGGAGATTAAAAAGGAACTTCGTACATTTTGTATGAGTTCAAAAGGCCAGAAAGAAAAGATGGGACAAAATAAATTGCCCAAAAATAGAGGGGGGGGGAAAAAGAAGGCCTATAGAAAGAAAAGGAAAAGAAGTAGAAAATATCCTAAAATACGATTGTGTCCATGATTGTAGTTAAAAGGAGTTCATTTGCAAAAATTAGTGTCTTTAAGAAGCAAACTTTAGCTAAGTTGAAAAAATAAATAAATGAATGAATTCCTACATGGTAATGTGTATGCCCTTATCTTGAGACCTAACTAGAAAAGACATATCATCACAGAGATGTACATAATATTTTAACTAAAGTAACATTAACTATTACCGTTCCCAAAAAATTCATGTATATTTCAGAAAAACAATAATTGACAAAATCATAAATCCATACACAGTGTGAGAGCATTTCAGCAAAAATAAATTATACAGTATTTTTCTTAAATATTAGTTAAATATAAAATTAATTTATTAATTCAACCATTGTAATTTATTATAGTACAAGTTTAACAAATTCCATCACACTGTATTTATATTTGCTCGTAAATCTAAGTTTGAGACCTAGAAAAAAAAAAAAAAGTCGGGGATCTTAGTTACAAAAATCACAATCTATACTCATCGATGGTCAAGAGATCCCCATTTTTCCCTCTTAAGAAATTCCTAAGCACAAAAAGGGAGGCCTCCGAAGGGTGTGAATGGCTGATAAGAACGGACTACTGATAAGGAATGTGGCGTCTCTACGGAATAGTTACGAAGAAAAGAAGCACATGACTTGCTACTATTACTAACTATTGTATAATGCTAGAATCTTATGACAAGAATAAATAAAGAAATTTAATGGCACTTTAGTGATAGAGAATAAGATATTGTATAGAGAACAGAATGTTACTTATCTGAATATTCCGTGTCAGGGTTTCTTTTGGATTTCTCATGTTGATAGGGAACAGCCAAAAAGAAATTTGAAGTTTCGAAGAAGTGAAGTTTCCTTTTTCAATTTGATGAACGAGACATTGCATAGGAAAGGTGCATTAATCTTTTTAGAGAGTTGAAAACATTTAATGAAACACTTTTTTAAAAATTCCGGAGCTATGTTTAGACACTGCCTCCAGCTTTCGTGATCGCAGCTACTCTCACACATTTTATTTATATTTTTTTCTTCGATTCTTGAAATTACTGGAAAGCAATACAAGGCTCGAATCACAGTTGCAGTTAACATGGCTGTGAATTGCATTTATTAAATTTCAATACACATTACAGTCACATAGGAACAGAAGCAAAATTTCACCAAATTTACGACAAAATAAGTCACAAAAACCATTGTCTGTTTGGTGATATATCGCCAAATTACTCTACCCATTTACTCAATGCTAAAAGCCCTAGCCCCTGTATTCTTACTTTTCTAGCATAGCCTTCTCTTAAAAAACATTTTCTTGCACTACATTACACGACTCGTCGTCAGGGTGAATTCTATCCTAAGGCAATCATCAATCAAAATGCTACATTACACAGAAAAATACAACAATTTTACTTATAATTCTACTAAAATTACCTAAGTACAAAATCTGTAATATTACTAATGAACAGTTACAGATTTAAGGGAATTTTATGAAGTTGCCAAAAGTTTCGTATTTTAAATTTTGATTTACTAAGCAATTAAAGTAACAATGGAATACCTGCTTCTTAAACTTGGAAGTCAATTCCTTTATTTGCTGCTGGCTGGCACATAATGCTAGAAAATGAAAAAGTATATAACTGAAATTAACACTTTAACTTGAACATGCACAAAATATGAAATAACTTATGCATATGCAAAATAAAAACCTTTTTCCATATCTTCAATACTGCTATTTTTTTCATTTACTTGTCTTCTCAAGTCAGTTAATTCCTCTAAATGTTTTATACAATTAGAATGAAACTCTTTAGTTTTCAGACTTGCTGTATTTTCACATTGTTCAAGAACATCTATTAATCGATGAAAGGTGCCTATAAATTATCAAGAAGTGATTAAATACACATGTAATAATAAATTTTAAATAAACAAAGAATAGGGAAAACAAAAAGCTGACTCTGAATATGGAAAAAAAAGTACAAAAATCGTCAGAAATAAATTTTTTTTAAAATATAAATTGGAGAACACACAGCAGTAATTTCATTAAATACGAGAGTTGGAACTTTAAAAGTCGCAAGAATCTCAGGAACAGTTTGGAAGCGAGTGCCACAAAGTGATTCCTTCATCTTAGAAATTAAGTCATAGTCACAAGGGCTTAGATCTGGGGAGTATGGCGGATGGTAAAACACTTCCCAGCCCCATCGCTTGAACAAATCAGTCACAGCTTGCGCTGCATGCGGCCAAGCATTGTCATGCAAAATGAGAGGAGCGTTCTGCAGAAAGCGTCGCCATTTTTTTCTCAAAGCTGGTCGGAGATTGTGCTCCAAAAATGAGCAGTAATAATCTTCTGTGGGGAACGGTATGCGTTAGGATGACACCATCACAGTCATACACGAGAATCACCATAACTTTCACATTGCTCCGGTTCTGACAAAATTTCGAACGTCGTAGTGACCCATGATGACGCCATTCGTTTGATTGGCGTCTCAGTTTTGGCTGGTATGATCGGGCCCAAGTCTCATCCAGCGTAATGATATGGCGTAAAAAAGCATCTCCTTCGTGCTCATAACGCTCCAGGTGGGTTCGGGCAGCATCGTATCGTAGCCATTTCTGCATTTCCGTCATGCAGATTCCCTGCAAGCCTCTTGAAGCCCTTGATGACACTGTCGTGCTGTACGGCCTCTGGCACATTCAATTTTTATCCAACATCGTTGTTCTTGTTTTGAAAACATCCTGACAACACTTACTTTAAACCATGAGCTAATACAAGTAAGCAGGATGAGTCTTTTTGCTGAGAGGTAAGGTAGGTGTGTAGTTCACGTGTGGTATACGCGATATTCTTTGGTTTTGTTGCGTAGCATTTTTTCAGCTGTGTTGCCACTATTAAAATTCCAACCCTCGTACATTACAAAAATGATTGCTTAAATATAAAACGGCAAAAATATATTTAAAATAAAAAAATTAATATAAAACATTATATAACTAGGAAAAAAAAACACAATATACTTTAAAACATTAAAAAATAAATGTAGAAAATTCTACCTGTAAAAGACATATGTAAATTATCAAGGTTAATTTTTACGACCTTCAAATTCAATCAGAAGCTTTTTATGTGCATAAAATTTTCTGCCTCCAAAAATCCCAAATTTTGTTACTTTTATACTTATAACAAAAATGATTCAAATAAAGAGTTATGTGATCAAAACACAAGCATAGGAACTTTAACACTACATATGGACTGACAAAATAATTTTATATGACAAATGTACATTTCGTTATTATAGAAAACTAATTTCATTTATTATTTTATGTATTATAATAAAAGCAAAATGAGACTATTCTATAATCACCATTGTAGAATAAAAATATGTTTTTAATTTTTTATAAACTAAATGCACAAAGTAATTAAATGATGATTGATAAAATATGAAAATGCACAGAGAAAGGAAAAACAGTATAAAAGATTATATTTTCAATGCGAAATATTTTGCAGACAAATAAATTTTTTAATTACACAGATCAATTTCATTTCTACTGTTCTTTAACTTTTAAAAAGAGAATTCCTTCATTAAAAATTATTGTTCAACATTAAAATACAAATTACAAATTTTTTACTTTTTCAAGCCATGGAATATTTATTACAAATTCCTTATTTAAGAACGTATTGTTTTTAAAAGTAATACTAAAATGATAAACATGCACTTTAACCAAAACAATTTCTTTAGAACAGAAATTGATAGGCTGCCCGATTTTGTAAGATACGCATATAAAAACAACAAGTTGCAATAAAAATATTCCTCAACTTATATATGTATACAAGTTCTGGCCAGTCCACTTTTTTTTATCATACGGCCAGCTTGTGCAGGCTAGGAGAATCGAGGCTGTGCCCTTATAATAATAATAATAATATGTATAAAAGTTCCACGTCAACTAATTCAATTTTAACAGCTATTTTCTCTAAAATATTCCTTTTGTAAAGGAATGCAGTATAAAGTCCAAGATCTGGAATCATAGGGGATTCCGACAATTCAAGATTATCCATTTAAATACAATTAAGATTATGCAGGCATACTTGCCAACCTATGACACTCAAAAATCAGGAGATTTTTTTAAGAAATCAGGAGATTTTTCACAATGTTAAAAAGACTTTTTAAATGATAAAAATATGGTTTTTAATAATGAATTAACTTTAAATAGTAACTAATTCTTAAATGCAAGCAACACAAAAATACCTTACACATAAAAAAACATTTTTATTACTTGCATCGTTTAAGGGGGAAAAAAAAAAAAAAAGAGGAGAGAATTTTAGTTTAGAAAATTAATTTTGTTCATTGCAATTGCCACGTAGGCTTGCTTTTGCTAAGAAACGTTTTTCTAATGTGTCATCACTAATATTAGATTTAAATTTAGTCCTCGTTTACGCAACAACACTGAAAATCCTCTCACACTCTGCACTACTATGGGGAACTGTCAAGATGGCCAACACAATTCTAGACAGTTGACTATATTTTAAAATTCCATCAGCACCTTTCAGTTTTCCAATTAAACTCCACTGGGTGTCAATCCTAGCTGATTTTATAACTTCATTCAAGTTTTCTAATTGTAAACTGCTGTTATGCAGCTGTTTGGAATTGTTTCAATTTTTCCTTCCTTTTAGAACTCCTTTCAAGATAATAATAAATATCAACAACGTGTTCATCCACATTTATTGGTAAAGAAGCTGCCCCTTTTTCAGCTGCTAAATTAAAGAGGTGACAGGTGCACCTCAAAATCTGCAAATCTGAATTTTCCTTTCTTAAGATGCCTGCAACACCAGTCTTCAAGCCTACCAATACTGGTGCATTATCAGCACCAAGTGCTAAGCAATTATCCAGAGGGCCTGCATTTTCTTTTAAAGTTTAATAATTAGCTGTGGTATATTAAAGCTTGTCAAATGTCCTTCTAAAATGGGGACAGAAAGAAAACTGCACTCAATTTCTTAAGAATCTGGATTAACCCGGCGGAAGGCGCACCAAGAAAAGTTACTAGAACGGGCGTGTGGGGTATCACATACCCCAATATTTAAAATACAATAAAAATAGTATTATTTAGTTTTAAAACTTCTTTTTTTTTCCCCCCCCCCTCGTGTATTATAAATAAGTGAATAATAATTGGGTTTCAACAAATTAATTTCCGAAATAATCTTAGAGTTAAAATTAAGATAAATGAAAGTAATAAACACCATGCCTCTAAGTTTTATTGCATCTCTAATACACCATTCTTTTTTTTTTTTCTTCACACATTGAACGAAATACATTCATGTGTTCTTGGCCAGAATTTTTCACATTTTAAAAACATTGCATTCACGTTTCTTCTGTCCTTGGCGCGAGGGCAAAAAATTTAACACAGCTTTCATAATTTCATGTATTCGTTCGACTATGCTTTTGTTTTGCATGCAGTACGTCAATTTCTTGGAAAAGTATTAATCTCTGATTTTTGTTCAATACTTTTTTTCATTAATTGTAATGCTAAGTCCTTCAAAAACAGACTTCTGTTTCTTGTTGGTGGATTAGCAGTTGAATATAATATAATTCAAGCATTTATTACAGCAACATTCAGTGCAGGAAAGAAAATTACCATTGGCTACCTTCTCGTTATTCTGGCAATTGAATAATTGGCTGACATTTCATCCCCCATATCCACTGCTCCTTTAGTCATGTTATTAAAACATATAATTCCTAACGTTTTATTTTCTCCAATGGTATCATCTATAGTATGAACGTTATATAATGTTATAATGATCGTTATATAAAGCATAAGAACAGTTTTTCTTTTTTTAGGAACATCAGGAATTAATGTTTTATCTTTTTCGAAACCAAAACATTGTAGAAAATATTCTTAGTTTCATCTTCAGTTTCCGAAATGCAATCTTCATCGCTTTCAAATATTTCTAATAAATCTTGCATGCGTTGCATCTCCATTTCATAGAGAGTTATTCTTTTTACCATAATGAAGTTAGAAATTTTTAAGAATTTAATGTCAAGTACTTTAAAATCACTTGCGAGTGGAAATATTTACTGTTACACTCTAGAAATAAATTTCTGAACTAAATATTCAGTCAGAAAAACACTTACACGGACAGGCGCATGGGGTGTGTCATACCCCAGTTCCAACAAAATACCGATAAATCTTTTTCTGAAAACACACAGGCAAGAAAGAAAAAGCGGTTTCTGAAAGTCAACCACAACTAGAAACTCAGCTACTGAAAGTAGCACAGAATTTCAGTTTCACAAGTTAGGAATATTCCACTTTTATGTAGGGTTGGGGTATGATACACCCCACGCGCCTTCCCGTGGGTTAAAAAAAGAAACAACAATTGGATACAGTTTTGAATCGGTATTATTGCTTCCATCCGTAGAGAGGCAGAACGGAGCTGTTTTGTGCAATCAATAACTGAAAATTTATTTTTCAAACCCATTTCTTTAACAATTACACCTGTTTTGGTTCTTGCACTTGAGTATTTCTTAGCAATTTCACTATCGGGAAACATTTTTCTAAATAAAGCTGCAGCGTGATCCGATGCATTCAGTGGCAGGTTGTGCTCCAGTAAAAAGGCAGAGAACAGACATTCTGCATTAATAACTTTTTGGTCCTTTGTTTCCGAAGAAAAATTTAATTTTTCGTTTTTTTAAAAAACAACTCATGTTATCCTTGTGTTTTTCTGTTCGCACATGTTTGAGAACATCCGCCCTTCCACACTGCGAATTCGAAAAATCGCAATGACAGGCGGTGCACATAGCAAATTTATTACATTTCCTTGAGGAAATAATGGAAGGAAAGTCAACTGTGTACGATTTTTGAAATGTACACGAGTATTTCATTCTCGCAGACATAACAAAAGATGATAATTTCTAAAACTATTTCCCGAAGGCACGTGCACTCACACAACTCAGCACAAATTGAACGAAAATACTAAAGAACATCCAAATAACAGCTTGCCTTGTCCTCATTGGCTAATATGCCAGCTGACACGCAGTGGAGTTCGATGCCCATTGGAGAACTGGAGAACGACGTTTCTGGGATACGTATAATGCTCTCACTCACAACAAAGCAGAAGTTATCCGATTCGTAAGTTTTTGTTTAGATATAATCTAGAGAAAATTCAATTGCTTTCAAACGTCCAAAATCACTTTTGTTCATATAACAAAGTATAAGCCAAGTTCATAAAAAATCGTGAGAAATTTTAAGAATAAGAAAAAGTCGGGAGAAATATATTGTAAATCGGGTTGGCCGGAGATCGGTCGAAAATCGGGAGTCTCCCGCCTAAATCGGGAAAGTTGGCAACTATGTGCAGGGTTATTTGCTACCAGACCGACAAACTTGCAGTGTGGGTACGGGGTACAAAGACTATTTGGAATCACACAGGAACTATGGTGCAAAGAAGCGGAGAAAAAGAACAGAAATAGCAATACATTACTGGGACAGAAAATTTCTTCAAAGTTATCCTTAAATTTTGATGAATAATGTATTACACAGCATAATTGTTGAAGGTTTTTTATGTTACAAAATATTAAAAAAGGCATCCTAAGAATTTTCTCCAAGCATTAGATTGACAAATTACAAAATGTCATTTATAAAACTTTTTTGAACATTTACTTTAAAAGCTTCCATTTTCTTTCCATATATACAAGCTGAAAATGGGAACTTTGTAATTAATAATTAAGATAATAAAGTTTTTTTCAACATATATTAAGTTCACAGCAATAAATGATAAACTTGCTTAAAATGGAAATGACTGTTCACACTTTTTCATAATGTGGGAAGGGGAGGGAAAGCAGTAGAAGGCAAAAGAAAATTTTCAATCTTATTTTATTTAGTTGTGGCATTTTTAAAAATGCCAGAAACTTTATCTTCCAAGGTACTTTTGTATCTATTTAGCCATCTTTTTCAATGTGTTGCATGTGCGCTTGTATTGTTTAAAGAAACTAACAAACTTTACAATATTAGCCAAAAGAATACTGAAATTACCTTTACTCAAAATGTAACATGAACTTTCTATCTGTTCCTTTGTTTCTAATTCTTTATCATTTTTTTAAATGTTTCTGAAACTATGTGATAATATGCAATTCGAATGAACAAAAAAGCAATTAAAAAATAACAATTTGATAATTTGCCTCAATACAGCAATTTAAAAATATCAGGCAGCACTTCATGACAAATATATACATATACCTTCTTTCAACATGATGATTTCATTTTGATAATCATTGCATGTTTTTACAGCTTCTTGACATTGCAAAACCAAATTATGCTGCTCTTTTCTTGCTTCCAACTGACCTAAAAGAATTCAAAATATGTTCAAAAAATTGGTATTCTTCGATTAAAAGCATACTGACAATTTGATGCTACATTGAAACATTAAGGCTTATTTCTTTAACTCAATACTAGACAAAATGAACAATCAGGAATAGCAATAAGGAAACATTTCCGAATTTCACAAGAAAATCCTCCAAAGACCTGGTGTAAGGAAAGCAATAATATTCTTTTTGAGAATAAGTTTTGATGCTTCCATAATTTTTGATCTACTGATATTCACATTAGTAGACTACATAATAAGAAACTGGTATATACCTCTTACATATGATTATTTCAATCAACCATTTGTCTCGCAATTCCTTTGAAGGAAGCTTTGATTAGCAAAATTCAACAGACATTGAATCTTGTCACCATAAATTAATTGCACTGCAGTAACAAATGAAATGCTGTATACTCACATTTGTATTCACAACACTTTTTCTTCCCGACAGGAAAGAAGGATGCATAGCCATATGAGTTTTCAGTAACATTTTGATTTTGTAAGGTGGTTATTCGACCACTCTTTCTTTCTGAAAAATATATCTTGGCTGAAGAAATAAAATAACAGGGCTCCTATCTTGATAAATCCCAAATCAATGCAGAAAAAGGTATTAGATTAGAAACACTGCTGTATGAGAGATGGTACAAAGATAATTATTACCAAGAATAGAGCCAAATTAAATTGCTGGTAACTGACATTAAAAAAATAACACCCAAGGGGGAGAAGCAACCAGAGCTACAGTTTCAACAGAAAAGTACATAAAACTTTAAATAATTTGAAACTGTTCAGAACTAAGTCAATTTTACTTATATACACAATAAAACTCAAATTCCCATGCAAATACTTTAACAATGCTGAGATACATCATCCTACAGCCCTGGTTCTTTTCTTTACATATATATATATACTATATTTATATATATAATATAATAAAATTAAAAAAAAACCTGCAATTAAACTAATGAGCCAATATAAATTAATATGGGGTTTTACAAGACAAACATGCTTGGATTTATAGCAGTTTTTTAAACTAATCTCATTCTCTTTAAACAAAATCCCATGTGTACACCACATGACTTCCTTGTAACGAAATATTAAATTATAAGCAGTTTCTCTTGCATTTCATTTTAACTTATTGCATTGAATTAAATCTGCTTTGTTGAAAGCAAAGAAATAGAATAAATGCACTCTTTAAAATTCACTATATTTGTTTACCATAGTGACACTTTGGCGCTAGGTTCACTTAACAGCATTACATTTCATTCATTTTGGAACACAGAATGCACAAAATTTATATCTGAAGAATTATCTAATTGTTGTCACATGTTCTCTTCAAATACTATAATAAATCTTTAAAAAAAAAGGGGGGGAAGAAAGAAAGAATCAAATTTTTACAGACGATTCAGTACTTTTCATTCAATTAATTCAGTTCTCATATTGTGACAAGGAAAAAAACATAAAAACTCAAAATATCTACACTGGTGTGCAAAAATTAAGGACGAAGTCAAAAAATTAGAATATCAGCTGAACGAAGAGGCAGAGCAGACAGAAAGACCAATCAGGAGATTAAGTAAGGTGATGTACGGTAGCACATGCGCAGATATGCAGGTAGACGTAATGGGGGAGTGTCTCAGTAGTATAAAGCATGTTGTCGGTATAAGATCAGTATTTTTGGCAAAGAGATTGCACGCTGTATAGCAGTTAAAATCACACCGAGTTGCTACCTCAGCGAGAAATGGCGAATAATCAATCTGTTAGACGACATCTGGATGCTTTTTTACCCGAGGTCGAATCATTGGGAAGTTGGAGGAAGGCCGCAGTGTGACAAGTGTGGCTGCAGAGTTCGGAATTGCTCACAGCATCGTTTCACGACTTTGGAGACAATTTCAAACTACAGGAACAGCTATCCGGGGGTTTAGTAGTAGTGGTCATCCACGAGGAACCACATCCGCAGATGACCGGTTTATTGCCTTGCCTTACACGCCAGAAGAAACAGGCGGTAGACAGTGGGAGAAATCGCTAGACACACGACACAGGCAATTGGACCACCGATATCGCGTTTTACCGTGGCCAGAAGACTGCATGGTGGTGGTCTGTTTGCACGACGCCCTGTACAGTGTGTACCTCTAACACCTGCCCATCGGAGAAGGTGTTCTCTGTGGTGCTGGGAACACCGGAATTGGAGAGACAATGAATGGGGACGAGTACACTTTACAGATGAGAGCAGATTCAATCTCAGTAGCGATTCTCATCGCATACTCATCTGGAGAGAGCGGGGAAGCCGCAATCATCCCTCGAACATCATTGAAAGGGACAGGTATGGAGGTGGCGGTGTTCTCGTTTGGGGAGGCATCATGCTTGGTAGTCGTACAGACTTTAACATCTTCGACGCAGGTTCAGTCAACGGGACCCGTTAATTGTAACGAGATTCTTCTTCCATATGTGCGTGTTTTTAGAGGCGCTATGGGTCCGCAGTTCCTTTTCATGGACGACAATGCACCATGTCATCGCACAGTAGCTGCCGAACAGCTCTTAGAGAGTGGGGATATTGAACGTATGGATTGGCCGGCACGATCTCCGGATCTCAATCCCATCGAGCATGTATGGGAATTTCTAGGCAGACGCTTTGCAGCTCGTACCTTACCACCAGTAACGATTCTGGCTCTTCGATTGGCGCTGCAAGACGAATGGGCAGCAATGCCTCAACAACTCATTGACACCCTCATTCTCAGCATGGGCAGATGCTGTAAAACCTGCCTAGCAGTCAGGGGAGATCATATATTCCCTATTAAAGACCGGATGTTTCTTGCTGGACACCCATCACAGGGATGTTTCGGCCTTCAGTCGCATTGCGCTCCATGCTACTTTTTCAATAGAGCTTCTTTTTATTTTTATCCCTCTGATTTCTCTTTTTAGTAAGTGTTTGCTTACATTACTCATGTCCTTACGTATTGGGGATCTTACGGTATTAAATGTGTTGATTTGGAAAGCTTTTGTACAAAGGTATATTGAAAAAACTGTCTCATCCTTAATTTTTGCACACCAGTGTATATTAAAATTTACGAAGTAAATCTTAAACACTTCTTTCCCCGAATAAATTCCAGAATGGATTAAGCATGATTTAATTCACAATAATAAAAGAAGGCGTTATCTTTGTTGTTGTGAAGCTTAGTTTCTCCAGATTGGCAAAAAATCAACTACATGCTAAGTTTCAAATGTAAACATATATGGCCGCCATGGTAAAAATAATTAGACTTTGTCGCACTTAAACAACTTTTAAATTCTTGATAATCTTAATACTACAGTCAAAAGTCTTTAATGCGGACATCCATAATCCGGCCCTCAAAGCTACAAACTTTCTGCGCATGTCTAAACACATTATGTGTTTACACATGCGCGTTTAATCTATAATGGAGGGTATAAGCTAAGCTAAAATTATACAATTATCTATTTCAGTTAATGTTGCATATTGCGTTGTTCTTTAATCTTCGAATTGGATATGGCTTATTATTTTTTGCAGACTGTTAGAGCAATTTTATAAAAGTAAGCTTGAACTTTCGATTATGTCAAAAAGAATTTCCGATTCTGGAGCTGCCAAAGGATCTACAAAGCGAAAGCATGTTTCGATGTCCATCAAACATAAAGTGTAATTGCTGGGGGGGGGAAGATAAAGGCATATCCTTTGTTTATCTAACAATTCCGAAATCTGTTTATCGATTTCACGCTGCTCTGGGGGGGAAGGGGGGGACGCCGCGGCACGCAATTAATTGGAAGTTGATCTGTCAGCACTATCCTTATCTTCAGGGCAGATGTTTTTATTTTATTTGGCTTATAATTCCTTACTAAATGTAGTATTTCATCTCGATGTACTCCGGCTTTGATATGATTTAAATCAAATTCCTCGTCATTATAAATATCACGAATACATATCAAATAGTTTCTGGTTGCAATTTTCTAATTTCGACTATGCATAATGTATGCTTTACGCATACTCACGTTGAAAAAAATGTTTAATAAAGTAAACAAATAAATATTAAGCTCTTTTTGTGTGTGTGTGTACATTTTGATGCCCTTTAGATCATAATTGCTCTTTATTTCATAAATTACGGTTTCATATTTTAATTTTTCAATTTCTGCATGCCATCTTACCAGATTTAAATTGATGATCTATAATCCGGAATTGCCGAAGTCCTGACGAGTCCGAATTAAAGACTTTTGACTGTATAACATGGAGGTTAATTAAAGGCATAACAACCTTAACAGGAAGCTAAGAAAAACATAATTCAATCATTTTTAAAGCAAAAAGTGCACAATTTACAAACATATAAGAATAAAGAAACTGAACTGAGTAACAGAGCGGAGGTATATATATATTTATATACTTTTGGTGTGGCTGAATGGAACCAAAATGGGAGGTGCACTTCTACATGTCACAGCAGTCCTATATACAAAATTTCAATGTTCTGAGGCTTAGTTTTGAGTTATGCAAGATGCATACATACATACACCATGAAAACAATCTCTTCAGAATCCATTTTAAATCAGTTTTAGAATTTTTTTGGGGGGAGGGGGAAGAGTCCTTTATTCTGTACTTATGTACAGATATCGGACAAAAACATCGTTAAATTGCATTCGAAAGGGACATTTTTGTTGAAATACGATACCTGAAATTTTTCATGATTACAATACTTCCTTTTTACTTTGTTCAAGGAAATTAAAAAATAAATAAATAAATAATAAAAAACAGCAATTATCTAACTCTGTTTCATAACAAATGTAAATTCCATTAAAGCATTAAATGCAGTGTTTCTTAGAAACATAGAATGGAAATAAATTCAGATGCACTCTTTCTAAGCTCATCAGTTTCACTTTTTCATTTCTTGAAGTGTACATCTTTGTAATAAAGAAGTTTTAGAATAATTAGTGTGGGAACCCTAAAGAATTCGTCTCTCATGAGGATCACGTGCGCAGATACATTACGTCTGCCTTTCTGTTTGATAAATAGTTGCATTTAAGATTTTGCAGAATAAGAAATGGCATTTTTTTTTTTTTTTTTTTTTTTTTTTTTTTTTTTTTTTTTTTTATGAGTGTCGGTTCAGATTTTCGGACCAATAATTTACTTGTTAAGAATCATAATTTGGCGAGCCTAGCCAACATGAATGTCACAGGGTGACATTATTGATTTGGACACTTGATAATTTACGAAAATAAGAGAATTTCCTAGGTGCAAACACGGAGGATTTAGAAATACTAAAACAGAAGCGGAAAGCAATCAGTGCATTTACGAAAACAGTTAATAAATTGGAAGAACTGATACGATCAGATTCTCCGGATTTGGACGACTTAGAAATTTCTTTAGACTAAATTTCAGAGAAGTATAAAACTTTACGAAATACGGATGATTCTTTTTTTGAATTTCTACAGAAAAAAGGCTGTACTCAAGAAGAATACGAAAGTGAATTCAGTGCAGCATGAGAATATTACAATAAATTATCTACGTTGAAAGTAAAAGCTAACAGGAAAAAGGATAAGTGTTCACAGCCTTCAACTGGTTCAACAAACCACAAACCACCAACTGCCAGAGATCAAACTAGTGAATTTCGATGAACCACTGAAACTGATTGACGTTTTGGACAAAGTTTAGTAAAACACAAGAAGGTACTCGCATCGACCAGAGAGACAAGTTTCATTATTTACTACAATCTACAAAACCTGAGACTGTGCCAAGAGCAATAGTGGAAAGTTTTCCTGCTACGGAAGAAAATTACGAAAGAGCACGTTCTTTGAGGTATTCCACAATACCTCTTGTGGAATTGTATACCTCAAAGAGGTATTGTGGAATACCTCAAAGAGCGATTTGGAAATGACAATGTTTCAATTCAAATTTATGTTAGAGAGCTATTAAAACTGGTAATCAATAACAAACAAAAGACAGACTTATTAACTCTTTATGACAAATTGCAAACACAACTATGCAATGTGTGTGTAATTATGGCAAAGCCTTGAGGGCTATCCTCCTAAGGGGAGGGATGCCTTCATGGAGGACTTTCTAAGGGAAACTGGCTCATATACACATTAAACATGGGGAAAACCACAAAAATGCCCATGCAGCCAGCCCATTCGCGGGATTCGAACCTCGGACCGAAATACCAGTGTTCAGCGACTTTACCGCTCGGCCGCTGGTGGGCCTTCAAATACGTGCATTGGAATCATTCGGTTTAACTAAAGATAAATTTGCAGTTGTTTATTTCCTTTAGTGGAATCAGCACTTACTGCTGATTTAATACAAATTAGGGAAAGAAAAGGATACAAATTTGGGACAGACAATCAGCAGCACTTGCTGCTGATTTAATACAAATTTGGAGAAAATCACTGTTACCTGAAACAAGAGGTAATAGTGATTTAGAGTCATTAATTGATTTTCTAAAAAGGGAAGTAGAAACTGAATTTAGAGTTAAACTTACCCGTAATGTTTTGGGTTCTGATAAAGTAAGTAATAGGAAAAATAAGTTTTTTGACACAAAGCTTGTTGTTCCAATTGCATGTGACTAATTCATGCAAATGGTAGTAATAATAAGTGTAAGGAAAAATTTTAAAAGTATGAAAAGTCTGATACTTGCATTTTTCATGAAAAATCTTAAGAAGACCATCCAGTATCCAAATACCTAGATGGGTAAGTCTCAAATCAATTAATGAAGCTGTGAGTATACATCTCTTTTGTGACAGTAGTAAAAGTGTGTATGGTGCATGCGTCTTTTTAAGAGTACAGAGTGGGAAAAAGGTAAAGGTTAGTTTGGTACTTGCCAGATCGAGAGTAGTGCCTTTAAAACCTATTATGATTACTGGATTAGATGGTTCTAGGTTATTGTCCTCAGTTATTAATGATATTGATCTACATGAAGTTCGTATTCACTGTTGGTCTGATTCCTCGACAGCTTTAAGTTGGGTACGGCGAAATCAACGTTGGGAAGCATTCGTTTTTAATCATGTACAGGAAATAAGGTCTTTGACCTCTCTCACTGTATGGCAACATGCCCCTGGTAGTCTCAATCCTGAGGATCTACTTTCTAGAGGTTGTTATGCAGATCAATTAATAGAACAAAAATGGTGGGAGGGACCTGATTAGTTATGGAAAGATGAGGCAAATTGGCCTAAATCTAATGATGAACCAGATGAGCATTTAGTTAATTCAGAAATATGTAAAAGAATTATTGTTACGTTGGTAAAGAATGATAATTATATTGGATGGCATTATAAGTATTTCTCATCATTTAAGAAAATTGTAAGAATGTTATCATGGATATTCAGATTTTATAATAATGTACATAATAATAATAATAACCATTCTAAGGATTTGACTGTATCTGAAATGCAAAGGGGAGAAATAGCTTTATTGTTATTAATACAAAAAGAGTCGTTTAATGGTGAAATGGATAAACTAAGAGGACTCGGACCATTTGTTGATAGTCAGGGTCTAATAAGAGCTAAGTCTAATGTTACTTATCGCGATGACTTTAGCAGCTTTAAGTTCCCCATCATATTACCTTCTGAACATCCAGTAGTCAAATTATTGATATTAAGTGCCCACAAAGATTTGTTGCATGCAGGTACTACACTGATGTTGCATTTAAGAGAAAGATGCTCGATTTTAAAATCACATAAAACTATAAGGAACTGTATACGAAAATGTGTAACATGTCAGAGATTTAAGGCTAAAAGAGGTGAGACAGTCCCAGGCGTTTTACCAAATGATAGGGTTCGCGATTCAGCCATTTTTAAAATTGTAGGATGTAATCTTGCAGGACCCTTGCATTTAAAGGATGAATGAAAATCATATATTGTGCTCTTCACCTGTGCGGTTTATCTGGAACTGGTTACCTCATTAACAAATGAATTATTTTTCCAGGCTTTAAGGCGTTTTATCGCACACGTCGTGATGACACTACCTAGAACCATATATTCTGATAATGGGAACAAATTTTGTGGGTGCAGAGAGAGAGAGTTCTGCAAACCATTGACTTGGACTGCCTCTGCTCTAAGGCTGCTGAAAAGATAATACAATGGAAATTTAATCCTCCATCCGCCGCTTGGTGGGGTGGATGGTGGAAGCGTTTAATACAAATTGTAAAACAAATATTGAGAAAAATTTTTGGTCGTCCTTCTCTTGGTTATAAAGAGTTACTCACCGTCTTGTACGATTGTGAAAGAATTCTCAAATCAAGACCACTTATGTACGTGCCTGACGATATTGAAGATCCCTTGCCTTTAACTCCGGAAAAATTTCTGCATGAAACTCAACAGTTGGGTGTACCTGATACTGACAATGTGGACAAAGAAAAATTGAGTAGAAGAGTGAAGCATCTCCAGAGGATTAGAGCATTGTTAAGAGCGAGATTTCACTCTGAGTATCTACAGCAGTTAATCAGTCTACCAGCAGTCTACCAGAAATTACCAAAATAAACCTCTCTCTGTAGGAGAAATTCGTCTTGCTGGAGGATCAAAATAAAAACCGTGCATATTTGAATTTAGCACACGTTATTCGGGTGATCCCTGGTCAAGATGACAACAAAATCGTAAAAAGTAATAATTCAGAGTTCTTGAGACCAATACAGAGATTGTTTAGATTGGAACTGGATAATATAATAGATAATACTAAAAATGAGCAAGTTCCTTTCACCACCAGTAGTGGTAGAGTTGTAAAATTACGAATAATGTAATTCATGTCTTTGAGTTATTATGATTTATTTTGTTGTGCTATTATTGTTGTATTATTCATCAGTATTAATTTTGTTTTCAATAATATGATTTAAGTATTAAGTAATTTTTGTTATATATTATTGTTGTTATATAACCCCCATTTATATTGATGTAAGTTTTATGTTTTGAGTGTGTAGCCATCCACTGAAAAGGTGGGAAAATTTGGCAACGCTAAAGAATTCGTCTGTCACTAGAATCACGCGCGCAGATACATTAAGTCTACTTTTCTGTTTGATAAATAGTTGCATTTAAGATTTTGTAGAATAAGAAATAGTGATTTTTTTTTTTTTTTAAAGCGTTGGCTCAGATTTTTTAAACCAATAATTTACTTGTTAAGCAACAATTAGCACAGGAAATTTTTTTTTTAACAACATGTAAAATTTTCAATATAAATGCTCTTTTCTGTGTTTTTTCAGGTTAAAAAGTTTCAGTACACTTCTTTTATCGGCACCGAATTAAAAAATGTATGTATGTATGTGTTCATCTATGCATGTATATAAGTGCGTACATGCGTATGTATGATGTATGTGTATATATTATGTATATATATACACACATACATACATACGCATATATACCCGTGCATGCGATAACAGTAGAGTACCAAAGTTTCCATTTATCCCACAGCAGAAAATCAGTTCTTCTAGCTAGTCTTAAATTTTCCCAATTAATATATTTTATTTAAACCAGGTTATGAATATGTTGCATTGGAATGCAAAATACCATAAAAATGAATAAATATTAAATGCAGTGTTTCTTAGAAATAGAGAATATAAAAAAATTCATACTTACTCTTTTCAAGCTCATCAGTTTTCTTCTTTTCAACATCCAAAGCTTCAATAGCTTCTTGTTGGTTTTGTTGTAATTCACGAAACCTTCCTTCAAGAGTGCTTTTCTCTAGAGAAAAAAATTTTAGAACAATTAGCATAACTGAAGGGACAAAAGATAGAATGTCATATCATAATGTAGGAAAAATTAAATTAAAAGATTAAATAACTTAGACAGATACAGGATTTCAATCATAAATGTCTTTCCTATGCTTCTCCAGATTTAACAACTTTCTGATTACAGCATAGCAGAAATTTATTTTTTTTAGCTATTCTTAAGTTTTAGCATTTAATATTTTTTTCACATTTAAAACACTTTCTCAGTATCTTTTCATGTGTGCTACTGCTAATCAAGATTGAAAAACATTACAATATTTGTCATATATGCATAGTTGTACTGTACACACACAAATATTTATACACAAGACATAAGGTTCTAAATCTGAACGTCTAATATCGGGACCTCCTGGGAAAATACAGTACAAAGTCCGAAATCCCAACTTGTTGGAACTTCGACGATTCCGGATTTGGGATTTTTCCAGATATTAGATCATCAGTTTAAATCTAGTAAGATGGCATGTAGAAATTATAAAATTAAAAATATAAAATTGTGATTTATGAAATAATGAAGTATTTATGATCAAAATTTACACAATCAAATTTTGGGTATCAAATTTTACAAATTGAATTTTGGGTATCTAAATAAATAAATAAAAGGTGCTTAATATTCATTTGTTTACCTTATTAAATCTTTCTTTCAATGTAACTTGCTTTTTGTGCTAATACTTTCTCTTTAATTCTGTAGACAGACATAATCTCTTGTTCAGTTACATTGTTGAAGTCCTGCAACTGCTGTTTCGAGAATTCTGACTAACTTACCAATCAAAATTTTCTCGTTTTCAGTAACTTCTCTGTCACTTTCTTCAATATCGGTAGCGGTATTTTCTGGATCTAGAAATCATACTACAGATTTCGCCATTCATTATTTGATTGATAATTGAGAAGCATTGTCATTACAATGAAAAACTTCCTTTTATATCATCGACATTTATTACCGCTTCTCCACATTTCTTTACAAAACCTGTTAATTGGAAAATTTTAGCTTGTTTAGTGATATCCAAAAACCTTTAAAATTAGCGACCATCATCATCAAATTTAGCTATTCTTCACTATACATATTTGCCTATGCATGAGTTTGGCAACTAACGACAAGTCGTTACGTTAAATTTTATCTTGCTTCTATCATGCACTGAGACAATTAAGCCTGAATTGTATTAGTTTAGTTATTTATTATATTTATGCCTATTTTTTGCACATGCTTAAGGCTTACCAGAGTTTTGAATAAATAAATTCCCACCATATACTTAAGCCTTATTGAGACCCGATGCTAGATATCTTACTGCTTGATGCAGTCTCTGTGGGTCCTAAATTATGTGACCAGGCCTGACGCTGGTTCCGGGTTTATGTGAATAACAAATCAGTTATTCTTAATTCAAATAGTCCTAAATGTAATCTTTGGGTCTATGAGTATCATCAACAAAATCTTATTTTTAGCATATGGAAAGAAATTTGTTAAATTTTTTCTTTAAGACATTTTTCGCGCATTTAACTTAAATCTGTAATCATCACCAAGCGTAATGTTAACATAAAAGGTTACCATACAATACTCCTTTATTATTCAATTACTAACATAAAAAAATTATCCACACATCGCTGCATGAGTCATTACTCAATTTATCATGTTTTGATAAACATGCGGTGATGAAAGTATAATAAATAATGATTCGCCAGGTTGGCGTCAGACCAACAATGTATCTATGTGGAATGTTTGGGCTTGAGATGTATGCCAAGCACATATGCAGGAACGAAGCCTAATTACTGATCGTATAAATTTATGCTAAAATGATTGTTTCTTCAATAATAAGGTATTTTATTTAGTGTCGAAGTGAAATTAAGAATCATGACTCTCCAGCTGTTTTATTATGCGCAGAGGGTGGAATCAAATGCGTAAAGCCTACAAGAGAACTGCGGTTTTGAGGTCCGGATTTTAGATCATTCCGAATTATGGACTTTGTACTGTATAATATAAAAGAAATCCCCCCCACTTACAAAACCTGCAAAAGGTTAACATAACACTCAAATAAAAGGAAACTCAAAAACATAAAATACAATTTTTTTCCCAGCTTAACTGAGATATCGGCATGACGAGTTCAAACACCTACTGCCTACCCAGTAATAGTATTGCTAATACAAAAAGTTGATTGACAGCGACTAGGATGATAATTTCAACCTGGTGGCTCAAGTGGCTGTGGAAAAGTAGAATTTTTCTATCTCACCTAAACAATAAGTTAAAACAAAATGCCATCTAACTGGATTTAAAGCGAAGATCTAAAATTCTAAAAATCGATTCTGGATATCAAACATCATAAAGAAATATTAACAAGCACAGGTAAATGTCCAGCATAGGCTGCGAGATGAAGTCGCTGAACACCAGTAGTTTGACTCCAGGCTGACTGCATATGCAATTTTGTAGTTTTAACATGTGTAATGTGAATATGAGTCAGTTTCCCTTAGAGAATTCTTCACAAAGGCATCAGTCTTTGCATACTCTTCAAATAAGCAAATAAACCAAATCAAATCATCAATATAAAAATAATTTCCATACCTTGTTTCAATTTATCTATTTCCGTTTTCAAGTTTTCTATTTCTTCGCATTTTTCCTTTAAGACAGCTGCACCTACAGGAAAATTTACTGAATTAATAGTGAATGTTTTTTTTTTTTTTTTTTTTTTTTTTTTTTTTTTTTTTTTTTTTTTTAAGAGAGAGAGAGGAGAAAAGAAAAAAAAAAATTATGAGAGTAAAAGAAAATAATAAATATTTAGACATATAATAGAAGAAAGGATACAAGTGCTCACATAATTCAATCTTTCAAGAGCAACAAATGACATTTTTATTTTCTCAGAAAGTAACCCGGATGCAGCATTTTAAGATGATGGCCTTCAAATATGTGCATATTTTTAAATTTTGAAACAATTAGATAAATTTTTATACATCAAGTCACCTTTTTTCAATAAAGACTGGACTAAATAACATGTACGGTTAACACGATCCTAGAGGTTCACTTTTTTAAATGGCCAACATTCTAACAAACAAACATAGGTTTTTTGATGATGATAATTTTCTACAAAACAAAAACTCCCGCTTTTTTGGCAATTTGAGATTTCTTAAAGGAGGGTTTTTCTGTACAATAATTAATAATATTGCTCCAAAATGTAAAAAAAACACTCAAATAATTTTCTACAGTAATTTTTAAACGTTCACAAGAAAAATATCAGCTTAAATTCAACACAAAATTTATGAACAAATGTAAACTCCATGAAAAATTAAATCTTACTAAATGCAGAGTTTCCTAGAAATACAGAATATAATTAAATTCAGACACACTCTTTCTAAGTTCATCAGTTTTCTCCGGCAAAGCTTTGACAGCTTCTTGAAAGCTGTACTGTAATTCACCGAATGTTTCTCCAGGTGTATTTTTTTTTTTTTTTTTTTTTTTTTTTTTTTTTTTTAAATAAGAAAGTTTTAGATTCAACATAAATGCTCTTTTCTATGCTTTTTTCAGATTAAACAGTTTCCATTTATCAAACAACAGAAATTCGGTCTTTCCAGGTAATCTTAAATTTTCCTAATTAAGTAATTGATATATTTGATTTAAGACAGCTAGTTAATATGTTACCTCAGACCCACCAGCAAATATACAGATTGATTAATGGATAAAGATATAAAAGATGTTAATAAAGTAAAAGTCGACCCGCAACCGAGAGGTGAAAAAGTCGAACTAATGGTTCGGCCTAGATTCCTGGCAAAAGAGCTCGCTGCAAGGGTGTTTGTGTAGATTTCAAATTTGCAATGTGGATACAAGCCACTTTTTCTTAAAACATCCTCCACAATGGCATTGCTCTCCTTAGACAGTTAGAACTATTTGCTTCCTTATAAACAAATAATAATAATAATAATAATAAAACCACCAGTGCAAAAATAATTTCTAGACCTTGTTTCAGTTTATCCATTTCTGTTTTCAAACCCTCTACTTCTTCGCATTTTTCTTCAAAGGCTGCCACACCTATAGGATAATACACTGATTTAATATTGGACTCTAAAATAAAGAAATTATGAGTAAAAGAAAATAAAACTTAGCCATACAATAGAACTAATAATACAAGTACTCAAATAATTTGATCCTTAAAAAGCATTAAATGACAATATCATTTACTTATCAAGTGATAAGAATGCAGCCCTTTTACAATTCAATTCTTTATACACATATGCACACTTCTTTATAAACGTTAAATTGATAAGATCAATTCTTGAACATATTACTTTACTTTTTTTTAACAATAAAGCAATAAGCTACATAATATATTAAATAACCCTATCCTAAAGGATCACTTCCTAAAAAGACCAACATTTCTCAGAACAAACAAACATAGGTATAGACGGTAATAATATTCTTTAAAATAAAAACTTCAACTAAATCAAGGATATCAAATATATATTACGACACAAAAGAAGGCCTTGTTTCATCATAAATGTAAAATATCTCTACATTAATTAAATGAAGTAACTGTCTACACAGCTGGTAGAATAAATTAATATTTAAATGGCATAAAGGGTTGTGGTTTCTAATAAATACCCAATAGGATCAAATCCACACATACTTTTTCGAAGATCATCAGCTTTCTTCTTCTCAGATGTCGAAATATGAACAGCTTCTTCAAGGTCTTGTTCCAGTTTATGGATAATTTCTTCAAGAGCGCTTTTTTCTAGATAATGAAATTTTAGAACAGTTAGCAGAATTCACAGGTACAAAATCTACGTTACCATATCACAAATACTCATAGCCATAAATATGTAGTTTTAGGGAATATCAGAACCATAATATTTATGTAGTCTTATTATATTTTTAATTACATTTCTTTTGTGTTGAGGTTGATCAGTCTTTTTTGTGATTCATCATTAAATTATGGAGATTTTCATTAATTTAAATTAAATGTCATATTATATATAAATTATGAAAGTAAAAGTATGAAGTTAGAGTCTTTGAATGAAAAATTTTTATAGCATAGCTTGAATATTTTTTGCTCACCATAGCTTAAATTGTTTGCCAAATTGGATTTTAAAAAAATGCCACTTTTAGGGGTTCATTTTACTTTTGTAATTGGAAGAATAATATTAAAATTAACATTTCTAATATTTTCAAGCATTTATACTGGAAAAAAAGTACTTCCTTTGGAAGTTATATATATATATAATATTTTTATGGTTTTTCAGCATTATTTTAAACCCATCACACTAAAGCAAGATCAAGATAGACAAAATAAGAACATGTAAAGCTACTGAAAATAAGTCATCAGTTTTAAAACACAGAAATTCAAAGATAAAATTCTTTAATAATTTATTAACATAGCTCCAAAATATAGCAACACATAAGAGATTTTTTTAGACCAGTTCCATTAACTTTTTGCAAAAACAATATCAGCTTAAATACAGAGCAAATTTTATGGTGGTTTAATATTTAATAAGGAATGCATAATTCCATAAGTGAATAAATATTTAATGCAGTGTTTATTAGAATTAGGAGATATAATTAAATTCATGCTTACTTTTTTCAAGTTCATCAACTTTCTTCTTTTCAACTGCCAAAGCTTCAAGAGCTTTCTGATGGTTTTGTTGTAATTCACAGATCTTTTCTTCAACAGTACTTTTTTCTAGATAGAGAAATTTTATAACAATAAGCAAAATTGAAAGGGAAAAAATATAAATCACCATATCATAATGTATGAAAGTTTTAATGAAAGGATTTTAAAAACTTTAGCAGATACAGTATTTCCATAATGAATACTCTTTCCTATGCTTTTTTCAGATTTACCACCTTTCCGCCTATAGAATAACAGAAATGTGTTCTTTTTAGTAATCCTTAAATATTAATAATTAATATTTTAAAATTTAAAACAGTTTTTCAGTATTTTTTATATGTGCTACTGTTAAGATTAAAAATCATAACAATATTTATCACATATGTGTGTATATATATATTTGATGGAAATGTTGAGACTCCACGAAAATGTTAAATAATGACTGTTAATCACAGCCAAAAAAATTATACTTAAGTCTAGCATTACAATTAAAAAATATGCAAATTTATGTTACATAAAGTTTGGATGGAGGTAAATGTCAATATGTACAACATCTATGACACACGGATCTGCTCCGAACTGGTTTCCTTACCACTACAGACTGTCTCCCTGACACGTGGTGCCATCTCTTGGGTGTGACCAGCCATATTATATATATATATACACACACACACATATATATATTTGGGATAATATAAATAATATAAAAAAGGACCCTCACTCACAAAACATATTAATGATTACAATAACACTCATTAAAAGAAAGCTGTGCCAAAAATATGAATTTTCTCCATATTAACTGAGATATCATGTTCAAACACTCCCTGCTCGGCAATGACAAAAGTTGATTGACATTGAGCAGGACGACACTTTCGAACCTCATGTGGCTATGCAAAGGTAGATGTTATTATCTGACCTAAATAATAATGTAAGATCAAATCTGGCAATGTATACATGCCATCTTACTGGATTTAAAGTGAAAATCTAAAATTTGGAATCACAGAGGTTCCAACATTACCAGATAGTGAACATCATAGAGTAATCAGTAGTTTGGAGTAAGTTCGATTCCAGGCAAATGAGCTAGATGCATAGGAATTTTTATATTTTAACGTGTACTATTGATACGAGTCAGTTTCCCTTAGAGTTCTCCACAAAGGCATCACTCTGCTTAGCAGTTAGCCTCCACATACTTAACCATAATCATATAAACCAAGCCAAATCATCAATGTAAAAATAAGTTCCATACCTTGTTTCAGTTTATCTATTTCTGTTTTCAACTTTTTTATTTCTTCACATTTTTCCTCCAAGCCAGCTGCACCTATGAGACAATATACTAAATTAATATTTGACATTAAAATAAAGAAATTATGAGTAAAAGAAAATAAACAGCCAAATAATAGAAGAAAGGATAATAGCGCCCAAATAATTTATACCTTGAGAAGCAACAAACAACATTTTTATTTAATTAAAAAGTAACACAAATGCAGTTTTTTAGGATACAAGGTCTTGCTAGGTTCAATATATATAGATCTGAAACACAGAATTTTCTCGGATGATAAACAAATTAAAAAGGCAAAGAAAGCCATCTATGAACTTTCATTAAGAATGAAATTATTCTCAAAGCAAATGAAAATAAAGAACCAAAAGCCTTTAGATATAAAAATGAAAAAATACAAACAAGATTTCTACATGAACTTTAAAGAAATAGAGAAATATAATTGCACTTGCAAGACACCTCTTTTAGAACTTATAAAAATCTATCCTGAAAAGTTAAAAGTAGCCCTAAAAGTAACACCTCTTCCCCCTACTCAAGTTCAGTGTGAAAAGACTCTTCTCAGCTCTGAAGTTTATCAAAACGAATCTATGGACCTCCAACAAAAAAGATTTTGCTGAAGCTATACTGTTTCTTAAAAATAACTAATGCCAGTTTTCCATTTCATAATAAATGCCAATTAATATAAATAATTTGCTATGCCATCAATTTTTTTCATAGCATCTATTACTTCTTTTATATTAAAAAAATAAGATGAAACCAGTGTGATGTGTTTACATATATATACGAGGGAGTCCAAGTTTGTCATTTTCCCTATCAAGTCCACAGCCCTGTTCAAAGGGTTAAAATATCATACTACTGGAAAATTTTAATGAAAGTATTTAAAAGCATTTTTAGCATATGTACAATTTTCAACGTAAATTCTCTTCTTTATACATTTCAGATTTGTCACACAATTGAAATTCAGTCTTTCCAGCTAGTCTAAAATTTTCCTAATTAATTAATATATTTTATTTAAAATGCCTGAAAATCAAAACTTTGCATTAGGCCCACCAGCATATATATACGAGGGCTATCCAGAAAGTAGATTACGTTTTGGAATAAAAAAATAAACAAAGTATAGGAAACAAATTTTATTATATACAGATGAAAGCCACACTCAAATACTACTTTTCTACATAGTCACCATACAAATTAAGGCATTTATCGTAGCGATGTACGAGCTTGGAAATTCCTTCGTCGAAAAATTCGGCCGCCTGCGCCTTCAACCACTTCGTTACCTCTTCTTGCAGCTGTGCGTCGTCATCAAAACGCTGCATAGCCAGCCACTTCTTCATTGCTGGGAATAGGTGGAAGTCGCTCGGTGCCAGGTCGGGACTGTACGGCGGATGAGGAGGAAACAACTCCCACTTAAAAGATTCAAGAACTTTACGAGTGACATTTGCCGTGTGGGGCCGGGCGTTGTCGTGAAATCAACAAGATCTTAGAGCTCAACATTCCTCTGCGCTTGTTTTGAATTGCTCTTCTGAGTTTTTGGAGAGTTTGGCAATACCTTTGAGAGTTTATTGTAGTGCCTCTTTCCAGGAAGTCCACCAAAATTAACACCTTTTCTGTCCCAAAAAAACAGTCGCCATCATCTTCCTTGCCGACATTGTTTGCATGCATTTCTTGGGTTTTTGGGGTTGAACTTGTGTGCCCCCACTGCATTGATTGCAATTTCGTTTCACAGTTCACATGTTTCACCCATGTTTCGTCACCAGTAACGATGCGATCGAGTAAAGAGTTCACCATCCTTATGGTAAGCGTCCAAAAGTTCAACGCTGCAGCCATTCGCTGATTTTTGTGGTCCTCTGTCAAGATTTTTGGAATCCATCTTGCACAAAACTTGTGGTAACCAAGCTTTTCGCTGATGATTTCGTGCAACAAACTTCGCGAAATTTGTGGACGGAAAACTCAAAGAAAGTTCCGTTATTGTGAAATTTCGATTTTCACGGACTTTAGCATCGACTTTTTCGAGAAGTTCGGCGGTCACTATGCTGGGTCTCCCACTTCGATCTTTGTCGTGAACATTGGTTCGGCCCATTTTGAAATCTTATGACCCACTGACGCACTTCACCTTCAGTGATAATGTTGTCCCCATACACTTCACGAAGCTGCCGATAGATTTCTATCGGTTTACAGTTTTTTGCAGTCAGAAACCTTATTACTGAGCGCACCTCGCAGCTCGCGGGATTTTCAATTAACGCAGACATTTCAAACCGTCACAGTATCTGAACGGAGCACAGCACGAACCTCTCACTAGCACGGCTAGATGCAGACTGAGCTGCGCAACGCTCTGACCCCAAGATGGCCGCGCTAGCCCCGCCCCTAGCGGACACAGACGGAAACGTAATCTACTTCCTGGATGGTCCTCGTATATATACATATCTTACAGTAAACGCCTGAAGTCTGATAAATCCTAGGTTTTACAAGTAAAAGCTAGCTTTTACCAAAGTGGCTTGTTAAAACCTAGGAATTACCAATGCCTTTTCGTAAAAGCCTGAAACGAGGGTTTTAAATAAAGGTTAATGCTTTGAATAAACCTGAGCACGTAAATTACGTTATGACAATTTTCTGTTCCTGTTCCTTCTTATTTACACCATTTGCAGTCTAGCTTTGAGCGAATTCAAATAAGTGTAAGCAGGTACGATCTAAAATAGAAGTATGTTTCTATTTCAACATATTTTGCGTTTTTTACTTCTGCTGAAAGGAAATAAGTGATGTTACACGGAAAAGGTTTCACCACAATTTGTCTGGATCTGTAAAAAATAAGCATAACAGCTTTTATTTAAAAAATAAGAAATACATTCTTTAATAAATGAAGTTAAAGAAGCACGATAAATACTTTCATTTAACAAATGAGATATACACTAATTTAATAAGTGGAAGAAGCAAAATATGTGAAGCACAGAAGTTCATTACAGAAGGTTGAAATGCTATATCCTAAACACTGCAGGAGAAGACAAACTTGCATGAACACTATCTCCAGAAAAAGCAGAAATCCTGTATTATACATTGCTCGACATTGAAAATGCAACACCAAGGAGTGGTTAGAAATTTATGCAAATTTTAGAGTAGAAGCACGTCACTGAGTTATGCGAATGATGTGAAATGAGCAGCTCACCGATGCACATGAAGTAAGACATAAGGGAAGCAACGAGCAGAATGGGCAATACTGGCGTCGTTATTTCTGTCAGACGAATTATCGAAGAAAGTTGGTTTTTGTCCCGGAGGATACGTGTAATAGGAGAGAATGCCAGGCTGCCGTCAACGAAGGCACTTCCAGCAGATAGACGATTTTAAGAGGAGTACGGTGATCGGACTGAGGAGGGAGGGTTAGTCCTTACGTCAAATCACAGCTGACACCCACATGGATGCGAGCATGGTTCATTGGCTATGGCGAACATGGAAACGTGGGAAGAAGGAGGGGTGCAGGTGCAGCCAAAGTGACGTCAGCACGCGTGGACGACTTGCGGGACTGCCAACAAGCTGTGGCGGTCCCGCAAGTCACTTGTACCGCGATTCTGCAGCATGTGCAAGATACCCTGGATGTTCCCATGTCGACCAGAACAATTTTCCGTTGATTTGTTGAACATGGCCTGCACTTACGGCGTCCGTTAAGAAGACTGCCACTGACCCCACAGCATAGACACTAACATTTAGAGTGGTGCCGGACTGAAGCTATGTGGATGACAGAATGGCGAAACGGCGTGTTCTCAGATGAATAACGCTTCTGTTTAGTGACAGTCACCGAATAGGTGTGTGGCGTCGACGTGGAGACAGATCTAATCTGGCAGTAACTGTGAAACACCACACCGCATGACAATGTGGCATAATGGTTTGGGGCGCTATTGCCTACGATTCCAGGTCGGTCACCTCTAGTTCACTAGACGGCTCACTAGGGCACTATGACGGCTCAACGATACTTGGATAATGTACTGCAACCGGTGGTAATCCCCTACCTTGAGGAGCTGCCTGATGCAATTTTTCAGCACAATAACGCCTGACCACACAGTGCTTGTATCTGCCAATATGCTCTGCAAGGAATACAGACGCTTCCCTGGCCACCATACTCTCCTGACCTGTCACCAATCAAACATGTGTGGGATGTGATTGGACGCCGTTTGCAGACTCTGCCCCTGCCTCGTTCAGAAGGCGAACTGTGTAAATAACAATATCATTTACTTATCATGTGATATGAATGCAGTCCTTTTACATTACAATTCTTTATACAGATATGCACAGTTCTTTATAAACCTTAAATTGATAAGATCAATTTTTGAACATGTTACTTTATGTTTTTACAATAAAGCAATAAACTACATAGCATATTAAATAACACTATCCTAGAGGGTCACTCGATACTGACATAGTCGCACGCACTCCAGAGTCACTCAGAGGGGCTTTTAGTACATGTCTAGAGGCTGCAGCCAGCAAAAACCATCTAGCAATTAACCAAAATAAAGTCAAATACATGCCATGTGGTAATAACAGCAGACCCTATTTTAAAATTGAGAATTACAAATTTGAAACTGTTAGCAAATTGGGTCAGAAATTAATACTCTCAATGATTTAATGCCCGAGATCCGTAGTAGAGTCATAGATGCTAACCGATGTTTTTTTGGTCTAAAAAAATACTTGAAATCTAACTTCACTAGCAGAAAAACGAAGATTTTAATTTACAAAAGCTTAATCAGACCCAATCTTACATACTCTGCTGAGACCTGGGCAATAACAGAAAAAGCTAAAAGTATCATTTCTGACTTTGAAAGAAAAATTTTGAGGAGTATTTTTTATGGCATAAAATGAAACAATATCTGGAAAAGAAGAACTAACTCTGAACTCTATAAATCCTTTAAAGAAATAGTTATAGGAAAATATATAAGGATTCAGAGAATTAAATGGGCAGGTCACCTGTGCAGAATGGATAAAAATTGAGTAACTAAAAAGATCTTCTTAGCCAGACCATTCGGCACCCGAAAAAGAGGGAGACCTAAACTTAGGTGGCTCGACTGTTTGGAAACAGGCTTAAGAATTTTAAATAACCAGTCGGATATCCATGGCCAGGGATAGAGAGCTGGAATTTCATTTGAGGACGGCAAGGGCCCATTCCTGGCTGTCTGGCATTGAAGAGAAGAGAGAGTCACTTCCTAAAATGACTAGCATTTCTGAGAACAAATAAACATAGGTGTAGACGATAATACTATTCTCTAAAATAAAACTTCAACTAAACCAAGAATATTAAATAATTACGACACAAAAGAAGCCTTGTTTCATCATAAATGTAAAATATCTCTACATTAATTAAATGAAGTACTGTCTACACAGCTGGTAGAATAAATTAATATTTAAATGGCATAAAGGGTCGTGGTTCCTAATGAATACCCAATAGGATCAAATCCACACATACTTTTTTGAAGATCATCAGCTTTCTTCTTCTCAGATGTTGAAACACGAACAGCTTCTTCAAGGTCTTGTTCCAATTTTTGGATAATTTCTTCAAGAGTGCTTTTTTCTAGATAATGAAATTTTAGAACAATTAGCAGAATTCAGAGGTATGAAATCTACATTATCATATCACAAATACTCATAGTTATAAATATGCAATTTTAGGAAAATATCAGAACCATAATATTTATGCTAAGTAATTTATTGTGTACAATTATTAACATATAGTGAAACTGAAAAAGAAGAACCAACAAATTTAATAACTGAATATAAAATAAAGATAAAATCTTATTATATTTTTAATTACATTTCTTTTTTGCTTCTTGAGGTTGATGTGACAGCCTGTCTTTTTTGCGATTCATCATTCAATTTTTTAAAGCCCCCTCCTCCTTTTTTTCCTTTTCCAATTACTGGATTGGGTTTTAATTAACCTACCTTCCAGCCCCTTGAAGCTTGTCATAACTGGTTTTGACAGTAATTTATTAAAAAATACTTGGATTGATGAATGTCTCCAAATGAAAATGTAAGAAAATGAGTTCAAACAAAATACAGAGCTCAGGAATTGCCAGAATGACGGTGACTGTGGTTCTGAAAATTTTCATGATTAAACCATTAACTCAAACTCAGCGTGATGTTATACCTAAATAAAATAAAATATTAATAAAAATATAAGCAAATTACGAAAACTAAAAATATGAAGTTAGAGTCTTTGAATCAAACATATCTATATCCTTTACCACTGCCTAAATTGTTTCCGTAACAATCTTGTATTCATTTTACTTTTGTAATTGAAAAAATAAAATAACATTCATAATATTTTTAAGCATTCAGACTGCAAATAAAGTGGGATTTTTCCTGGGAGTTGTCTTTTCTTGGTTCATGATTGCCTTAACAGGGAAGTTACATTTATGGTTCTTTGTATAAAGGTGCATAATAACTTGTCTATCACAATTTCATTTACTCATTTAGACAACATTCATTACATCAGGATTCTTTTAATGCCATTTCAGACTTTGATAATGAATTCATTCTCTGAATCACAAATTAGCAGCATATTTCGAGCAAAAAATAATTTATGGTTTAAAAAAAAAAAAATTTGATTACTTGCACATTAACAAAGTTATAAAATTAACAGTAAAATAAATGCAAAAAGTTACGCAGATAAAGATAAAAACTTATCAAATTGTGCAAATAACGTCAAGCAAACATTCATTTTTGACCAGTCATAATAGAACAAAACTGAAGTAACAGACTAGCACTTAATGGGGGTCTACAGTTATCTACGTGATTAATTTCATATTAAAAACAGAAATGATACGGGCAAAACAGTAAAAGGTAATAGAAAAATGAGATTCTCTATATAGCATATGACAAATTAGCAAAGGTGAAAAGCAGGATACTGCAGACAACGAGCAAAAACACAGCTAGTTAAAGGCATGAAATTTTAAAAGAAGTCAATATTAAAATTTACTTTGTTTTACTAAACTTTTCTTTCAAGATTAAGTTAATAAAATTAATAATTTCATTTTTTGTGGTAATATTTCCTCTTCAATTTTAGAGAAAAATGCAATTTCATTTTGAAGTTCTAAGTCCTTATTTCTTTCTCAAAAAGCACACTAAAACAATGAATTGAAATGTCGAATAGTACAATTTATAAAGCATTAAATTGGTAATCTTAACTTAGTTTTCTTTTCATAAGATTACTACAAATGCTTATAGTACTCAGTTTGTAATAAGAAGTGATAAAATTAAATGTAATTACAACAATATGAGAACTTTTAATGGTAATTTAAGCCATAAACTTAAGATATCGATTGTGCATACATTTTCTTTGTAGCATTTCTCTTCCAGTGTTGTTTGAGGTATTTTACTCTCTCACATATATATACGAGAAATCTGGCCCGTTTTGGCAGATTTACAAACTAATTTCCTAAATTTATATCTAAAAATTTTCATTTCCCCCCTATATTTGAATTTGTAGAAATATATTTATAATCATCTTTATGCAATGCATTGCTCAAATTTAACTTGAAATATTTATCTTGAATTTTCTTTCTTCTGAGACAGCACATGTAAGCTAAGCAAAATTTGAAAATGGACCATATACATAAATATATACATATATATAATCTATATTTTGTATTTAGTCGGCTATTTTTAATAGAATCGTAATTAAAATTGTTTTATTTCCCTGTGCGATGGAGCTTGTGATGAATTTTTAGAGAAAGCAATGCCAAAAAAGTAAAAATATAAGAGCATGTGCATTTAATAAAAGTTTATCGTCGTAATTGATATTTAATTTGTAGAAAGGTAACTGATTACAATGTTAACTGTAACCATAATTCTACACTTTTTGCTTTCCAGAAATTCCTAGATCACTCTCGTGCGGGAGATTTAAAAAGCTATAAAAGCCAGAGAGAGAGAACATTTCTCAGCTCAGTCGTTTTAGTAAGCTATTGTTGTTTACTTAGCTGCTGAAAATTTTGATCAGATTAGCTTTCTCTGCACTTTGGATTGGGTTCTGTTTAATGTTTTAGTAGTTTAAAATATAGGTACTGATTCTATTTCATAAAATTGTGATATTGTATGAAGAACTTTGAGGAAAAATTCTGCTTTTTGTCATATTTCTTGTGATAAGAAGAAATTGTATTAACTTTTTATCGGACTTGCGAATTCAATCTACTACGAAACCGTACGCACACAATAATATGTATATTCTATTTCTATTTACTGTACTATTTCTTGAAACACTGTTTAAAACCCAACAAAATCAAAACTCAGACAGACATCAGCGTTAAAATCACATTAAGCTGTTAAAAATGAGTCATTCATAAATTTTATAACACAAAAATTGAAAGATAAAATTCTTTAACAATTATCAATATTGCTCCAAAATACAACAAAAGAACACTAAATTTTTAGACCAAATTCTTTAAATTTTTAGACTAATTCCTTTAAATTTTTGCAAGCGAAATATCAGCTTCAATTCAGTGCAAAAGCCATTTGATATTTAGTGACGAATGTAAAATCCCATAAAAATTGAAGTATTAAATGTTAGTGTTTCTTGAAAAAAGAGAATATAATTAAATTCATGCTTACTCTTTTCAAGCTCATCAACATTCTTCTTTTCAAATGCCAAGGTTTCAGTAGCTTCCCGATGGTTTTGTTGTAATTCAAGGAACTTTCCTTCAAGAGTGCTCTTTTCTAAATAAAGGAATTTTAGAACAATTAGCATAGTTGAAAGAGATAACATATAAATCACCATATTATAATTTAGAAAAAATTTAATAAAAGGATTTGAAAACTTAAACAGATGTAGAATTTTAATCATGAATGCTCTTCCCTATGCTTTCTCAGATTTACCAGCTTTTCGATTACACTATAACAGAAATTTAATATTTTTAGTTATTCTTAAAATTTACCAGTTAATAACCTCCTTTTTTTAAATTTAATTGAAAGCAGCATATCAATATTTTCTATGCATGCTACTCTTAAGCAAGATTGAAGATCATTACAATATTAGTCAAAATTTTATATTACATATATAAGTATTACAGATTTTTTATACTAAGACAAAGTTATCCCATTATTAATTATGCAATATTATAGAGTTTCAGATTCAGTTGCATTCCACTTCCTATATTTTGGTCACTACAGTGGGAGTGACGGCAGGTACTTACCTGACTTCTTATAATGATAGGGAAAGGTTGTGTACTCCTACTCCATTTTAACTCAAAACGGACTCATGTAGTCAGTCTATTACAATCCTATACACACACAACAATATGGTAACGGGTGGTTACAGAGCTATTGTGGCAAAATTTTCAGAACTCGGTGACACACCGAGCAAAAAGAAAAATCTAAATATGACAAAAATTTTAGAATTTAAAACAGGCATTGGAAGCAGAATTTAGAAAGGCACTAGGCAGCAAAATTTAGGATCCACAGAGATTGCATCAAGTGGGAAAATGCCTAGCACCAGCTCTGTGTATGATGCATTAATGCATATTAGATGAACTTTTTAAATTGTTTTCAATTTCTTTATTAATAAAAAATAAATCCTTTCTATAATACCTGTCCCTGTGATAAGATTAAAGGAAATTTTGATATTTTCCATGCTTGTAACTAGCGCAAAGTAGAGAAAATAAAGACAATAACATGTCAAGAAAAAAATTCTATATTAGATGTAAAACATTCAAAATTATGTTTTCATTGTTCTTCCAGACATTCTCCAAAAAACATGAAATTCATCGCAAACTTTCTGTAAAATGCATCCATTACGTGTTAATACCATGGAGACATTTTTCATTTTGTCACATTTTTTTCCTGGAATCTTCTAGAAACGTAGGTCTATAAATCTTGCCTTCAAATCTCTGAACTTTTTAAGCTACAATGTCTAAAATCCTAAAGAAAAATTACTCCTATCAACTCAGTAACAACACACCACAAACACAAACAACACACAAAAAAAAAAAAAAAAAAAAAAAAAAAAAAAGGGGGGGGGGGTGGAGTGTTAATATCAAGAAAATTCATGCATATTCTGAGACAACTGCATGAGAAAAACACTTACGATGAAACAAAATTAAAGACATTTTTGATTAATTACATAGTTATTTTGTTTTTGCTAAAAACTGTTTTCTAAATTATGCTTTATAGCATTATACCTTGTTTATTTTTTAGATTCAAAATATTGCATACTAAGTGGCCCAAACGGAATTTTATAATAAATGACAACAAAAACTAAAAATATTATATTTTATTGTTATCTTTTTAAAAACAATTTGAATATATTACCATTACTTTAATATAATTTATCAATATAATGATACTAATTCAGAAGTCAAACAACAAAAATCAGCGTTATATTTTCAAAATTTTCGCAGGACTAGTTTCAATGGTTTTTACCGAAATTTCAGATGATTAAAATTAAGGACCTTCTAACGATTTTGGCTACATTTAAGGACTTTTAACGACCAAAAACAGATTCCAAAAAACATAAGGACTCTTAAGGACCATAAAAACATGAAATTTTTTCTACTAATATTTAAATGTACACTATACTACGAGTTCCTCAAAAAATAGCGCAGATACAGTCAAATACCAAAAAATCGTCGACCTGAAATCTGCGTTGCTTCTCAAAATATAAACATTCAGTTTATAGGTTCCGGAGACCGCAACATTGAGTACGAAATATCGAAGAAAAAATACTTACCAAATAATGACGTCATAATTACTGAATAATAATGAGTCATAACAGAAATATCAAACTATTGATATAAAAAAAGTTAAAAGTTTTTTCCTTCTAATCTCTGCATCGAGGTAAAAAAGCAGACGATTCACTTAACTCTTCGTTCAAGTTCACGATTCATAATGTTGTATTTCTATTATTTCTGTTATTTTTCGAGATTGTTTAGTGCTGCCTTTTTTTTATCCTGATATTTTGTGGATAAATTAAGAATATTTTAAATTTCAGCCCTTTTTAATACAATGACAGATAAGAAATGCACTCCACAGAAGCATCACTTTCCTTAGGCAGTTAGCACCTGCATACTGCCTCATAAGCAAATTAACCAAACCCTCAAAGTAAAAATCATTTGCATACCTTGTTTCAGTGTTTGTATTTCAGTTTTCAAATTTCCTACTTCTTTGCACATTTCCTCTAAGGCAGCTGCATCTATAGGACGATATGTACCGATTTAATATTGGACTTGAAAGAAAATTTTAGTAAAGCAAAGTAAATACAATAGAAGTAATGATACAGGTGCTTAAAATTTGAACATGAGGAATACTAAATGACAACTTATTTACTTATAAAACAATATGGATGGAGGCACTTTAGAATATAACACTTTATGCATATATGTGTAAATTATATATATTAAAATGATTATATCAATTTTTAAACGTACTACAATATTTTCTTACAACAATTACTATATTAAACCTGATGACATGCTAAGTAACCCTATCCTAGACTTTGAATTACAAGTAATTTTGCATTTACAGTCAAAAGTCGTTAATTCGGACACCCATAATCCGGACCTCAAAGCTACAAACTTTCTGCGCATGCGTCTGTTTGACGCAACCTTAACGGCTGCGTAAGACCTTTACGGCTGCGAATATGCGTGCGCAAAATATGTTTACGAATGCGCGTTTAATGTATAACGGATGGTATAAGCTAAGCTAAAATTATCTAATTCAGTTAATGTTGCAGATTGCGTTAATCCTTAATTTTCGAGCTGGATTCGGCTTATTATTTTTTGCAGACTGCTAGAGCAATTTTATAAAAGTAAGCTTGAACTTTTGACTATGTCAAATAGAATTTCTGATATATATTTACTAATATGCAAAGGATCTACAAAGCGAAAGTATGTTTCGAAGTCCATTAAACAAAAAGTGGAATTGCTGCGAAAAATGAATAAAGGCATATCCTTTGTTTATCTAAACTTTGTTTATCTTTAACGCTGCAGCGCGCAATGAATTGGAAGTTGATCTGTCAGCACTATCCTTATCTTCAGGGCAGATGTTTTTATTTTATTTGGCTTATAATTCCTTACTAAATGTAGTATTTCATCTCGATGTACTCCGTCTTTGATATGATTTAAATCAAATTCTTAGTCATTATAATTCGCTTCCGATAGCGAAGAAAGTAACAGAAGTTATTGAAAATGAAAAAATTTCGATTGACAAATTAGTCGGTATTCTTGACACAGCAATTATAGGACTTGAACAGCAGAACTTTGTAACTGAAAAAGAAATTATGTCTCTTTAACAGTATTAAATTATCACATGAAACGAAGCAACTTAAACAACTTACATTGAAAGAAATGTTTAATAAAGTAAACAAATAAATATTAAGCCTTTTGTTTTTTTTAAATTTTGATACTCTTTAGATCATAATTGTTCTTTTTTTCATAAATTACGGTTTCATATTTTAAATTTTATAATTTCTGCATGCCATCTTACCAGATTTAAACTGATGATCTATAATCCGGAAAAATCGATAATCCAGAATCGCTGAAGTTCCGACGAGTCCGGATTAACGACTTTTGACTGTATAAGTAATTGCTTTGTTTTATGATTTATTAATGGTAATATTTTGCTTAAATCATTTTAAGATCAAAGTTAATAATTTAAAAATTTTATGATTTAATTAAAATGTAGTTTTGTATTTCTGAATTGGGAAAAGTATTGAATTTTGTAAAAATTAGGTAAAGAATTTGAACGTTTTACTAAGGGAAGGCTCCTAATACGAATAATAGTTTTGTACTACTGTTTAAATTTCTTTGAATTTATATTTTTAATTTTTACTGTATGTTAAGAATGAAATTATTGTTTGAAAATTTTAAATTCTAAGAATTTCCTTAATGTTTTCAAGATAAACCTTAAGCTCTCGCCTTATGAAAAAATACCTTTTCTTATTAAACCAAAGTATTTTTTATTCTTTCATAAGACAGTGTGTTTTTAATTTTTTAGAATGGAATGATAGCAGTTCGAAAAAGGCCAGTTGCCTCTACAAAAAGAACAGAGGCCTTTTCTACAGCAACTGCTAATTTGGCAAATCTTTTGGCCACTGGTGAAAAATATTAAACACCAGTTTGCTCAACTGATAAACCAATGGTGATGGATATGCTAGTATTTAGAGAAAGTTGCGGAGTCTTCAAGTTTTGTAAAGAATAAGTAAATTTTAAATGTCTTAATAATAATGAAAAGTTTGAAATTTGTTGTGTTTATGAATGTGTTACAAAATTTTTATATTTTAAAATGCCTTCCCTAAAAACAATTAAATAACATGAAAGTTGGCATCTTAATTAGTATTATAATAGAAATATTTTCATCAACAAAAATTGGAAAGACCTTTATTTGAACATTTACTTTGTGAAAAAATTTGAGCTTTTCCCATGTGGAACTATCAAGAACTTTACAAAATTTCATTGGACATTTAATCTAAGAACTCTAAAATATGCTATTGCTTTAAAAGAATATAGTGCTTAAAATTAATAATTCAATTCAAAATTTTGACTTTCAATGAAATGTCAAAATATCAGTCAAACTTTTATGACAATAATTGTTTAAAAGTTAACACGTTCATGCCGGGGCCCATTTTTATGTTCTTCGGCGTGAGACGGCACTCGAATTTTTGCCAAGTTTCATCTGGCAGCACATGATTATTACCTGTTCAGACCTGCATACAAGTTGTACGTTTACTAATAGTTATTAATTATAATTATTATTTAAAAGTTTTTATAATAAATAAATGTTAATTTTTTATTATTTTAATTTTCAGCGTCTAATAACACAATTGAATGCATATCATCGGTGGCACGCGCCGTCCGATAAGAGAAATTAGTGCAAGCTGCCGGTTGTACGTACCGACCTTTGAGACAGACTAGTGCGGGCCACCCGGCGAGACAGACTGGTGCAGGCTGCCGTTGGTCTGTGCCGGCACTAATGTGTTAAATAGGTTCGTTAATAGGTTTTGTATTTTCAAAATTGTATTATTCATTTTGCTGTTCTAATGCTTGTTCTTCCCGCCTGCTCACCCAACCTTTCTTTTGAAGGGGGGATATGTAAGATATAACAAAGTATGATAGCTGTTTCAAAAAATAATTGACGACCTCAAAATTAACATTCTAAATTTCATGAGCCACCCTTAATTCATCTCTTTTCACAGGTTCCAGATTTTTCTATCTTACGTAACGTTTTAATGCAGATGCCTCTTGTCCAATCAAATTAATTGTAAACCAAAACTTTGAACTAAAACTCCCCCCCCCTCAATTTTTTTTCTCTGAATGTATTATAACTTTCCCCTTTTTTCCACATAAGCTGTCCTGCCGACAAGATACTTATTATGTATACTGCTTAAAACGATGACGTACTTCAAAATGCAACTTACCGTATTCAAATAAAATTAAGAAACATCTTGCCTGAAAACGGATGATTTCATATGTGTAAAAAAAAATAAAGATTGTGATTTTTCAAGATACATTGTGCTAAACTGCGTCATCATGCTTTCCACTCTGCCGCCTTCAGCCCACTTTGGTATTCTCGGTCATCTACGCAGTATCTAAGCTGTTAAAAGTTCCACTGTTTTTATCTATGCACTTTATATATATATATATATATATGCATGTAATATATTCAAACTCAGAAGCAATATAACCAGGAAATTGGGGCGAATGCAGATTAAATCTTCAGTTTTATTTTCAGCGACATTTTGCAGCTACACACAAGTCGACACTTTAAATGTGACTGTTTCAAAAGATTTGTTCTTTTTTAATAACTTTGTAGAAAGAAAGCAGCAGCAGACAGAGAGCAATGTAGCTAGGCCAAAGCATGGAATGAAAGTGCGTAATGATCAGGATGAAATCTGAAGTCAAACTGAGTTAGTTTTGGCTATCAAAGCATCTTGACTGAACAGTTAATATTGCTGTAAAATTATTATCGGCTGCTTGAGTTTTAGTTTAAAACGGATTTGCTCTATGCGAACCAGCAACCTTTAATTAACTTTCTGCAATTCACGATCTTCCATCTAGACCAGTACTTTCCAGAACATTCAAGCTTATTACATAATCAGGGTTCGTACACATTTCCTTACATGAAAATTAAGACTTTTAAGGACCATCAAAGAAAAAAATAAAGGACCTATCAGCAAATAAAAAAATGAACAGAATAAAGCAATTATCCATACACTGACTTCATCTTGTATTTCACTTAAGAAACTAACAGAGTGTGTTTATGCACTATTATTAATTCAATTAATACTTACCAAAAACAATTTTAAATTAAACTAACTCCTACAAGTTATGAAGAGATACATTAATTAGGAACATAACTCTGAAAATGTGTAAGTGTATTTTACACTAAATAACAGTTACTATTTTAGAGATTTACATGGTTATATTTAATTATTTGATATTTATTTAAACACACACAACCATTTTTTAGGCTTTTTTGAAGGGGTATGCTTTAGGCATGCGCATTAGATTTTTTTCCTCATCATAAAAAAACATGCCAGAAAGCCCGATTCTTAATCTCAGTTTGGCGCTAAATAAATATCTCATTATTGAAGAAATAATTATTTTAGCAAAATTTGTGTGATTAGTAACTTGACTCCATAGCTGCGTATCTGCTTGGCATAATCTCAAACCGAAACATTTGTTAATTTTACACCAACTAATATTTTATATCCTTGATGCCGAAATCGCGAATCATTATTTATTGTATTTTGCTTTCATCACCGCATGTTTATCAACGGATGACAACTTGAGTGATGAATCATGCAGCGACGCCAAATAACAGAGTATTATCCGATTACAGATTTAAGTTTAATGCGCTAAAATGTTGACAAGGGGAGATTTAGCAGAAATTTCTTTCCTTATGCTAAAAATAGATTTTGTTAATGATACTCATAGGACAAACGATTATATTTAGTGCTATTTGAATTAAGAATAACTGATTTGTTATTCACATAAAGCCAGAACCAGCGCCAGAGCTCGCATGGCCGCACCAGGCGGCAGAATTTATCGAAGTTAAACAGAGTTTTTCATTGCGATGACAATGCCCAATCATCATCAATGAACGGAGGGCGAAATCTGTAGTATGGTCTAAATCCAGAAATACAGCTACCGATAGTGAAGAAAGTAACGAGAGGTTACTGAACGAGAAAAAATTTTGATTGACAAGTTATTCGGAATTCTCGACACAGCAATTACAGGACTTGAACAATGGAACTTAATAACTGAACAGAAATTATATGTCTATAGTATTAGTCTAAGTATTAGCAGAGAAAACAATCAAACAACTCACATTGAAAGAAATGTTTAATAAATAAACAGATAATATTAAGCTCTTTTCTTTTGTAAATTTTGATACCCTTTCAAAATGCTTCATTATTTCATAAACGATTTCATATTTTCAATTTTATAATTTCTACGTGCCATCTTAGTAGATTTAAAATGATCTAATATCCGAAAAATCTCAAATCTGGATCGCCGTCCCGACGAGTCAGACCTGGATGTACTGTTAAATATATATATAAATACCTCGTGTGAACGCCACAGTCCAACTTATTTTGCAGCATATTTGTTACATATTGTATCTATATAATATATATATATTATATATAATACGGAATGTATTTTTTCAGTTAAACTTCTCCCAATAACTTTAGTAATTCTGAAAGTTAATTTTGCGTCTATTAATTCAGGAAGTTAGTTTCAATTAGCTGTTTTCAGCTTTAAAAATATAAAAATTTTAATTAGTTGTTTTCAACTAATAATTGCATCACTCACCATTAGCAAAAATAATGCATCACTATCAACAACAGCTTTTTTTTGGGGGGGAGGGGGGTTGGATCGCTAAAACTTGGTGAATGTTATCTCTTAAGAATGCAATATTAAAATTTAATAACATTCTTCTGAAAGCAGCATTCCTTTTATAAAATACTTAATTGTCTATTGAAACTTCAAAACGTATTTCCAAACTTCACTTTTTTTGGCTATCGTTACCAAATTTGCCCTTGGCGACCTAAAATCGAAATGAGCCAACAGATTTCCCGGCGAAATCGATAAAACAACCCTCTGCAGAATAACTCATAATCCCGATATCCATACATCTAGTATGTGCAAAGAGAATAAACTCCGTAAAGGTGATAAATTAATTATGGCTTAACAAACACAGAATTAAGCTAAGCAAACCGTGTAAAAACAAATTGAAATGATAAAACGAAACTTAATTTTCATGTAAATTTTCAGCTCTGACTCTCCCATTCTAGAAATTTCAATTTGTTTCAGACAAAGACCGCATTTAGCTTTAAAAGCTTTGTCATCCATCAATATCCAGTCTTTGTAGTCAGCTTGATGAGGCCACAGCTTATTGAAAATGCACTTTCCAGGCTTCTCGTTCCTATTGGCGTCGGAAGGGTTCTGGCCTTCCAGGTTGGGACTGCTCTAATTTTGGGAAATATTTTCAGAATCCCCCACCCTTTTTTTTCTCGAGCACCTTCATCATCACTTTCGCTCTTAAAGAACTTCCGGCTTCACGCTTCGTCACATCTGCCTAAATTTATGATACCCTTTTTCTAAAGATTGGATTATAGCCAATCAGACACCGATACTTTCGTTCGGTACTAATTTTTTTTTTTTTTTTTTTTTTTTAATCTTTGCAATGCAAATCCGCCAACAGATTGGTTAAGAGCCGTGAATTTAATTCCATATTCATGAGAACTTCAATTCCACAAATGGCAATCATTAAATGATAAAAATTCAAATGAGCAAAAAAATTCAGGCCATATATTCATATTGAAAAAATTAAGGACTTTTAAGACCGTACGACCCGATACTCTTCTATAAATAGAGATTCGTGCCAGAAGCTCCTCTCTTCCTGCTAGTAAGATCTAAGCGGCTGCACTTCTCATCTTCCCTTTGTTAGAATAGTTATGACGTCAAAAGTCTAGATTTTACTGTATTCAGTTTAAAAAAATACTATTTGATATGTAATATGGAGAAGTTAATATAAAAAAATAATAATCTGCCATTCAAATGGAATAAAGATGTGCAATTAAAAGCTAAATTCTTCTGTGTCATCATTGGATGCCGTCTCAACACTCAGCCACAGCAGTGCCTGGACTTTGATGCCAAGCTTTGTCATTCACGTCCACGAGTGCTAAAATATCACAGCTTTATTAATTAGACAGGAGGACTTTATTCTACGCGGGGGGAAAAGGCTCCTAGATTTATTTCTAATGCGCTTCTAAATTCAAAAGTGGGTTAAGGACATTGCAATTCATCTGAAGACAGAATATCCCTGTGCTTTGCTTTTCGTCGGCTACAAAAATAAAGTGTCTTTCAAATGTGGCATGATATGCATTACATGTAAAGTGATTAGTGAAAAGTTTTCAGCAAAGTGTATTGTGATTCAGATTAATATTTTGGTATAATGTGAAATTTTTTAGTGACTTCATATTCAAGATTGGTGCTTTGTGTAAACTGATTATTGGTGCTTCAATTATGAATACAAGAGCTAAAGCCGCGAAGTAAACAAATACGCAAGAATCAATAGCCACTATCGACACAACAAAATTTCAATTTCCTGTTTTTGATGGGTCTAAAAGCTATATTCCCATTGATAAATATATTACTGTTTGAACAAAAATGAAGTGCCAAATATATTCAAGATAAACCCTTTATTTTTTCTGAATGCCTGCAAGAAGAAGCACTTTCATAGCTCTTTCGTGAGTGTTTAGACAAAGATTGGGAAGCAGTGAAAGAAAAATTTCAAATTTACTTTTCCAGTGCAGAGGCAGTGACATTTAATGACTTTGTATCTGTCACCTATGAAAAATTTAATAATATTGACCTCTATTTTTGTAATAAGTTACGATATGGATCCAGTTTGAAGTTAAAAGGATCTACAATGGTTGAAGCCCTGAATCAAGGTCTTCTGGAAGCCTAGTGCATGTTACTTTGTGTTCAAGAAATAAAAACTCCAAAACAGTGAATAGACATTGCAAGAAAACGTTTCTCAATTTCAGTGCCACTGGAGTCGAAAGTGCAAATAGATGTTGCTATTTTTAGAATAGAGAAGGGAAACTAATTTAACCTTTTACATATTCTTTATTTTTCTTACATACATATATTTATATACTCTTGGTGCTGCCGATTGCAACCAAAAAGGGAGGTGTACAACTACATTATATAACAGTTCCACAAAGAAAATTTCAACGTTCTGGGGCGATTCGTTTTTAAGTTAAGTGAGATGCATACATACGTACAAGACGACACACACACACACACACACAAAAAAAAAATCTAAATCCAATGTAAATCAGTTTTATAATTCTGTACGGGGGAAAACATTTCTTTACTCTGTCCTTGCGTACAGATATCACACAAAAACCTGAATTTTTCGTGATTACAATACTCCTTCACTTTGTACAAGGAAGTAAAAATTCAAAAATAAAACTCTTTCATAATTATTAATATTGCTCCAAAATACAGCAAAACATAAGAGTAATTTTTTAAATTAATTCCTTTAAATTTTAGCAAGAAATATATCAGCTTCAATTCAATAAAAAATTTATGGTAGTTTAATAATTAATAAAGAATGCAAAATTCTATACAAACATATAAATATTAAATACGGTACTTTTAGAGAATATAATTAAATTCAGACTTACTCTTTCCAAGCTCATCAACATTCTTCTTTTCAACTGACAAAGCTTCAACAGCTTCCTGATGGTTTTGCTGTAATTCATGGAACTTTCCTTCGAGAGTACTTTTTTCTAGATAAAGAAATTTTAGAATTATTCACATAATTCAAAGGGATGAAATATAAATCACTATATCATAATGTACAAAACATTTAATGAAAGGATTTGGAAACATTTTTAACACATGTAGAATTTCAAACATAAATGCTCCTTTTTTATACTTTCTCAGATTTACTACCTGCCTGATTAACACAACAGAAATTTATTTATTCCTTTCAACTATTCTTAAAAATTCTTAAAATTTACCAATTAATACATATATATTTTTAAGCAGCTAGTCAGTATTTTTTGTGTGCTACTGTTAATCAAGATTGAAACCCATTACAATATTAGTCACAAACATGTGCTATATTAAATATATAATATATATATAATCTATAATTGTACAGGCACACACAAATGTACACTGTGCAATGAAAAGGAAGGGACGGTTCTATATCTACTGGCCGACTGACGAAATTCAACTTGCGTTTGTCATGTCTCGAAAGCGCAACTTATGATATATACAGTACAAAGTTCGTAATCTGGACTCGTCGGAACTTCTGTGATTCCAGATTAGGGGTTTTACCCATTTATAGATCATCAATTTAAATCTGGTAAGATGGCATGCAGAAATTATAAAATTAAACTATGAAACCGTAATTTATGAAATAAAGAACAATTATTATGTAAAGGGTATCAAAATTTACCGAAAAAAGGGGGGGGAGGCTTTATATTTATTTGTTTACTTTATTAAACATTTCTTTCAATGCAAGTTGTTTAAGTTGCTTTCCCCCCCTAATACTTTATCTTTAATTCTATAAGCGGACATAATTTCTTGTTCAGTTACAAAGTTGCACAGTTCAAGTCCTGTAATTGCTGTGTTGAGAATACCGACTAACTTGTCAATCGAAATTTTTTCGTTTTCAATAACCTCTCTGTCACTTTCTTCACTATCGGAAGCAGTATTTTCTGGATCTAGACCCATACTACATAGTTCGCCACCTGTTAATTGATTGATGACTGGGGTATTGTCGCAATGAAAAACTTCTGTTATATCATTTTCATTTATTACCACTTCTCCACATTTCTTTACAAAATCCAATAACTGGAAAATTTCACCTTTAGTTTGCGATGTCCGAAAACCTTCAAATTTGCGGCTATCATCTTCATCATCGTCACCATGAAATATGATATAGCTGGCCATAAATTATGCCATTATTATAATATTAAGGAACAGCACAATCTGCAACATTAACTGAAATGCCTTAGAATCGGTAAAGATAATTTTAGCCTAGCTTATACTGTCCATTATATATTAAACGTGCATGCATAATTCATGCATTACTCACGTGCGTAAGGCATAAAAAAAAGTTTGCGGCTTTGAGGTCCGGATAACGGACTTTGTACTGCATTAGATTCATATATAGCATTGTTCTAATATAGGTATTTTGACACAAAATCGGACATTTCCTTAAATGACAAGCCAATTCTTTTCCACATTTCAATACTATGACTCAAATTACACCAAACTGCCAAGTTTTGTAAAAATCGCACGAGTAGTTTTAAAAAAATTAGCTCTCAAAATTTTTCTCTTCAATGTTGAGTTTGGTATACATTTATTAATATCTCTTTTTTATTAAACTTATTTGATTCTTCCTTTCACAGTTCAAAATTTAGGTTCATTCCAAATAACATTCCCACCTTTTGATTTATTGTAAATTTGTATTTTAAATAATTTTTATAAATTTTTCAAAAAAAATTTGATTATAATCTATAAAATTTTTATCATCATCTTAAAGTAGATATATTTTTAAGCATACCAGCAAAAAATAAGTTTTTCATTCAAAATTTACGAAGATATACGCAAATTTATATATTGGCGCATTTTGAAATTTGGCTTGATTGTTAAAAGTGATAATTTCATCAATTATTTGAAAGTAAGAATTTAATATTTGGGCATAATTTGAGTCATAGAATCGAAATATGAAAAAAAATTGGTATGTTATTTCAGAATTACAAATTACAAACACCAGATTACAAACACCAAAGAGGAATATTTCTAGAGTAAATGCTCAGCAGAGACTAAACGATGAAGCCACTAAATACAAGTACTTTGGCAAATGTGCTATCTGCATGAGTATTTTTATATAGTTTTACCATGTGATGAGTCAGTTTTCCTTAGAAAGTCATTCACACAGCCTAATTAGGAAGTTAGCACCTGCATACTTCCTTATAAGCAAATTAACCAAACCCTAAAAGTAAAAATAATTTGCATACCTTGTTTCAGTGTATGTATTTCAGTTTTCAAATTTCCTACTTCTTTGCATGTTTCCTCTAAGGCAGCTGCATCTATAGGATGATATACAGATTTAATATTGGACTTGAAAGAAATTTTTAGTAAAACAAAGTAAATACAATAGAAGCAAAGATAGAAGTGCTTAAATTTTTAAAATTTGAACATGAGGAGCAACAAATGACAAATTACTTATTTATAAAATAATATAAATGGAAGCCCTTTAGAATATAATTTTTTATGCATATATGTGCAAATTTTAAATATTAAAATGATTATATATATTTTTTTACATATTATACTATTTTTTTACGACAATTACTACATTAAACCCGATGACATGTTAAGTATCCTATCCTAGAACGTCACTTCCTAAAATGACCTGCATTTGAAGAACAAACATAGCTGTTGATGACAATAATATTCTTTAGAATAAAAATTTCTATTTAAGAGACTATATTATGGCAGATCAGAATGCCTTGTTTCATTATAAATGTAAAATATTTCACACATATTAATATTCAAGTGGCATAAAAAGTTATGGTTTGTCATGAATAGTCAATAGGATCACTTTCAGACATACTTTCTCTAAGACAGTCAGCTTTCTCCTTCTCACTTATCTGAGCAGCTTCTTGAAGAGTTTTTTCCAATTTATGGATATTTCCTTCAAGAGTGCTTTTTTCTAGGTAAAAAAATTTTAGGACAGTTAGCTGACTTAAAAGTCATGAAATCTAAATTACCATATCACAAATAATTATTCATAGTATTAAATATGTAATTTGAGGGAAGCATCAGAACTATAACATTTATCACATCAGAATCAGTCTCCTTAGGCAGTTAGCCCCCACATACTTTACCACAAACAATTAAACCAAACCAAAATCAAATCATCAATGTAAAAATAATTTCCATACCTTGTTTCAGTTTATCTATTTCTATTTTCAACTTTTCTATTTCTTCATATTTTTCCTCCAAGGCAGCTGTACCAATCGGACAATATACTGAATAAATATTGGATGTTAAAATGAAGAAATTATGAGTAAAAGAAAATAAAACAGCCAAATAATAGAAGAAATGATAATAGTGCCCAAATAATAATTCAAACCTTGATAAGCAACAAATGACATTTTTATTTAATCAAAAAGTAACACAAATGCAGTTTTTTAGAATAAAGGTCTTAAACCTTTCAGGACGGGCGTCCCATATAAGCATTCCCTAAGAACGTCTCTTACAGCCGGGCGCCCCATCCCCGCATCGCTAGAGATTGCATTCAGGGGACGGGTAATGCATATACGCATTTTAAGCTGGAATGTTTTTCTGAAGGCCACTAGATGGCATCCTATGTCCATTACTTTTGAAATGAACACAGTTTTAGATTCTTGACAGTTGAAATGAACAGTTGAACACAGTTTAGGTTCTTGACAGTTGAAATGAACAGTTGAACACAGTTTAGGTTCTTGACCTTGATTTTGTATTTCTCTTGACTTGGTATTTTACTCATCAGCTCTTGCGAGGGTGGTGGGGGGAGGGAAGCATAGACAAGGTGAGCTCTTTAACGCTGCGTGCTAATGAAAACATTGGCATGTCCGATTTATTCCAATTTCTCTTTTTTCTATTTTTTCCTTTACTACGTACAGTCTTTTAGGGTAGTATGTGGAGTACTGTTACTTTTGCATTGCCTTCATTTTTTCCGTTTCTTCTTTTTATTTCGAAGCCTCACCTCCAGTCTATTATGGCGGGAAGGCGCTATTTTATCAGAGGAAGAATACCCTCGTATGTCAATGAACCATTTAATTAACTGATGAAGTGATGACTGATTTTCTAAGAGTTAGAAAGCGACACTTCTCGTGCTTCGAGATTTACCACATCTTCATTTTAATTTGTTACTTTTTACTGTAAATAGTCTTTATTGTGTGTTTTTATTATTTTTAACTTTATTGATGATTTTATATTAAAACTTCAGAATAATTTGAATAGCGCTTCCGAAAATTATTTTACAAGATAAGCAATTTTTTAAGTATATTTTCATGTAAAATAAAGAGGAAAAAAAAAACGTTATTAAGTGCTAATTTTAGCATATATAACAGCCCAAGTAATAATCCAAAATGATACCAAAAATTACGATGCTAGAAGCGAAATTTTTTTCTTCTTCTGATTTTTTAAATAAAATTAGGCTTAGCGATGCAAAACCTCCGTCCTGTGCAGTGACTGCCTTCGATTGCCTTCAGTCTCGCACAAGTGTCTTAAACAAAGGTGCGCCGTCGCGAAAAGGTTAAGCAAATACGTGCATATTTTAAAATTTTGAAATTATTAGATCAATTTTCATACATCTTTTCTCACTTCTTTCTCAGTAAAGACTGGATTAATTTTGATATGCTGTGTGAACCCTATCCTAGAGTTTCACTTTCTAAAACAGCCATCATTTGTAAGAATGAAGAAACCTAGGTGTTAATGATGATAATATTCTCTAAAATAAAAAACATAAACTTGATCAAGAATATCAAATATATATTATGGAACATAAGATATCATAAATGAAAATATTTCATACATTAACTAAACTGCCTACACAGCTAATAACATACAGGAAATTAACATTCAAGTAGCACAGAGGATGGTGTTTCTAATGAATAATATATAAGATCAAATTAAGACATACTTTTTCTAAGATCAGCAGTTTTCTCTTTGTCAGGTGTTGAAGTCTGAACAGCTTCTTGAAGGTTTTGTTTTAATTTAAGGATATTTTCTTCAAGAATATGTTTTTCTGGGTAAAGAAATTTTGGAACTATTAGCAGAATTGAAAATTTATGAAACCTAAGTTGCCACATCAGAATATCTAAGAATTTAATATTCAGTGACAGGATTTTAAAATACATTATTAATGCATGTATACTTTATATCAAACATAACACAACTTATAAATGCTGATTTTGTGCTTTCTCAGATTAACTTGTTGGATTAATTTATTTGGAGTAAGGCCATGGAGATAAGAGGAAAACAGCAGCTAGCACCATCTATGAAACCATTACAGCATTATTCCTTAAAACCTCACAATGTATGACATAGACTTGTTTTCCTGACTTGTTATTTCCCAACCTTATAAGCCCTTTTAGCAGCCTGGATTTTTAGACCCGTCATGAAGACATGTATTTAAACAGCCTTTATTAGGTAAATCTGTATATTTACCTTTTCAGTCTTTATTTTCATAAACTTGCATTTATTAAGATGACATTTATGTTATTAAAGAAAGCAAAATATCTTAAATTATAAGTTAATATATATTTAGTGATAAAAAAATTTCATGTCCATATAAAGCAAGTCACGGCATTCAGAGGGTTAAATCTATGCGTTTTTCTAATATTTTAAATATTCTAGTAAAACCACTGCTTTACAAGTAAACAAATTTTTGTCCGAGTTGCTGGCCTGATTTCTGACATTATTACAGATGAATTTTGCAAGCATTAATGATTTAAAATAAACTAAAAAACAAGTTTTTGTTATATGTCTGTATAAAGTAATGACAGATATGGATAAGTGAGTTCAAAGTAGTAGTATTTAATCCATGCAGATAATTAAACCAAAATTAGTAAAGTCAAAACTGAATAAACATAGTGCTTAAAATGTTAAAAGAAAAAAATATTACAGAAAAATGTACACCTAAACACTACACTACAACAAAAGAACCTCTACCTCTTGTACAGTTCCCAATATACTTAACGTTATTTTATAATGCTACAGTAAGCATTCAAAGGCATGACAATCAGATATAACGATCAGGTTGAATATCTTCAATAGAAATATTTTGTGCATTTTTCGCATCTTTCCCAGAATTTTTCCAAGTTTTAATAAAAAGATTACTAACCCTTAAAATCATATAGTACATATTCCATTTGTAAAGACCAACAACCTTTATATTACTTTTCTTTTATTTCTCCCCTTTTCCACAGGGTTTGCAAGGCAGGTGACAATTTAATTCTGTGAGAAGAGTGATGAAATAATAAGCATATTTTTGTACACCTAATGGTGTATGTGATCATTGAATCAAAGAAGGTCAATGGGATCTCTGATTCCATTCAAATTCTTCGATTGAGATGTTAGATAGAACTTTATTCAAAGTTGACACTACAATAGAAATTTTGAAATCTTTCCTGTTCAGGGACAGATGCTATCAGACGTTTGATGTCCCATTATAGGAAGTAACTGTCAAACATGCTGATTGTAACATTTTACTTTCGATGGAGAGACAGCTCTAGAAGCATCTTAGCAACTTGTTACAAAATCAAGAATCTCAAATTGTTTTTGGTATGCTGATCTAGCATGGTATGCAAAGAATGTTAAAGAAGATGAAAACGGGAAGTGGCCTGCTGCTAATTGGCTAGGAGGAAAAAAAAAAGTATTCCAATATTTTCATACTATGATGTGGAGTTTTTTCACATATACAATGATAATTTCGTAGCGACGGAAATATTGTGACAATATAAAATGAAAGATCTTGATATCCATGATTCTTCTTCTGATTGTGATGAAAATTTTGATAAAATGCAATGCAAACTGTTTACCACAGCAGCTACTACAGATTTCATTAATAAGTTTTAATTTACATAAGCTATAGAACCAAAAGTGATGGAATTATTTCAATTTTTGGACAAAAAATGGAAATTTATTGCAATATGCATCATGGCAGCAGAAAAATACATTACTTTTGAGCTCAGAAATTAAGCTAAAGCTGAGTTATTAATATTTTTTGTTATTCATTTTTAGTGTTTTTATATTTTCATGGATAAAAAATAATTACTCGAAGTTATAAATAAGTAATTTAAGGGAAGTATCAGAACCAAGATATTTATATGGTAATTTACTACGAAAAATTATTAACATATAGTGAAACTGGAAAACAATAAATTTAATAACTGTACTTAATAATAATTGATATAAAATCTTAGTTTTAATTAGATTTGTTTTTATTTTCTTGATATAGATGTGACAATATTAATTAATCTCTTTTACCATCCATGGTTCAGTTTTTGCAAGATGGATTGTGAAAATGGCATGCACCTATAATAATAATAAACACAGACACAAAAGTCTATGTGGATTAAAGAGTAGTGAAAAAAATCATGTCAAGCATCAAGAAACTGAGACGCTGATGATGTATCAAGACAAAACATGCCAAGTCAAAAATGAGTCTCAAGAGACTGGCTTTTAGGACTAGTATTTGACAATGATTTCTAAAAGAAATAGACAAATCACATCAGTCCAGACTGCAAGAGAGCTTGCTGAAGCTACAGGAACTCAACGATCGAGATGATGATCAAACCATGGTTGCAAAATAAAAGTACAAGGATTATTTCTCAATAATGACAGACAGTATTTTCGCTGATTGTATTTACTTGGTTGGAGAATAACCAATCAAACAGTCCAAAACATTCCTCTTAGAGTGGCTTATTGAATCAATTTGTGATGGATCTGTCATAAGCCATGTGGATAGAATAGTATAGTCATCTAACATTACAAGTGTCAGCAACAGAAAAGGGAATGGAAATGTTAGTTGAGAAAAATTATGGACTATTAGCAAATTTCAGCCGAAATTAAGTACTGTTAACAACAAAAAATTTTTTCAAAAAATGTAAGGACTTTTAAGAGCCATATGAATCTCCCCCCCCCCCAATACAAAAGCAGTACATCTACATTTAAAAAAATGAGTTTGATGCAGCTTTCAAAAACCAAATTTATTTTCCGATTTTACATACGTTTCTCTATTTTTCAACATAGTTGCCAAGTTTGTTTAAACACTTATCATACCTTAGAACTAGATTTTGAATACCCTCTTCATAGAAACTTGCTGCCTGCTCCGATAACCATGAGGTCATGGCCATTTTCATGTCCTAGACTAGACACTTCAGGAAATTTGTTTGATAGAGTGCTTATGGTGAAGCGTCTATTCTCAAGAATTTTTGCTTCAACTGAAGCCACCATATAATTTGTGATCACAGATGGTTGACCGAACATAAAGTAACTTTGCTGCCAAATTGTATTAATACTCAAGGCTGCCTCAACATATGACAAAAGTCTCTAGAAGTCATGATTTGTTACCAAGAAAGTTTTATTATACTAACGAAATTCATTAATGAACAAATTAATGTACTAAGCAGAGTAATAAATAAATAAAATCTAACCTTTCCCCAGAATGTCAATTTTATCTTTTTGCTCTTTAAGTGATTCATCGGCTGCACGCAGCTGCAAATGTAGCTCTTCAATTTCGGCTTTTGTTTTTGCATGATCTGCAAACAGGAAAATACACTTATTTTGAATTTTGAATGAAATACAGCAGGTTTTTATCAGTTGGAATACTCTGGAACCTTAAAAATATGGGTCAGTATTAAAATTTTGGTTTTTAAAGAAAGAGCAGATTATCGTATAATTCATCTGAATACATGGGTGACAGGACAAAGTGGCATTTGACAAATTATACCCAAATGTACATATTAAATGCAAATCTAAAAATGGTAAGGAAGAAAAGGGGAGGGAAAAAATATCTACCCGATGTAAACCATCTAAGCAAAACCCTGTTAAAATAATAAGATTTAAACAAATTTTCAGATTTTTTTAATGCATAATTTATCAATGACATTACACATATATATATATATATATATTTCATTATATATATATTACATTACATTAGATATTATCACTGGGCCATTATTGTAATAAGATTACTTAATGGAAAGTAAGTTGCAACGGATTGGCGGTGGTTCTCTGCATCATAACTTTATAACTTAAAATTTTGAGAATATTCACATACAGTCTACACAAAACAGAGTCAAAATTTAATAAGCTAAGTTATGGATGTCTGATAATAATTAAAATTACTATCCCATTGTACATACAAAATTTCAACACGTCATTCTTTATGCATTTTATCTTACTGAATTTCTGTGCAAAAATTTAGTATGAAATTCTAACTTTTCTTAATTCAGGGTTTGTACACATTTTTGCCCATAGAAGTTAAGTACTTTTGAGGACCTTTAAGGACCATTAATGAAAAAAATCAACGACCCATCAACAAATTGGAACTGAATAAATTCAATTACAGATATTAGCTATGCCCGAACACACTTTTGTGATACCATCTTAAGAATGAAATAGATCCATGCATTATTAAACATAATTTAATAAGCATAATTATAAACAAATTTGAGAATCAACTTTAAATAAAAAATCAACTTTATGATAAAATTTATCAGATAGCATTTAATATTTTACCCTTACAATAGTTAGACATACCTGAAAGAAGATAAGTGACATTTTATTTACATTTTACTAACAGTTAATTTTATGGTCGTTTTTTCTTTTATGTCTCATTTTGTCATGTACTCACTTAGTTTACAAGTTTAGTAAATAATAGGTAGATTTTATGTCAAATGACATAGGTTAAAATGAGAAGTAAAATCACAATCAGCATAATTCGTTACAGAAGACTGGCTATTGCCACCACTGCTGCTTCCCTAGAGAGAGGCCTGCTGATAAGAACAAACCTGAAAGCTTATTTAAGCAAGGTCGGCAAGTTCTGCAAAGTTAGTTGTGCTCTGCCTGTCTGACGCAGAGTTCCTGGGGTTGTATCCCAGTTAATATATTTTAAGATTCCAATAAGCAACTAAGACACCAAAGTTCATAAGTTGTTTTGTATTATTTTAAGTCTCACTAGATGCAAGGAATTAAGTTTTACATTTTTGTGCTGTATCTTGTGACCACACTAAAGATTTAATGAAAGGCAATGACTCCCTTTAATATGCAAAGATAACTTTTAAGGGTGACCAGCTAGTTACAAATAATTCAATTAAATAGTTAGATACCATTAGTCATTATAGATTTACATGGCCACTATTGAATTCATTTTTAAAAAATATTTGTTAAAAACGTACTATTTAAACCACAATCGATTAACATGTCACAGTTTAAAATACATCTAATTTATGAAATTTGATTCTTAAACGATATTAAGATAACTACACATTAAAAGCTATAAAATATTTACGATTGGAACAAAAATACTCAAATATTTGTGCATTTTAATTTGAAGCCTTTCCAGACATTCTGGCTAATTTATATCAATTTCCTTCTCTTTAAACATCTTTTCTAACAATTAGAAATTTGTTTCAATACACAAACAGCCCCGCTAGTTTCTAAATGTTTTATCTCCTAACTTGTCAATCTCTCGACTATGTACTTATGAGGTTTTACTTCATCTGATAAAAATTAAATAGACCAAAACCCCTGACAGAAGTTAAGCAAATTACCACTATGTCTGAAAGTAACTAAAAATTCAGATAAAGGTAAGCCTCTTATATAAAAAGACCTTAGAACACAAAGACATGTTCTTGTGCTAGCAAAATCAACTATGATGATCTTATGATGATCCAATTAAACAGGAACAGTCAAATTCAAACTAAAAATGTGGACTAGTAGTCAAGACTACACAATTTAATTTTAATCTAGGCTGACTCAGTAACACATTGTAACATAATTATCATGTAGCAAATTCAAATATTGGCAGCGATAACGCAAAGACATGTAACTACAAATTACGAGAGCTGTGAGGAACTAATGCAGCATGTAAGCGAAAGCCAGAAACAAATTCTGTCTTACAACCCCAAAACCTTAGCTTTAAAACTATCTAAGTGATTTACATTCCGGTGAGGAAACTGAAAGCCAAAATTATAGCAAAGACTGAAATCATAAACAACTGCTTAATTTACATAATATTAACTATACATATTTTTGAAGAATAATTTTCTTTTTTTATGTATTTGGTTTCTTTCTTCAATACATTTTTTTTCCTTAATTTTAAAATTTTTGGATTTAATTAAAGATTTCTGTTATTCAAAAAAACTAAATGCATTTAGATTGTATAGGAAAAGGTGCTAATTTTATTTAGTAATATGAACATCCAGGATATTTTTCTTCAATACACTTCATTTTACAATTTTTGGATTTAATTAAAAGATTTCTGTTATTCTTAAAACTAAATGCATTTAGCTTGTATAGGTGTGGTGATAGTGTATTTAATTATGGAAAAGCACACTAAAGCTATCTGCCTAAGGAGAGGGACGCCTTCGTGAAGGACTTTCTAATTAGCTTGCATAGGGAAAAGTGCTAATTTTATTTCTTTTGTAATATGAACATTCCAAATAAATACGAAATGATATATGGTAAGGGCCAGCTACAAAGCTGCTGCTGCAGCAGAATTTTTAGAATTTAGTGACACACCGAGCAGTAAAATCTAGAAATGGCAAAACTTTAGAATTTAGGAAGGCACTAGACAGCAGAATTTAGGATCTAAAGGGAAAGATGCATCAGGCGGGAAAATGCGTAACGTAAGGGCGAGAGACACCCGGGTTGCTCTCAACAAAATTGGAGCTGGCATATAGCAAAGTTGTACTGTCACCTGAATAGTGCTCAAGGCTCTCACCAACATCAGGCACAATCTTGCACTCCTTGCCACAATGAATTTCGTGAGCTTTTTCTGATAATGCTGGCAGATAAGTTATATAAGTCACAACAACTGTCCAGAATAAAGAAAGGAACTCTGGTTATTTCACCAGTTGGGATTTATTATTTCAGAAAATGTCTCAAATTTCAATTACCTGGAAAAACAGCCAAACTGAAATCACAAAAGTATTAAATCAGTTACCAAACCTTTTGCTAATTCATCAGTTTTTCTTCTTTCTTCTTCCAAGGCTAATATTGTCTCCTTTAACTTTTCTTCAAGTTCACAGAACTGTTCTTTTGCCACAGAATCTTCTATAAATGTAACATTATTATGGATGAAGTTTGCAGATATAAAATATTTCAGATCTTCAACATGAAACTAAAATAAAGCTTTCATTTTTACCTATTTTTAATTCATTAAATTTATATCTTTCTTCTTCCAGAGATAAAACTGAAGCATGCAATTTGAGATCTAATTCATCACATTTTTCCTTTAAATTAGCTTCCTCTAAAATGAAGTAAAACAAAACAAAATGAATGTATTTTTGTTCTGAAACTTTCAAATTATTATTAACATCAAATCAAATTAAAATGGAAAATCTCAAGAACACAATTTTTTAATACTTTTCCTTAATTCATCAATGATCTTTTGACTGTTTTCTAAATTCTGAGTCATGTCTTGGAGTTCAATATTCAACCGATGATAAGCCTCTTTACCAACACTCTCTCCTAAGACATCAAGCAGGTTATCAGTAAATATACTAAATGTAACACTTTATTTCTACATCATTATATATCAGGGGTTCTCATCCAGGGAGAAGTTTAATAGTTTCTGATAATGGAGTCAGACTTTTATTTAACTTTTAAGCATTTAATTTTAGTTTATTAAATGAAAACTTATTCAAGTTTGGTCATTTGTCAACATTTTTTTACATTTTTTGTTGTTTGTTTTATAAAAAACAGTTGCAAAAACAATCTAAATTTAGATAAATGTACATGTTTATTTTTCAAGTTTTGGAAAGGACGGGTGAATGATCTTCTTAGCAATGGTGAAAGGGATGCATTGCGCAAAAAAAAAAAAAAAAAAAAAGGTTGAGAACCTCTGTATGTACATTTCAGCTAAATATAAAAAGCCAATTAATTATACTTTTAATTTCAATAATTTTGTTTTTCTCCTTTTCCAAATCCTCCAGGGCATTCTGCAATTTTAAATGAAGCACATCTTGACTTCTGATTAATGAAGTTTCACCTAAAAATGGAATTATCCAGAATAAACAAAGAAATTTTGATTAAGTTAATCATTATAAAAAATTAAATACTTGTTAAATTAATACTTGTATATTAAAATTAAATACTTGTAAAAGTAGAAGGGATTCAGAATACATAAGAAACAATTCAAGATTATTTATTTACCGAGTGAAATATTCCAAACATGAAGACAGATACTCTAAATTTTATGCAACAACTTTCTCTTTTTAGACCATAAAACTGAGAATATGCTGTTTATTAGAGCTCGCAGAACATTTTCCACTATTGGACAACTTTTATGTCATGTCTTCTCTTGCAAGTTATGATTTTGAATAAAGTTTAACCAAAAATGATTGTCAACGTATTTAAAATAGAGGTTACATTTTAACAATTTCTTAGACAGCATAGACAGAGCAAAAGACAATACATTGCCCATAATTTCAAAAGTGATAGTTAATAAATTTTTCATGTAAAAATAAGTTCAAAATTGATGTAGTATTCAGATATGTTAATCTATGGCTACATAACACAATATTTAACAAGTATTCTCCAAAATATGAAAATGAATTATTTCTTACATGGCAAATAGTAAACAGAGAGTATATTTAATTCTAGGTTCGAATTAGAAAATTTATAAGCTTACTAAAAACATAAGTTAAAAGAAAGGTCTCGGCTTTTTCCGCCTCTAAGTATTTTTTATTATTATAATTCAAGAATTTTCCTCTAAATAATATACAAAATTGAAAATATTGCTTTAGCATACATTTAAAGCACATATCCAGAATTAAGATTTATTTATACATCCATAAGGATCTAAATTATTGTATTCAATAAATGTTACATAAGGAAAATCTTTCGTTGTTTTTACTGCATTTTCTTGAAGTCTACATTTACTGTTTTCAGCTATATTGGATCGTGTGAACACAACTGATCTTCATTTGAATGAACAAATTAGTCAGAGTAAATACTACTCCCTAATAGATAATAAATACTGATCCCTGAATAGAGATCCTCAACTAGAAGATTGGGTAACAAACTTTCTTAAAATGTGCAATTAATTAGTTAGTTAAACTGTTAGATACTACCCATTAATTAAACTGCCAATTTAATGAAAGATAATTATAACCAAACGCAAAGTTTTATACTATGAAGATAAAACTGATTATCTTTAATAAAACTATGTGCTCTAAAAAAGATTAATCAAGATCTCAGAACTGTTAAATTATTCTTCAAAGGTTTTACTCTACTCATTTTTTGAACTTGAAGATACTGTCACATTTCTTTTGAGCAGAAGCTTATTCTAAAAGAAAATAAGGTAAGAATTTTACATATATCCTTTTCCCTCCCTTCTTTCTTTTAACAGCAGATGCTTTAGAAAAAAATCATTTTTATGCTTAATGCATTAACCAATTTTGAATATTCATAAAATTATGCTTTTTGCTTAGACATAGGAAAAGAAAAAAAACTTATTTTAAAAGCATACTTTTTTTCAACTCCATGATTTTGTTACTTTCTTCTTCAAGAGCTGCAACAGCCTGCTTCAGTTGGATGCTTAGATTATCACATTTGGTTTGCAAATCAGCTTCTTCTATAAAGTAAATACATACATTTTATCTCCTGTCAAACATAAATTATAGAGTACAAAGTCCAAAATCCTGAATTATCATACTTTGGCAATTTGGATATTGATAATTTTTGGATAAGAGATCCTGAATTTAAATCTAGTAAGATGGCATGTGGAAGAAGTGGCTGTGTATGAAATAATGAAGAATTTATGATGCTAAAGAAATCAAAATTTATAATAATAATAAAGCTTAATGTTAACATTTATTTTTGATTTGCCAAACATTAATTTAAACCTGAGTTGTTCTTTCAAAATCATTGCATGAGCATGTCTTTAAATTTACAGAAAGGCAATTTCATGTTAAGGTACTTTCTAGGTGATTTCTTGTATATTATGGACTTTTTCTCAAAGTACTAACTGCAATATTAACAGTCAACTGAAATCTTTTCATTCTAAAAAATTTCAATCATGTTCTTCACTATCAGTGGCAATATTTTCCAGATTTAAAAAAAAAAAAAAAAAAAAAAAAAAACCACAGATTTCACAATCTATTAATTAATTAATTGCTGACAGGGACATTGTCATCCTAATAAACATATTTTATCATTTTCATTTAACATTCTTTTCCATTTCTTAATATATTCTGCTAGTGGCAAATTTCGCAGATCTTTTGTCAAAGCCACCTGGATTTTTTTTTGGGGGGGGAAGGGGGAACGGAGGGCTGGTTGCATATTCCCTTGGAGCTGGGCATCACCAGTTTGGTCTGATTTCTTTCCTGGCACAATCTCTTCATTCATAAAATTATTATTGAAATGGATAATAACAATCTCAGATCTGGCGAAACATGAGCAAGCAGCTATTCTATTTCTTAACCGTTTGAGTCCGGCGAAGTATCGAGAATGCAAAGACGCTGCTGTTGGTTAGTATACTTTACACAATTATTGAGAGCAGTTGTAGTGATATCAGTAGCAGTTGTTTTATAGGAGTCGGAAATTGTTTTCATTTTTTTTACCAAGTGTTATACTGATAATTACGAAATAACCATGTCAAGTTCTGATTCTTTGAAAGTGACTATGTTATGAGAAGTGATAATGAAGAGTATAGTATGACCTTGAAGTGATAGTGGAAGTGACATCATCATTCGTTCGTAACAGATTACAAGTTATTATGATAGCGTGATGAGATGAGTAATTGCAAGTACCTCCGATGACGATATTATTGACGAGTTTTTACCCGTGGATACAATTTTTTCGAACGAATCGAATACTTTTTCTGATTCACCTGGACCAAAGCATGCCCCTCCTTCTGATGCAAAACCAATTGAATATTTCAATATTCCCCCCCCCCATGTACACTAACCAACAGCAGCGTCTTTGCATTCTCGATACGAAACAAGCGAAGCGCTATCACGCTGCGCCATATTTTTGGCATACGACAAGTGAAGCCCACACCGGACTCAAACGGTTAAAGAAAGAGTTATGCTGCACAAGCAGTACTGTTTATAGAACCACCTCATAAATTTAATTACGATTGGATCCCAAAATGGCAATATTTTCTACCAATATGCTTTACCTGATTGAATTGACAGATGTACAGTTCTTTTACTAAAATATCAATTTTGATAAGCTGACACAACAATAGACTGAAAAAAATAAAGTGGATGAAATCATAACATTAACAGAGTGCAATTTGCAGCAGTAGCCAAACTTGCATTAATTACGACCTAATTTTGTCTCTTCTCTACTATGCCAAAAAAAAAGTATGTGTAATATTCATTTCAAACAAACACTGATCTTCGAGTTTCACTTATTTTATATAGAGCTAATAAGAAGGAAAAACACTGAATCTCTGTGAAAACCCAGAACCACCAGGGGCTGAAAACAAAAATGTGGTCTGTTAGCTGACAGGCGAAACAACAAGCTGAATCATTCATTACTGTTGCAGATAATGATGCTTTTCGACAAAAACAACTCAGCTACAGCACACTTGCTTTTGAGTGTCATATTCTTTGCTTTCACAATGCAGGAAAAAATTCACAAAAAACTCTTATGTGAAGTCCAGATTTCAGACTTTGTACTGTTTATTATTTTTAGAATAACAAAAGAATTATTATATCTATGAAACAAATGGAATCAAAATCATACTTTTCTGATGATTTTTTAAAGATGTGGCTAATTCTGCCTCTGTTTCAGTCTTTGCATTTTTGATTTCTTCCATATTAATATTTGTAGTTACTGAAAATATACAATACAAGTATACATAAGAACTGGGAAAAAAGAGTACATCTAATAAACTTTATTTTAAACAATAAGACAGTAAATTGCTGTGAGAAAGCTCTTGAGAGAAGTCACACAAAGTGTTGTAAATAAATATTGATCTCAAATAAAGTATAATGATTTACTATTTTATATGCAAAAAAAAATTAAAGATTTTTGCTAAAATAAATTCAGTTTAATAGATTTTTCAGACAGAGATTTTAAAAATAGAATCTATTATAATGAATATATATATATACAGTCAAAAGTCTTTAATCCAGACAGGTCGCGACTTTGGCGATTTCGGATTATCGATTTTTCCGGATTATAGATCATCAGTTTAAATCTGGTAAGATGGCATGCAGAAATTATAAATTTAAATATGAAACCGTAATTATGAAATAAAGAACAATTATGATCTAAAGAGTATCAAAATTTAAAAAAAACAAAAGGCTTAATATTTATTTGTTTACTTTATTAAACATTTCTTTCAATGTAAGTTGTTTAAGTTGCTTCGTTTCATGTGATAATTTAATACTGTTAAAGAGACATAATTTCTTGTTCAGTTATAAAGTTCTGCTGTTCAAGTCCTATAATTGCTGTGTCAAGAATACCGACTAATTTGTCAATCGAAATTTTTTCGTTTTCAATAACCTCTGTGTCACTTTCTTCACTATCGGAAGCGAATCATAATGACGAGGAATTTGATTTGAATCATATCAAAGATGGAGTACATTGAGATGAAATACTACATTTAGTAAGGAATTATAAGCCAAATAAAATAAAAACATCTGCCCGAAAAATAAGGATAGTGCTGACAGATCAACTTCCAATTCATTGCGTGTCGTGACGCTAAGTTTGCCATACAAATATTGCAAAGCATTTCTTTATAATCAATTTACAGTAACAAATATCTGCATTACTTTTCTAATAGGTTTCACAGCTTGTCCAGCAGATTTGAAATACAGGGTTTGTTAGAAAAATGTATATGCAAAACAAAAGAAAATTCTTTATTCGGTGTTAGCAACAAACTTAATTACAGGTTAATGTAATGACACATATCACAGGCAACATTATGTTCAATATGACCTTCATGCACCTGTATCTTTAAAGCTACTTAGAGTGCTCAGAATGTCAAAATGGTTGTCAGTAGCATCCCAGTGGCAATTGGTTGATTGAACAACATTGGCCAATGTGTCCACAGCGATGACTGTGCGCGCTGCAATTTCTTGATGAAGGGAACTCCAGCATAAATCATTTCCTGCATTAAACAACATCTTTTAAGGCACTCCTAGGCCATTTTGATTCACTGTTATATCACATATTAGTAACGAAAGTACTGACATGTTAAGTAAAAGTTTTGCAACACACTGTAAATATAATTTAGTTCAATTTTGAAATCAGTATGCAAAAGTATATACACTGTTAAGAGTGTATGTACTTTTTCCTAACGAACCTGTATATGTTATCTGTGATGCACAAGATGTTAAAAGCAATAAAGGAAATAAAAAATTTCATAATGCTATCACTCTAATAATAGTGTTAAAAATTCCTTCTCTAAGTGTTAAGTTTTTTTAGAAAAGCATGCATTTAGTAAAAAAAAAGGAACTTTAATCACATAGAATAACAAAAGGAATTTAATATTTCAGAAGATAAAAGATTACCAAGCAAATCTGTCATAGATGAAATATTCTCTTTCAGATCATTATTTTCATTCAATAACCGTGTAATTTCATTTCTGTTTTGCTCTATGGTTTCAGAAGATTCCTTCAATTTCTGTTGCAAGGCAATATTTTCATCTTCTTGCATTTTGTCTAATTAAAATTTAAACTTCTGATTATATGACATGTGTATTTTCAAAAGAAAAACATTCAGTTCTAACTAGGATTAACATAACATTATAAAGACCATATTAATAAAATGTGCAACACGCATAATGCTGCAACTAGATTATGAACAAAAAAGTGTGCTTAATAATTTAATGTGCTATAAAATTCTTAAAAAGCAGTAAAAAAGTTCAGTTGCATCAAGAATAAGTAATAACCAATGACATTAATTTTCACCAGGGCTGTGGAGTCGGAATCTGAGTCGGGCAGATTTTTTGTAAAAGGAGTTGGAGCTGGAGTCAATAAAAATATGTCCACTCCAGTTTTTGCTGGACAGTTTTAGTTTGAAATGAAATTAAAGTGAATTGAAAAAAAAATTAATGTTAAACTGAGTTATTTTTATTTATGAACTATATACATTAATAAATAGTTATTTTCACTTTTATTGACATATTAATAAATAAATATAAGGGAGGAGAATGGATGTGATATTTGCCATTACTGATTAAACCGATTCATTTAGTTACAAATCTTATTGTTAACCAGCAATAGCTCCCAAAATTGGTATCATTTTTAGGAAGCGAGCAGGAAAAGGAACAACTATTGATCAAGCCACGCGATAGGGAAGTACTTATTTGATGATATTAGATTCTGGTTGTTAGAATTAAGAATGTTCTTAGAATATGTAGATAATCCTAATGTTTCACTAACAGAAAAACTGTGAAATGATTTTGCAGAATTGGAAACTCTTCTTTCTACACCGTATATAGCCACAAAAAAGCTACAACAAGGTTAGTAGTCACATTTTAGTTAAAAAAATAAGCATTTGTTTAACTAATATTATACACAACTGCATAACCTTAAAAGAAAAATTAGATTTGTAATTCAAAATATGAGAAATTCAGTATTTATTAAGAGAGTGATAATTACTTAACCATGGAAAACAATTACATTTTTTTAAATTTTAAATAACAGTTCAATTACAGAACTATAATATGAGAGAAAAAAAAAAAACTAATTATAAAAGATTTAATGATGAAATTTCAATTAAAATAGAGAAAATAATATAATAAAACATATTTTTATACTCGCTTGGCACCTAAAAATAAATACAATTTATTTTTCCACTCAAATTAATATTTAAAAAAAATTAACTTAAATTAAAATTCTGAGCATTTTCTAAATTTTCAGTGTCTAACAGTTTTTCCTTAGCAGATAGCACAAGCAAAGTAATTTAAATAAAAATAAGTAAAAAAAGAAACATTTCTGAAATCAGAAGACAGGAAATTGCTTCATGCAGTCATCCTTTAACAGTAAAAGCTTAACGAACCGGCATACTCGGAAATTGCCGAATATCTGAAAATCCCGAACAGTCGAGCCTAACTGGAAAAAGAGGAGGGGGGTAGATTGTAGCCGCTCTTTAGATTTTTCAGCTAAATAATGCTTTTGACATTTCGATACATTCATCATATAAAAATAGCCAAATGGAACTAAAAAATAATCTGCTTAGCAAGCACAGTAGAACTCTTATCTCTGCAAAATATCGCAAACATTATTTTACAATACATGCAGCTTAATTCTTCTGCACGCACGTAATATTATGCAATCAGAATCAACAACTGCAAGTATTCGGAGGATAAATTACTAACTAAAGAAAAAGAAAAAGACTTAGAAGTCTGGGGTATATTTCATTCTAATTTTGAACAGAATGCGTTAAATTTCCGGAATAGAACTATTCTTCGCTTGCGTTGATAGACCGCAGAAATTTTAGTCCTATTCAATCCAGATTGGAAAGCGACACACACACACACACAAAAAGGTCTGTTGCTTGCTTTGCTGCGAACTGTAATGGTTTCAATATTCAAGATTTTGCGAAGAAAGGGAAGGACCACTCAACTTCCATATTGTACAATGCATTGCCCCCCCCAAAAAAAAGAAGAAAGTATTTTTTTGACTATTCGATTACTTTCACTTTATTTAAGCCATTCCGAATATTATTCCTTAGAAAGCTAATGTGTTATATTATAAATATTCATACATATGCTCAAAATATAAGCATAATGATCATAATAAAAGTGAATATGAATTGACCATGCAGAACAAGAATGCAATTAAAATCTTGATAGAAATTCAAACGTGAGTAATTTTTTTTTGGGGGGGGGAATACGGAATGTACCAGAATTTTCTACCGCTTTCGCAATTCTTTGACCAAAAGAACGACATGCACCTGTCTGTGTCAACACCTCCTTACAGAAGGAGTTGTCTGTACTCACACACACCAAAGGTTATGTTAACGCACAGAAAGTGGTAAAAAGCTATTTCTGGGAGTATGATTTACCTTCTGACATTACATATAAGGAAGGAAAGTTGTTTATTTAGTTTTGGCTTTGGTACGGGGAGAGAAATGTGCATACGAAAAAAGGGGGGCAGCATTAATAGCAAAAAAAGTAAGCACTAAAACTTAAAAAAAAAAAAAAAAAAAAAAAAAAAGAAAGAAAAAAAAAAGAAAAGAAAGAAAAAGAAAAAAGAAAAGAAAAGAAAAAGACAAAAAAAAAGTGCTTTAGAGAATTTATATTTTATTTTCAAAGATTTTTATTTATATAGGCCTTTATATTTTACATATTTTATTTCCAAATATAAGGACTTATTAGCACTTGTAAGGACTGTTACAAACCCTGTACAATCTGAAGAATTAACAGGAGGTGAGAATGGAAAATGTGATGTTTGTACTTTCTGAAACGGAGGGTTTATTGCAAAGGAAATAATTTCTTCAATGTAAAAAAGAGAAATCAGATTGCTAAACAATGAGATCTTGCTGGGTTTAATATAAATAGATTCAAAACACTGAATTTTATTGGATGACAAACAAATTAAAAGGCAAAAAAAGGCATCTATGAACTTTACTTAAGAATGAAATTACTCTACAAAAATTGGGGTATTCAAATCAGGGCAGTCAAACTGGGGACATTGCAACCGATTCTCTATCATCTTCTTCCATTGATGAATTAGAATTTGAGAAATATTTGGATAATATTGAAAAGGCTAAGGCTAAGGTGAAGCGAATGAGAATAAAGAATCAAGAGCCTTTAGATATGAAATGAAAAAATATACAAACAAGATTTCTACACCGCATTTGAAGAAATGGAGAAATATGATTGCTCTTTCAAGGTCACCTCTTATAGAACTTATAAAAATCTATCCTGAAAAGTTAAAAGAAGTAGCCCTAACAGTAATACTCAAGTCAGTGTGGAAAGTTCTCAGCTCCGAAATTTAACAAATCGGATCTATGGCCCTCTAACCAAGATCTTGCCGAAGCTATACTGTTTCTTAGAAATTACTAATGCCAGTTTTTCCCTTTCAAAATAAATGCTAATCAATACATAATATAAATAATTTGCTATGTCATTAGTTTTTTCCTGTAGCATTTATTACTTCTTTTATATAAAAAAAAAACAAGCTGTAACCCATGTGTATATGTTTACATATATATGAGGGAGTCAGAGTCCTTAAAATTCCAGGAGTCAGAATCGGTCATTTTCCCTATTGACTCCACAGCCCTCATTTTCCTGAACAGAAATATTTGAGTAAAATAATTTTCTGGCAAAGAAACAGTTTGGTACCTTGAAATTATCAAAAATGCTTAATATACTACCAATACTATGAACTAAAAAGTTAATTTGTTAAGCAGAATAAAAGACTTTTATAAAAAAATTATGAAAAATTATATTCAATCAATAAACACTTAATTTCCAATAAAAACAAATACCTTTTATTATAAGAGGTGAAGAGGAAATACAATGTGTGGCATGGAGGCAGTTAGTTGATCTTACAAAGGCAAAGGAGGAAAATACCTTCCCTCATGCAATGTCAAGGAGCGGCCAAATTTTTCCCTATCAGCATGCTTATTACATCAAGTTTAAGCACATTTTTAGCACTAAATTTGGAATATATTATTATGTTTTAAGCATTAGTATTAATGTCTAACAATGTTTTTACTTGAACTATACTGTACAGTACATTTTTTAATCGATTTCATGATTTTTTTTATTATAACTTTACTGTGCATTATTATGCAAAGTTTGGGTTATATTGTAAAATAAAATAATAAAATAATTTATCCACCTTCATTTAATCTTTATTTAATGTTATTTATTTATTATTTAATTCCATTTAATTCTGTCTAAAAGTCTCAAATCTATGAACTTTAAAATTGAATTTACTCTCTACTTTTGCATTCTCCCATTTCATGCCACTCATACCATGATGAGTTTCACACATTCATTTACTTGACTTGCTAGAGAGCTACTTATAAAAAATAACATGCAATTATTATCATAACTGGAAAGAATAATTTTAAAACTGATTTTGATACATATAAAGTTCAATGAAGAATACTAATCTGTAGATATCTGTCTGCAAAATTACTTCGGTTTAACGATCTGGATACCTTAACGTTAGAAGTTTATTTAGGAGTTATAAGAAGTTTTCAATTTCATAGTATTTACTTTATTTTGGCACAAAGCTCACTGAGCTATGGTGAATGATACAGAGTATGGCAATGGTAGAAAGTCAAATAGAGTATTTAAAATTTTGCATCATTTAAAAAAATAAAAAATGTAAGCAAATATCTAGGATGATGGTGAATGATAAGTGGAGTATGGCAATGGTTGAAAGTTAAATGGATTACTTAAAATTTTGCAACATTAAAAAAAATTAAAATTTAAATAAATATTTAGGATCACATTAATTCTAAGAATTTTAGTTCCTCCTTCTTTCCAAATTTCAGCATTTTTCTTAAATGAATCTAACTTTAAATATTACATTCATCTAAATCTGCTAGCCTTAAATAATAATTTCTGCATAAATCAGACTTCAGGAAAAGATTCAAAACTCCGACCACCACAAAGTATGAAAATTACAGAAATTAATTCCCATGTTTTTGAAGCAGTCAGAAAAAGAAAACTTTATTTAAAAAAATGAAAAATGAGACACATTTTTTGGCATAACTGCACTAGCTCATTTTACTTTTGTTGAAAAGCAATGAGAAAATTCAGGTTGTATATTTTTATTATCAAGATTACATGATAATAAAAAATATATACTCTGATTCCATTAAAATTACTAATTTTAGCTTCTTCCTCTAATACATACCTTTCAACTTCAAATTTATTTCTACTATTCATAGCCATACATAGAATACTAATCTGTAGATACAGATTAGTATTATAACGTCTTAAGTCATGTACAGAAACAGAGTCTGGTAGTTTTAAATTGTGAAAAATTAAACACGCTTATTATACTATCAATATAACAGACTAAAAAGTTGATCTTTCTTAAAAGTGAAATAAGGGAGGGGGGGAAAAACTGGAAAATAGACATTTATAAATATTATCAATACAATAGAAAAAAAAGTTAATTTTTTTTAAACTGAAATAGAAAAAACTGAAAATAGACAGTTATAAATAACAAAATACATATTTGTTGCCCACTTCAGCTTTATTCCTGATTTTGATAGTAAGTTTCCATTAAAGTTTTACTTGCAGAATATTTCTTACTCTTTAATGATCTTTTCTCTATTGGTTTACTTTTCAACATCATCAATAATAATTAACTTGATTATAGCTGCTCTTTGAGCTGTCATTTATTTGTTGTTCTTTACTCTAAAAACTGGTTATATTTTTTTTTTTTCACTTCTAGACATACAAGATGTGGTTCCTGAATCTAAAATCCATTATATTTACTTTCTGGATTATTTTTTATATTTATTAAAAAATGAATTTTTTTCTATTTTCTTAGATACTTTGTGTAAACACACAGCTGGTTCATATTCTTTTTCCATGTTTACCATTCTATCAGTTTAATTTGTTAAACGGTAAGGTTTTTAGTTTAATTAACCCATTATCTAATGATTTCAATTTTACTATCATTTCTATTTTCCAACAGCTCTTGGCTCATGTAAATGAGATATGTGTATATTAGAACAGAGTTCTTAAATGTTAGAGATCTTTGGCAACGATGCAGGCCATTGTACTAGAAGCTTGCCCAGCTCTCATAAGTCCATTATCCAGTATTAGCTTTTTGTCAGAATTCAGCCCCTGTGCTTGCTAGGTTGTGCTACAGAATTAATTACTATTTTTAATTCATTTTTTTTTTTTTTTTTTTTAAACTTGAAATCCCGAAAGCAGTGGAGATTGATTTGTAAGCACAAGCTGTACATAGTTAAGTTAAAGCTTAAATCCGAAAGGTTGTTGAAACCTTCTTCATACTCTGTTGTTACCTATATAGACAGGTAACATGTTACCTGGCGTTCTTAGTAAACTTCAGGTCAAGTGCATGAAGGAGTGGAATTCAACAAAATTTTGTAGCTTTCTGTGTTCTTTGGTTTTCTTCCAGTATTCTGTTAATTTGTGGTTTTTCCACAACTTCACCATTTTGTATTATTTATACATTATTTGAATAAATGTCCTAATGTTAAATATAATATTTCAGTTTAAATATTTTGTACAAATACATTAAAAAAATCTAAATTATAACAAAAAACTGGATTAACATTCTGAGCAGCACATCTTTCTAGAACTGCTCATAAGATGCTATTTAAATGGGATTTATTAACGAGATTCATATAAATAATTATTTTACTCTTTGCTTTCTTAAACCTTTCATTCACTCAAACCATCAAAGAAAATGGTAAAAAACTGAGGTAATGTGTACCAAATTGAGAACAAATCTTATTACTAGATAAAAACAGGCATACTCCTCAGTAGGTTTAAGAGTGTAAAACTGCAATTTTCTTACATTTCAGAACATCTTCAGATGCACTTGCAAGCATTTTTCCAAGTTCCTCTTTTTCTTGAATCAGTTTTTCCAATTCTAAGCTGGTAGAAGCTATAAAAAATATAAAGTGCAAATTACAGTATAATAAAATCTCAATAATCAGTATTATTCAAATTATTCATTATTTTATTTTACTTGTGACTCACTAAATAACATTAGCCAAACTATAAATTACAATTAGATTTTTTCCTCAGATTAGGATATTTAAAATATTTTACATAAAAAATATCAATAACAATATATACAGTCGATTCCGCTTAATTGGGACACATCGGGACCGGGCATTTTGTGACAATAAAGCGAATTTCACAGTTTTTTAAATAAATTTATTTGGTTTTTGGAAACAAAGGCCAATAACCGGTAATAAATTAAACAATACATATTTTTTCAATAATTTAATAAATTAAATTAGAATGGGAAAATAGTATTAATATTATCTAAAATTATATGAATCAAATTTAATTAAAATTAAAAAATGAGTCAAGTGTAGTCTGTTTTTTGTTTTTGTAACATTTCTTTTCTACAAAATCAGTGCAGATATTCAGTGCGGATGCAGGGCTCCCTTCATTTCCTTCCTGCATAAAATAACGCTGTAACGTGGCAATACATTTTTTTGCTTCCTGGTTAGTCACAGGCACAGGTGACTTATCATCATCATCGTCTAATTTTCCATGTTTGCATTTAATACCTTCTACGATTGAATCCTCACTTTTCATTATCATTGTAACATGGTAAATTATTACCTATTGTTAAAAATTCTTCATAGTTAATACAAATAGGAACTTGCAACATATCCTCATTTTCTTCGTTGCTTACATTTTTGTAAATTTCTAGGGGTTTCAAGCCACAATTAGTAAAACAGTTCTGTATTGTAGTGGCTTTTATAGCTCGCCAACTATCAGCGAAAAAGGTATGATGCAAAAGAGAAATTTTGAACTTATCTCTCCGGCTGTTGTGGGAGTTGTTAATAAATTTTATCAATGGATTCTAATATGTAAAACCAATTTCCCACGATACAAAGTCTTAAAATTTTTATTACCCCCATGTCCATTGGTTGCATTAAGATCGGTATTAGGTAGGAAGAAATTCCAGCGTATATTTTGTAGATTGTCTAAATGAGGGTGTGCCGCACAAATGTCAACAATCAGCAAAATTTTTCTTTTTTTATGTTGTAAATTTCTGCCTCAACTGGTAAGCCAATTTCGAAAAATTTCAGAAGTCATCCATGCATTTTTGTTTGAAAGGTACTCCACTGGTAAACCCTCCATGCTCAACCCCTTAAAGCATCGAGGTCTAGCACTTTTTCGTAGCTTTCGTTTGACAGTACCTGACATATTTGCACAGCATAACACAGTAATGTGGTCCATCGCCTTTTTATGACCAGTCAGTGCAATGTGTTTATAGCATAAGGAACCGTCTGGCGTAGCAGGATAATAGAGGCCGGTTTCATCAGCATTGTAAATGTCATCAGCACAAAAATTCTCTAAAAAAGTAGGAATTTTCGTAGTCTTCCACTGTTCAGAGCTTTCCTTGTCGGCACTGCCCTTTTCACCGCGCGCTTTTTTTAATTTAATGTTGTGTCTTGTTTTCCATCGCTATAACCACCAGTCAGTTGCTTTGAAATCATTGCGGCCCAGTTTTTTAGCTAACTCCTCTGACTTCGCCTCAATATCGGGCCATTGATATTTACGTCTCTGCCACTAATAATAAGAAAACCATTGATCTAGTGCTTCTTCGACGTCTGGATCCCTTCCCTCGCGTTTCCTTTTGGATGTTCCTGCTTGTCCTTCTTGTAAAACCAATTCCTTCACGCAGTTGACTTTCTTGTCGTAAGACACGCGATATGGTAGATTTTGGTAGATTTGGTAATACATATTTATCTCAGCGAGCCGGCGATAACTTGTATTATGTGGCTGGCTTTTTTTTTATCTAGCAAAGCAATTTTGCTAGAAAGTGTCAAATCATTTCTTGACATTTTGGCAAGGGTTAAATTTTTGAACAATAAGTTTATGCACTGTTCATGCGCGATGTGTATTGTGAGTGAATAAATATGCAACAATTGAAACAGTCGTCACGTACGAGCTGTAATGGTAACTGAATAAAAACACCCTTGAGCTCGCCTGTGATGCAACGCATACACAATCAGCTGTAAGGCAATGCATGCGCAATAAGCTGTAAGACAATGCTCCGTAACAAACTCGTAATATGTACTGTGATCTTAAATTTACTGTCCCAATTAAGCGGAATGTTGTCCCGATTAAACATATAAATTTTCTATTGGCTTCTTAGTTTGGTATCTGTTCTTTGAGATTAGTCCCAAATAAGCGGCTGTCCCGATTAAGCGGTGTCCCAATTAAGCAGAATCGACTGTAGTAAAATTTCTTTTAACCAAACTTTACACAGATAAAACTGTGTCAAGAAAAATAATATGACATATGATAAAACTGTGTCAAGAAAAATAATGGACCAAAATCCATCATCTTTATATTACCCCCCACCGACACACAAATATGTCATGTTTAAAAAATAAATTTATATTTTATAATAAAACCAAATTTTTCCATATGCAAAATTATTGATCATCTCTGCAGTAGGTTACTTTCACATATTCATTGATTCAAGTTCACTGATGGATTATACCACATTAAAAAAATTAAAGATTTACCAAATTATAAAGTAATGAATTTAAAAAAGTATAATATTTCAAATGAATTTTCCCCACTTCATAAGCAAATGTGCAAAATCAAAAGAATTAAAGATTCACACATTTATAAAATAATTATCGGAAAAATGCACAATATCTCAAAGAAATTTTTATCTTGGTGCAATAATATATCTCAGTAGCCATTGCAGGCAATTTTATAATAGCAGTAAGAGATTAAGATAAAAGTTGAATTTCAGTGGGAATTACAATTTTCCTGATCTTTTTCTGATTTTCCATTGCCAAAGTGAGGAGTTTTACTAAATGAATACGATTTAGTAAAACAGCACTACAGCCAGTTTTAAAATATAAGATACAGTTTCTCGAGCAAAAACTCGGAGTTTCCAAGAGATTTTCACGACGCATGGGGGCATTATTCTAAGGAACTCCAAATTGACTTAATTTATAGTGCATGATTCATGCTATTGAACTTAAGCATAATATGATTTTGATGTAAAATATATTAGATATATAAAATTTATTTTCTTTGGCTAATTTTCTTACACTTATCTAAGAAAATTCAAAGTAGAGAAGGAAAGCTTTTAATTTTCAGTTTTTTAAATGCAATCAAAATATTAATAATAATTAATGTATATATTTTTGTGTGCATAAACTTAGCAATATACAGGGTGTCCGAACCAAATGTACCTAATTCGGAGAGGTTGCTCTACTCAACAGAGTTTAAAAGCATAAGAAAGCTGTAAAATTAGGTACCAATACTCACAAAGTTTTTATAAAATCATCGGCACAATTTCACATGAGATTCCTTAGCAGCCCTGAGAATGTACAGCTAGTACTCCACTTCCAGGAAAGTTATATCCAAAAATGCAAAAACATGCTTGCTTTAATAAGAAGGGGCCCCATCTTAATGGAAGATAACAGGGAGTTGTAAATGCTGCATTTTTGGTATTGCATAAATTTGCAACATGTCCAGGTAAGTGCTTGACATCACAGACGTCCCAACAGAGAAAAATGGTCCCATGATTGTATCATGCGATACAGCACACCAGACATTGATTTTTGGGCTGCTCCATTCTAATTCGTGTAGCGAATGGGGATTTTCTGAGCCCCAAATTCTGCAGTTGTGCTTATTAACATTGTTGCTAACATGAAATGTAGCGTCATCAAAAAAAAAAAAAAAAAAAAAAAGATGCGGTTTAGAAAATCGTTTAATTTTCAATGCTAGATAACATCTCCACAGCAAATGCTGCACACTGTGGCCCATCATTTGGTTGCAGTTTCTGCACAATCTGCATTTTATATGAAAACATCATCAGTTTTCGATGCAGAACATCATGAATAGTTCATCGCAGCATAGATAATCCAGAAGCTGCCTGCCTGATTGACTGATGAGAACTCTCAACGAAAGTTTGTAGAACATCTTCAACATGTGAACACTGATCACCTCCGGATCTTTTCCGTACACTTCCTGTTTCGTGAAATGCTTCGTGCCACTTTTTTATGCTCTTAGCCTGGGGTGGATTTCTTTTATAAACTGTTTGAAACATTCTTGGTGCTTTTACTATGGATTTGTGTTCTGGATACCAAAGAACAGTTTGTGCCTTCTCTTGTGACGACACCATTTTTCCGTTTGTCAGCTCAGCAAAAGCGCAGGTACGTCAGATGCAAGAAAAAACTATTGTCATCAAACTCTAAAAGAATTTCAACTCCCACATGTGGCCAATATCACCCTCTTAGCACTAAAACTTTGTTTTTAATCGACTGTTCAATATAGGTACATTTGATTCGGACACCCTGTACATACTTGCCAACCTATGACACTCAAAAATCAGGAGATTTTTTTAAGAAATCAGGAGATTTTTCACAATGTTAAAAATACTTTTTAAATGATAAAAATATAGTTTTTAATAATGAATTAACTTTAAATAGTTACTAAGTCTTAAATGCAAGCAAAACAAAAATACCTTAGACATAAAAAACATTTTTATTACTTGCATCGTTAAAAAAAAAAAAAAACACTTTAATCAGTTTTCATACAAATGTTATGGACAGTGGCAGATTTTGCTTTCGTTAAGAAAGAAACTTCATAATTTTGTTCATAGCAATTGCCACGTAGGCCTGCTTTCGCTAATAAAAGTTTTTCTAATGTGTCATCACTAATATTAGATCTAAATTTAGTACTCGTTTTCGCAACAACACTGAAAATCCTCTCACGCTCGGCATTACTATGGGGAACTGTCAAGATGGCCAACATAATTCTAGAGAGTTCACTATATTTTAAAATTCCATCAGCACCTTTCAATTTTCCAATTAAACTCCACTGGGTGTCAATCCTAGCTGATTTATAACTTCATCCAAGTTTTCTAATTGTAAACTGCAAAACTGTGACTGCAGTATATCAGTAGCAACATCAATATCGTCATTTTTCATGACTAAACGAAAGACTAAAGAAGTAACACAGGAAATCTGTTCAAAAAGTACCTTATATCAGAAAAAGATGCATTTGCTAGAGCAGAGAAACATCAGCAACTTTAGCATGCAAAATCACTTTCATCGTTGACTGGAAATTTATGTAGTATGTAATCACATACTCGACAGAAGTAACTTCTAACATGAAGATAAAATTTATTTTTGTCTTCTTCTGAAAGTTCTTCCACTACTTTTGTAGTTGCAGCTCCTATTACCAAATCTTCATCTTTCTTCTGATTTTCTGTTTCACCATAAATCACATCATATATAGAATTACAAGACAAAACACAGACTGGTTTTACAAACTTTGATAAAATGTCTTTAAACAGATCATAAATCATTGATTGCAAAACATGAATTAATGGAATTCTGTTTTGTAGAATTGTGTTAGAACATCGAATGATGGCAAAATGAATTGTAAAAAAAAGCAAAAAGCTTTGTTAAGGTCCGAAGAAAAAAAAACATAAATATTCGTTCTTCACAAGATAAACTTACAATAATCGGAAAATGTTTCGTGTGTTGAGCAATTTTTTTTTTTTATTTTGAGAGAAATTTGTATCAGCTTTATGCTTATATTTTTGCAGTATTATTTTGAGAACTACCAGTTGAATTGCTGAATGATGCAGAAATTACAAAAAATCAAAATTTTTCTCATTTCAGTATTATGCAGCTGTTGGAACTGTTTCAATTTTCCCTTTCTTTTAGAACTCCTTTCAAGATAATAATAAATATCAACAATGTGTGTTCATCCACATTTAATGGTAAAGAAGCTGCCCCTTTTTCAGCTGCTAAATTTAAGAGCTGACAGGTGCACCTCATAATCTGCGAATCTGAATTTGCCTTTCTTAAGATGCCTGCAACACCAGTCTTCAAGCCTACCATTACTGGTGCATTATCGGCACCAAGCTCTAAGCAATTATCCAGAGGGACTGCATTTTATTTTAAAGTTTTAATAATTAGCTGTGCTATATTAAAGCCTGTCGAATGTCCTTCTAAAGTGGGGACAGAAAGTAAACTGCACTCAATTTCTGAAGACTCTGGATTAAAAAAAGAAACAACAATTGGATACAGTTTTGAATTGGTATTATTGCTTCCATCCGTAGAGAGGCAGAACGGAGCTGTTTTAATGCAATCAATAACTGAAGATTTATTTTTCAAACCCATTTCTTTAACAATTGCACCTGTTTTGGTCCTTGCACTTGAGTATTTCTTAGCGATTTCACTATCGGGAAACATTTTCTAAATAAAGCTACAGCGTGATCCGATGCATTCAGTGGCAGGTTGTGCTCCAGTAAAAAGGCAGAGAACAGACATTCTGCATTAATCACTTTTTGGTCTTTTGTTTCCGAAGAAAAATTTAATTTTTCGTTTTTTCAAAACAACTCATGTTGTCCTTGTGTTTTTGTGTACGCACATGTTTGAGAACGTCTGCCCTTCCATCAAGCGAAATCGAAAAATCGCAACGACAGATGGTACACCTCGCAAATTTGTTACATTTCCTTGAAGAAATAATGGAAGGAAAGTCAACTGTGTACGATTTTTGAAACGTGCACGAGTATTTCACCTTTCTCGCAGACATATCAAAAGACGATAATTTCTAAAACTATTTCCTAAAGGCACATGTACTCACACAACTCAGGACAAGATGAACGAAATAGCGAAAGAACATCCAAAGAACGGCCAACGGCCTTGAGCTTGCTTTGTGCTCATTGGCTAATATATGCCAGATGACACGCAGTGGAGCTCGATGCCCATTGGATAGCTGGAGAACGAAGTTTCTGGATACGTATGCTGTCAATCACAAAGCAGAAATTCTCATCTGATTCGCAAGGTTTCATTTTAGATATAATCTAGAGAAAATTCAGTTGCTTTCAGAAGTCCAAAATCACTTTTTTTTTATTCATATAACGAAGTATTAAGCCAAGTTTCATAAAAATCGTGAGAAATATTAAGAATAAAAAAAAGTCGGGAGAATATATTGTAAATCGGGTTGGCGGGAGAGCGGTCGAAAATCGGGAGTCTCCCGCCTAAATTGGGAGAGTTGGCAACTCTGCCTGTATAATTACAAAACAAAATTAAATAACAATATTAATTAAATACTGATTGAATCTTCATAAGAAATTCTGCAAAGGTTTAGAATAGATTAAGACAATGCAGATCAAATAAATTTGAGTGAAAAACTTAGTAAATTTTAATTAAATGATCATTTAATAAGCAATGGAAAATGAAAACTGCACATCTTAAATAAAATTTCTTTCTACTACCACTACCACACTCGTTCTGAGTCTTCAGGCTGCTACAATACACCCTCTATCAAATTCACTTAGATCAACAGCCTTTCCTATCACTCGCAAAATTAAGTGCAAGAATGATTCCTTACTTTCCCCAGCAGCAGTTAAATACCATTCAAACTTAATCATATGCCCTCCATATCATCCAGAAGAGTTCATTGTAAAATGTGCGGATGATCATGATGTATTGGTTCATCAGTGTAAAATAATAATTACAATTAAATATATGAAAATATGCAATGCCTCTCTTCTTTGTAAACTTCTCAACCCTAATCTGGCGTTTATAAAATTAACGTGAGTATCAACAAAATTATGTTAAATAAAAATAAATGTATGATATTTTATTAAAAAGCTGCAGATCATGGGCTGATCTTAAATAAAAATACTAATAAGGAAACATGTTCATATTTTGCCAATTTTCTACTAAGATTAAAAAATTTTCTCACACAAGAATACATGAAATTTCAAAATGAGAAACCATCCCAAAAGAATGTGCATTAAAAAAACTTGCACGACTTCTTATTTGCTTATCAGCGATTGGGATTTGACACGTGACAAGTATCAAAAGGCTGGCATGATATTCGAATTCCATAAATCACTATGTTGAGATTACCGTACATTCAAATATGCACTGTGATGAAAATTCTATACTTGTTGCACATGGGGAGAATGAAATAGTTAGTACACCGGAAAGTTTCTCAACTTTAGGCACCTGGCCACTGATAGGTCCATAATACTTTGATTTAAATATTAAACTTGAATTACCTTTCAAGGTTAGGAAATAATCAATTTTTAACTCAAACATGAATTGGAAATGTAATGGTATGATAAGCAAATTTAAAATTTCTTTACGAACTTTCAAAATGCTTGCACAGAAGACATGTACATGTTTCATAAATTCAAATTAAAATTCTGTAACTAAATTGTAAAACGAGCAATGGTTAAAATAATCAAATGTAATATATGGAAGTTCTCATAAAATATATCTCTTCATGCTAAGTAAGAATATTAGTTACACCAATCATTATAAAAAGGGGGAAAATATATATATCTACCGAGCTGTGCAGAAAGAGAAGAAACATCATCTTCCAAAATCATCTTTTCTTCCTGCAATCTTTTAATTTTACTTGCATATGATGAACAGCTTTCTTTAAGCAAGTTAATCTCCTCTTTATACTCTTCAGTAACAGATGCTGATTCTTCTAACTTTTTAGTATATTCTGAATATTTCATTTCTGCATTCATTTCTTCTGTTTAAAGAAATGATTTTATAAGTTTCCTGTTCTTTGATTCATGCTGAAAGTAAGAACTAAACAAAACAAGCAAAACAAAATTTCTATTCAAAAGCATCTTAAAGCTTAAATTGAAATAATGATTATTGGAGAAATTAAATAACAAGAATCAGTGTAATGTTGGTAAATTTAAATCACAGAACTAAAAATCAATTTTATTATAACCATATCTTGTTCATTTATGCTTAAATAGCTGAAGAAGATGGTTTTGTACTTAAACCATTAAAACTAGTCCTGCAAAATTATAAACATCATGCTGATGCTTGTTGATTAACTTCTCCAATAATCCTAAAACTTATTCAATATTTATTTAAAAAAAAAATAGAGTCTGCAAGTCCCTGAACTGTCAAAAAGTAAGCAGGAAAATTTTAAATTAAAGTTGTTGTAGACCAAGTTCAATCAAATAATATTAGATTATTTGATAATTATTTTAATTCATCTAATATTATTTGATTAATAATTATTTCAATCAAATAATATTAGATGAAATAGTTTTTAAATAATTTAGCTCTTAATCATCCAGAGTACTTCGGGGTTATAAGACTACACCCTTTACGGAGGACTTTCCCAGAAAATCTGGTTTAAATTACATTTAACGAAAGGAATATTATAAAAGTACCCAGATAGCTAGCCTGTTTTAAAATTAAATACTAATGTTTTATGTTTTTAGAGACTGGTGGATCAATTAATTTCTTTTCAAACTGTTTTTTAACTTTCCAGAAAAATTCACTTCCAAAGCATGCTAGACAAAAATTAAAATTGCAACTATACAATGAAAAATGCAATTTTAAAAACAAATTCCTACCCAAAACATTAGTACTGTATTTTAAATGCAAAATATCTTAATTATAATTATATATATACATAATACCTTCAAGCAATGTTTTATAAGGAAAATTTACTATCTAAAAATTATCGAGTAACTGTGATCCTCATATTTCTTAATTGCCTCTTTTCTTCTCTGAAAAAGTGCACCCCAATTCAAAGAGAGCTTTTCAACTTGAGGAAAAGACATCCAAGTGCTCACTTTAGATGTTCAGTCTGAATAACATTATAGTAAGGGACATTTAAGCTAGGTAACATTCATATTCATTTGATGAAACCTGCATCATATAATCACCACCACAAAAAAGGGGTGGTGAGCACGTACAGTGAATTTGATATAAGAATAGGGTGAAACATTTTCAGCAGATATGACACAAGCACTAAAAAATAAGTTGCATTAACCCAGAGTTTCTTAAACTTTTTTCAGTCGCGACCCCCAGGATCTCATAATATTTACAATTTATATTTTGTGGTCTCCCATAAGTATTATGCAAATCTGATACATGCATGAGTGAAACTGTCAATTTTTACCCTTTTACTGTAATGCACTATTGCAGTTTTAGGTCATTAAATTTCTATCAGCTATCAGCTTCGAATGTTATCAGCTTGTTTGTAATGGTGAACCAGTTTCCCTTGTGTTAACCCCAAAGCTATCTATGGTGATTGGCTGCTGTGACAAAGAAGAAAAATTGTTTCAAACAGTTGTTCTTCCGAAACAAACCGACACGTGATAGCAGCAATAAAGGGGTTAATAAATATAAATATCATTTTAATGAATGTAAACTTATGAAAACAGACATTAAAATAAGTAATGATACAAACTTAGCTATCAAGTGCAGTTTCAATATAGGTCTTCATGAACATATCAAAAAACCTGTACCACTCAGAGCGTTAACTATTATTTTATCGGGAGACTAAAAACAGATTTCAAGATTTGAGAAAATAATTCCCTGCACTTGCTGCTTAATTCTCAGTTCTGTTTACAGGTCTGTAAATAGGCAGCCAATCTGAAGAAAACTTATTGATATGAAATTTCTGTGTTATTTGTTCTTAAGGAAGACTTAGCAGTGCCGAGCCTTCTAACTGCAGAGGAAAATTTTCACGATTAACTCCCCAGTGCCATTGTTTTCACACATATGTGCAGTGATATGGTACGTTAAAGGAAAAGCAAAGGCACGGTTTATAGTTTTATATAATATATATATATATAACTTATATATATATATATATATATAACTCTCTTTATTGTTATACTGAAAATATCAAATATAGAGTACAATAATAATAATAAAATACTTAGTACTTAACTGTTGTACAATATATCCCGAAACACTGTTGAACACATAATACAACATCATATTCAGCACATCAATGCTGGGATTCGTGGTTTGCCCCCTCCCTCTTTCCTGACCAAACTAGGCAATTCCTCACTGCATTTTTCTTTAAAGAAACTGATGGTACTAAGTATGGAATGTCTCTAGTAGTAAGCTGCAAAAGACTGTCACATTGTAACTTTTTGTCGATCGTGAAATGGTAACATGAAATTTCCGAAAACTGTATTCAAAATCATGGGGAAATCACAATTGTTAATATTTGGGAGTTGTTTCTTTTGTAAAATGATGCCATTCCAACTAGCTATATCTAGAAGATGGCAAACAATTGCTATATAGCTGACTTTAGTTCAGTTCTGTCTTTTTCAGGTTGCTGAACTACAAACTACAGCATAATTATCTCTGTAAGCTTCCCCCATTGTCAAGTTATAATCGGTAACCCCGCTTGCTTTAGCTTTCTTATCAGTTTTACAGCAATTTATAGTGTAAATTGGGCTAAGAAAGAGGCACATATTTTTAGTCACGTCATCTCATTACATTAATTTTGCTACTCTGGAAAGTGGTAATTTCGCCTTTCTTCACAGTTAATTTGTTGAAATTTTCTGGTAAATCATACCAATTAGGGCAAAGAGTTCCATACACATCAGTTTTATTTTAGATAAGAATGTCTGCTAACTCTGGTGACAGATAAAAATGATCAGCAAGTACACAATCTTTCCCCCCCCCCAAAAAAAAGGGTCATCACCGAGTTCATAGCAAGGAAGTCCATAATTACACAATTTTTCATCAGGTATTGTACTCTTTCCTGTATATGCAATTGTGTTGTTATTGCTATAAAGCTCACTTGTCTGAAAAATGTCAGCATAAGCCCACGACATTCATTGTGGCAAGGAGTTCTGTGAAGTTCCTTCCCCTGATGAAAGAGGAAGAACGGAAGTGACTTACCCCAGAAAAACCGGTCGAGGCAGGCTGGTGGGGGGAAGAAAGACTGGAAGGGGAGGGCACTGGGAGTTGGACCGGCGAGCATGCCGTGTGAGAACGTAGAGAAGTAAAATATGTTTTAATTTCTTTTGCGCGCCTTGTATACATACATTGTATATAGTTTATTTTACAGTGTACTCGTTGTATGGTGTATCCATAGTGCAGTTTGTGTAATAAATTAGTGAAAAAAATGTCAAAGCGGACAAGTGTTATTTTCCCACTATGGTAAGTTTACACAGAAGAACCCACCTCGTTTGAACGAGCGCGAGGCATGACAAATGGTCGCAGTCGTACAGGATAGTGGGAAAAAAGAAATCACCAAAAATACGAAGGAAGTAAGATCGTAAAAAGTGATTTGAGTGAACGTGGTTTAAATGAAGGAAATAAGTCACGAAAGCAAGGAAGATGACAAAAGATGGTCATGAAAGACGGAAAGTGGCACGCGTAAGCCTACACGTGCAAATAAATGAAAGGGTGTATGAAATCTCGTCGTGTGAAAAGTGATCATCAGTATTACCGTGGTGATATTATTAAGTGAAGTGTTATGCAGTGTTGAAACAGTGGCTGGTAAAGGTGATCATCCGTATTACCGTGGTGATATTATTAATTGAAATGTTTGTGCAGTGTTGAAACAGTGGATGGTAAAAGTGATCATCAGTATTACCGTGGTGATATTATTAAGTGAAGTGTTATGCAGCGCGATGAGGAAATTGTACAGAATTGAGCACAGCTCGTCATTTTCTACTATCGGGATCAAAGGTAAGTCCCTCTTAATTTCTTGGGAAGCACAATATATAAATGAAGAGAGCTCCCTCCCTATAATTACTATAGTAAAGGAGAAAATTAAAATTGTGTTAATGTCGGTTAATAACATGATGAGAATGCCAGGCGTTAAAGCCAGTAGACACTTAGAAAGTATATTTTATATGCAAATAAGGAATTATGATTAATTTTGTTATTAAGGAGATAATGTATGCTAAATGAATGTTAAAATAGTTCAAAAATATGTCAGCAGAAATTTCAAAACATTTAATTGGGTGCTCATGTTACTAATTAAGGTAGAAATTATCTATTTTTGTTGTTGCCGTGTTTTGGCAAAATGTTTTAGTCATTAAAGTTAATAGGTTGATTAAAAATTAATTAGTTTAATGATTTGAGAACAATAAGTAAATGTTTGTTTCATTTCCACAATATGTAAGGTATTACGGCGTAAGGCCAAAGTATTCAGAACTATTTTTTTTTTTTGTACTAATTCAAAAGCTAATATAATTTTTGGTATTTATGTGTTAACAATATATGGTGAATATATGTTTATATGTAAATATATGTTAATAGTAATATGAAAGGTATTCATGATTGTGTTCACTAATGATAATGTTTGCTAAATGAATAATGGTAGTATTCAGTAGTGAAATATGTAGGTTTGCCTGTAAAATTAAGTGTTATTTATGTGTTGTATGGGTAAAGCTGTAAAAAGAAATACCAGAAGTTAATATGGGTCCTAAAAGGAGAAATAGGGTGTCAGAAGAATCTGATGAAATTATTAAGAACATGCAGGCTCAAATTAAGTTAAAGGAAATGGAGCTGCAGCTAGAAAAGTGTAAGTTAGAGGCAGATGCGGCTAAAGACCGATTAAAAGAGATGGAATTTCGGGAAAGACAATTAGAGAGAGAACACGAGATAAAAATTAAAGAATTAGAAATTCAGAGTAGAAAAATAGATAAAGGAGGAAATAAATCGGGTTCAGAGGATGAAGGGGTTTCAGATGCTGAGAGCAAGGGAAATGATTTCTTGAAACATTTAAAAATAATGAAAGGAGTT